TCTATTTTTACTTTTCGCAAGATGCAGATATATACACTAAAAGCTTCGCCCAATGGGTAGTATTTTAATATTGGAGGTCACTGTAGTGATTATATAAAAAAATAATTTATTATTTATCGGCTAAGAATTATTAAAAGGTAGGTTTTTTTTGTTCATGTCGAAATACACAGTTCTCAAATTTCTGTATCATGTTTGGATGTACGGGAAACTTCTTAATATTCGTGATCAAATTTAAATGTTGTTAGACATTAATTTAGGCTAATTATTTAAAAGCAGGTAAAATCAGAATTTTAGCTAAACAAATATTTCCTGGCCTTAGAGATTTCACCAAAACTTGGCGGAAAGGTTTTGCCCTCTTCAGGTGAAATTTCGAAGTTTAGGTAATATTTGTTTGGCTATCGCCGGGGTGGCCTAATGGGTTAGATTATGCTTAGAAACAGAAGGACGAAGAAGGACTCAGGTTCAATCCTGGTAAAGAGAATAAAAACTTTAAAGTTTTTCTTCGATGACTGATGTGTAAAGACATATGGTAAGATAAATTTCGGAACTAAGAGATGACACCCAGGTCACCGACAGGCCTGGACAGCCGGATGACAAGGATACCTGTCCAATAAACAAAATGAAGGAAACAAATGGAAATATGAATATGAAAGCTGGGGCGTTCCCTCCAAGCGACGCGCAGGGTGCAGACCTCCATACTGTGAAAAGTAAAATATAGGTCAAAGCAAAGAAGACAAGATTAGCAAGTTTGAAAATTTGGACGCTTAAAGGTAAGGCGAGAGAATTGGCATCAATGTTGAACAAGAGAAAAGTTGATATAGCGTGCATACAAGAGACGAAATGGAAGGGACAGAAGACTTTGATGATTGGAGATGGGTATAAATTGTACTATAATGGACTTGTTAGCAATATGAACTGTGTTGGAATCATCCTCAGTCAAGATCTAACCACCTCAGTAGTAGAAGTCAACAGGATCTCTGATAGACTAATGAAGACAAAATTCTGCATTGGTCAATCAATACTACACATACTTTCATATGCCCCTCAAACGGGTTGCAAGGAAGAAGAGAAAGATGTATCCTTGATGAAGCTGTAATGGAAATCCCCAAGGATGACCTAGTCATAATTGGTGGTGACTTAAATGCGCAGCAAGAGATAGCTACCAAAGGCAACATGGTGGTTTTGAATATGGAGAAAGAAATGATGAAGGAGAGCATGTACTGAAATTTGCGCAAGCTTTCGACCTTGCCTTAACCAACACCTACTATAAGAAAAAAGACAGTCATCTAATAACATATGAAAGTGGTACAAGGAAAACACAGATAGATTACATGCTAATCTCTCGCAGAAGATTAAAAGATGTAATAGACTGCAAAGTCATTCCAGGAGAAGATATCGCAGCACAACACAAGCTACTAGTCATGGAGTCACACATCTCAAATAAATCCACTCAAAACAAGATAAAACTGGAACCATGCATCAAATGGGACAAATTAAAAACAATGACAGATGCCCTTGCAATCAATGCAAACATTGAAACAATAGATTCCTCACAAGTCAGTGAAAAAATGTGGACAAACCTTTTCCAGATTAATAGACACTGCCAAATTGACACTAGGCTTGACAAGGGGAGGTAACAAATCATACAAAGAACTATGGTGGTGGAATTACAAACCACTATACAGCAGAAAAAAACCCTTTATAAAATATGGTACAAATCTAAAAACCCAGATGACAAGACAAGATACAAAAAATCCAAGAGATTAGCTACAAAGGCGGTGGCTAGGGCCAAATCTATGGCATACAATGACATGTTTGAAGAACTACATGCCAAAGAAGGGCAAAATAAAATATACAGATTAGCCGAACAGCGAGAAAAAAATTCTAGAGATATAAACCGAGCTCCGAAAGTAATCAAGAATAAAGATGGAAAATTGATAATAAAGGAAAAAGAAATAATGAATAGATGGAAAGAATATTTTCAGGAGCTTCTCAACTTTAATCCGCACATACTGCATCTAGACGAACACTCCCCTTGTCAAAACCTTGTACAACCTATAACACAACAAGAAATAATCACATGCCTCAAGCATATGAAAAACAACAAAGCTAGGGGTCCAGACGATATTCCAATAGAAAGCTTTAAAGCACTAGGAGATGATGGAATACATCTCCTCACAAATCTATACAATAAGATACTTGGAAATGAAGAGGTTCCCCAAAAATGGAGGCAGAGCTATCTAGTTCCTATCTTCAAAAATAAAGTGGATCCACATAATTGTCAAAATTACAGGGGCATAAAACTAATGTCACACTGTCTAAAACTATACGAAAAAATAATAGAAAAAAGATTAAGAGATATAATCAAAATAGGAGAGACTCAGTTTGGCTTTATGCCTGGTAGATCAACAACCGATGGTATCCACGCAATTAGGCAAATGAGTGAAAAATACAGGGAAAAGAACAAAAAGACATATTGACTTTCTCGATCTAGAAAAGGCCTTTGATAGAATCCCAAGAAAACCTATCTGGTGGGCGCTACGCCACAAAAAGGTTCCCGAAAATATATAAGAATAATACAGGATATGTATATGGGCCATACAACAATGGTCCGTAGCACAACAGGTACTTCAGCAGGCTTCACAATAGCCGAAGGAGTTCATCAAGGGTCGGCTCTCAGCCCACTTCTCTTCATTGCAGTAATAGATGTATTAGCATAGTCTATATCTCAGACAGTTCCGTGGAATATGATATTTGCAAATGATAGTGATACTTGTCGAATCCAAGCATGAAATGAAAGAAAAATTAGTGAGTTGGATAAATATCCTAGAAAAGCACGGACTAAAAGTAAATAGAGAAAAGACGGAATATATGGTGATAGGAGGAGAAGAAACAGAGAGTATTAATATAAATGAATGGCAGATATCGGCAATTGAAAGTTGCAAATATTTTGGCTCCACTATACTACAAACAAACGGCACAATAGAAAAAGAGATAAAGAAAAGTGGAGATCTTTATCTGGAGTGCTATTTGACAAAAGAATCCCACACAAATTAAAGGGAAAAATTTACAGTTCCATAGTACAACCAACTAATCTATATAGTTCGGAAACATGACCAACCAAAGAATCAGACGAGAGAAGTCTACAAACTATGGAGATGAGAATGCTGAGGATGATTGCTGGGGTAACAAGAAAGGATAAAGTGAGCAGTACAAGAATACTAAGTAGTTTAAAGGTAGTGCCCATTAAGACTAAGTTAATTGTAAACAGACATAGGTGGTATGAACACACAATGAGAAGGCCTATCTACATAGGAAATAAGGTTGAGAGTTTGGAATGGGCAAACGTAAAAGAGGAAGGCCAAAACTTCAATGGGGCCATAAAGTTAGAGTCAATATAAATAAGTATAAATTAGATAAAAGAGATTGTATGAATAACATAAAGTGGAGAGAGATGTTGAAGGAGCTTACCACCAGAAAAGGTTAAAGCTAAAGAGAAAAGGTAATATTTGTTTGGCTAAAATTAAAAAATGGGTAAAACTAAGGGTTTTAAAAGATAAGTTCCTTTATTTTCACTTTTAGCGCTAATATTATACCCTAATCTTCGTGATAATTTTTTTTTTAATATCTAGAAAAGAGTATTGACCAGGAATATTCCAGAACCAGATGATACGAGATTTTAGTGAAACGGAATGGGAACAAGATTTAAATGTTTTGGAGGTTATAGAACCAGGGTTCACGGAATGTTCACAAAAATTATGATAATCATAATTATAACATCTTTAATTTAAACGGAGTTAATGAAAGGAAAAGAGTCATACTTTAATTTTAAAGAAACGAAACAAAGATAAAATGCTTTCGTTTCCTGTTTTTGATATGAAATGGGTGAAAACTAGATTCGTGACATGACATTCAATTTGTAATTATTATAAAAGTATTACGCATGCGTCAAGGGCAGAGCTATTTTACTTCTAGCAGGTTTGCGTAGATATAATTTTAAGCTAATAAAAATATCCCACTTAACCAGAGTTTCGAACCCAACCCGATCCAGAGCAGACTGAACCCGAACAGAACTTAAAATCTTTATGTTAAATTTCTAAAAACCAGAGACATACCCGGAAATTCGCTAAACCAGGTTAAAATCGGGTTCAGCGAATCTTATACTTAAAATCATATATTGAGATATTTGTATATTTGTAAATACAAATATTAATAATTTAAATGATTTTATTTTTCCAATTTATTTAAAATATAAATCCTTAAATATTACAGATATTACTTAGTGATGATGATAAGATTTGTGCGAAAAGACATTTTGTAGATTTTAAATTTTTTGTCGAACATAAAGGAATTCCATAGCCTAGATGAATGTCAGATTTTAAGGACTAGGGTTTTAAAAATTCAAAAGTTTTAGGAAAGAAGTGGCCGTTTGTGAAGATCACTACTAAATTTAAAATTGCTAAGATCTTTCTATTTTTTAAATCCTTTTTTTTTTGTTTCAGTTTGAGAAATGTGTTTTTTTTTTCATTTATGATTAAGAAAAATGACAACTTTACTAGAGAGTATAAGGAAATAAACGTAGGGAAAAAAAACTAAAACACAAAAGGGCAACATATATATATATATATATTGTTCAACATGTACGATTTATTTTAATGGTTATAAGGGATATTTATTTTATTATTTTTAGATTTATTATATTTCATTACTTACTAATAGAATTTTGAAACAGGAAAATGAACCCTGGAACAATGAAAACAAAAACGGGAAATAGACCCTCTAATTTGTACCTCGGAACAAGAACCTTTTTCAGTAGATTATCCAAATTCTAGAAACAAATATACTAATTATAGCCCATCTATTATTTTTTTCTTAACAAGCTAAAATTTTTGGTTCCTTTTTTAAAAAAAGGGCAACACCGCAAACCATTTTTATCGTTTTATAAATAAAATATTATTTTTATTTAAAAAAAAATAAGGCATTGTAATATATTAGATTATATAAATTGTAATTTATAACATCCCCAAGGAAAAAAAAATCAAATAAACGTAATACACTTATAAAATAAATAAGAGATGTTTTTTTTGCTAGAATAGAATTGATCTTTAACATTAGTATCTGGAAGATGTATTGAATGGAACATATAAATTGTAATTCTATGCCCTAATAATACAATATTAGTTTGCGTCAATATGTTCTTCGTATTGTTTTCGGAAACAATCACCGACTGGGAAAAAATCCCAGCATCTTTGTTGATACAATCTCCATACATAAGTTTCCTGAATGATTAAAAATATAGAGATTAAAAGCGAGAAGCAACTAAATCATATATATTTTTTATGGTGAAATAAAAAATAGTTACTTGTCCAGTGAATTCCGTTTCTGGTTTGTTAATCAAATGCATGAAGAAGAACCTTTAAAATAAAAAGAGTATAATAAAGTTAGGGGTGGAGGCAGGATATATTCTTTCTTCTTTCTTTCTTTCTTTTCCTTTCTTTTCTTTCTCCTTTCTTTCCATTCCCTTCCTCCCATAATTAAGAATGAAGCTTAAGGATGAAATATTATTGGCATTATATTATGCTACTGAATTTTAAAATTTGAACATATAAAATATTTCTATTCCCAAGATCCACATCCCTTCCCCCGTTTATGAAATTTTCTTATCCTACTTTTGATTATACAGGATATCACTTTCAAAAAAGAAAAAGTGTCAATCATAAAAGGAAAAGTCCGATCAAAAAAGGAAAAGTGTCAATCGTAAAAGGATAAGGTTCAATCAAAAAAGGAAAAGTCCCAAAGACTTAGGAAATAGTCCGATCAAAAAAAGTAACAGTGTCAAACAAAAAAGGAAAAGTTTTAATTATATAGAAAAGGTGTCAAACAAAAAAGGAAAAAATCAAAAAGGAAAATCTTTTTTAAATATTATATTTCATGTCGATTTTTCTTAAATTTTTTTTTATTTTTTATGTTTCATCTTATTTTATTTCTAACTTTTTGAAATTTCGTTAAATCTTTAATTTTTATTTTTCTTATCTTTTCCCAATTTATTTTTTCTCCTCATTTATGATAATTGGTCTTTTTAAAAATAATTTATTAATCCCTGTTATTTTTCTTCACTTCTCTAATCATGTTATTCTTTTAACAATTTTTTCCTCTTTTTTTCATCCTACATAACAATTTTATAACTTTTTTATTATTTTTTCTCCTTATATCTTGTAAATTTTAATTTTTATTTCTCTTCTACAATCAATTTTTTTTTAATTAATATTTTTGCATATCAAATTATTTTATTACAATTACGATATATATATGTCATCATTTTTGAAGGGATCAGAACTATCCGGGATCATCATAAGATTTAAAAGAATCCCTTAAAGAACTCAATTTTTTAAAAGATATCAATCGTTAGCTAATTTAAAGATCTATTCAACTAGGGATTTTCGTTTTTTGATTGACACTTTTCTTAATTTTCTTTTTTTGATCGACACTTTTCCTTTTTTTTTGAAAGAACCTTTTCATTTTATGATTGACACTTTTCCTTTTTTGATTTGAATTTTTTCATATTTGAATGGGAAACCCTTTAAATAAAGGAAATTATAACAAATCGAAGAATCAATTGAATTAAGATGATGATCATAATTTTTTCTATTAACAATTATTACATGTAATTGGCTAGATCGTGTTCTTTTTTAGTGTGAATCTCGAAGCCGTGAGGAATTTTTTCGAAATAATCTTTCCCGATTCCGCATATGAAGCAATTGGATTCCATGTCATCTTTGACTTGTTCCAGTTGGTCTCTCAATTCGCCGAACGCGTCGATGATTAGACCTTTAAAAATGATATATAATTATATGACAAATAATAATTCATTATATGATTAATGGTTTTTATTTTATTTGAAGGGATATCGGAGGTAGAGATCTGCTATGGGCGGGTTATTAGCCAAAAAGCCCACCCATTCGTTGTTTGGAAATTTTTAATCCTTCCGCCTGCTCACTTATAATTTTTTAAAAAATTTACCCACCAGTCCGCTTACTTATATCTATAAACTTTGATTTTGGTTTCTTCTCTTTAATATACAATAATCGATAAAACAATAAACCAAAAAAAAATATAACAATAATATTCGAAAATATATATTATTATAATATTAATAATACTAATAGAAAGAAAAATATTGTAATGTTAATAATTGAATATAAAATTAATTAATAGATAAAATAGTTTAAAGATACACTAATATAATTAATTCCTAACTAAGCATCACATGAGAATTAAGCATCAATATTGGGGCGTCTATAAAGATATTTATTAAATTAATTTACCATAATTTTTAAAGAGTTATGTGTGGTTTTGTGTAGTGGAGCAATAAGATTCCAATCATATTAATTTTGTTCTTACCTCCTATCCCATTATAGAAGTAAACCTTTCCTAATTTAAAGACCCATATGGACCAATATAATGTGAATAAATTAAACATGAGCCCCTTATATTTTATTAAAATGGATAGCATTCTTAATTTATTGTCTTGAGTTCAAATTAAGTTAAGGACTGTTACATTGAAGAACCGAGAACCCAAATTAGATGTCATTGTATTTAAAAAAAATTAATAAAACAATTAGAAAAACTTACTAAGCATGTGATCCAATAGAAATAGGAAATGGTATTTTTTTAGGGGGTGGGGTGGGGGTAAGTATAAGTTAATACTAACAATGGAATCTACCTAAAAATTAAATTTAAAAAAAAATAGTATTCCAAAGTTGAATCTTCACCTAAAAATGTGGAAGGAAATAAAAAAAAATTATTCAACCTTGCATAATGGCAAGGAGAATAATAATAACGAAGAAAAAGAACGTGATATCGAAGATTATCCGGTAGGCTTCGTATGGGTCTCCATCGGGTGCAGAAATTTCATCGCCTTTAATCATATAAATTTATTATACAATAAAAAGACATTTCATATATTTATTTATGAGTAGTGTTGTTAAACAGTTCGATTTAAGCCGATTTTTAAAAAACGGGTAACTCAGTATTTTAGCCAGAAATATTGCCTAAGCCTCGAGATTTTGTTATTCTTGCATAATATTTTTCCTAATGAAATATCGAGTTAACCGTGTTGAAAAATCGGCTCAAAATAAGAGGTTTAACAACACTATTTATGAGAAAATAAATCTATAAAGAATTAGGTTTCAGTTAATGAGTGTAATCCTTCCATTCCACCCCCCCCCCTAGCCCTCCTCTACAAAAATTAGATCAACTTACCTTATTTTAGAACTACACATAATTTTAAAGGTATCATTCTTACCATAAATTTGACGGTTTATTGTCAAAAAAAAAAGAAAAAAATTAATTATTTTTATTACCTATTCCACCACCGGATCGAACCCCTTTATATAGATGGAATACGAAACACTTGATAAAAAATATAATTATAAACCTTTATGATTAAAATTAAAAACTAATATTTGTAAGAACTGCCATAGACGATTGATAAATACCACGAGGAAAAACGAAATAGTGATAATAAAAGGACAGAGGGGGGCAAAAGATTAGATGATTGCCTTTATTTGGAGGAAGTAATAGAGATAAAACTGGCTAAAATAAACACCAATAATTTTCTCAATAATGTAGATTATTTTTATTTAAGCTTCGTTTCAATTAAGTTTTATCATTTAAACTGAAAATATATTTTGCCCCACCCTAATGATGATACTGATATTAAGGTTCACGTTAAGAAAAACCCACAAAATATGCTTTTTTTTTTTTGATTTATGGGAAAATAAAAAAAAACTTTAATATTTATAATATTATATACCGATAGCATATTATGGCATTTGGAATCTTGAATTCCGTCTTCCTCCTGAATGTAAAATTTCCGGAAAAAATTGAACGCGATCACGGTATAAATGTAAACTACGATTGATGTCATCATAACTGTCAACAATAACTAGATATAATTTTTTTTGATTAATTATAGATAGGACTTTGAAAGGAAAAAAAAATTACACATAGGATTAGAAAGATTAAAAATTTTAACCTTCGTTGCGCAAAAGTAAATTAAGTGAACATATAATCTGAGAAGATTGAGTGAATACTCTGTAAAATATATTTTATTTAGAGTTATAAAATATTATTTTTTTTAAATAGTAGCTCTTATTAAAGTTACATTTCATAAATATCATCTTCAAAATAAGCGATGTCAAATTAATAGCTTAGTTCAATAAGTTTGTGGATTTGCAAAAAAGAATTTTATTGCTGCTCCATTTTCGTATTATACACTTTATGTTATTGCATACATAACTATATATGAAAAAAAATTATTTCAAAACCTGTTTTCCATTATGCGTAACAGATTGCAAAATTGTCCTGAGAGTCTTGAAGCCTATGGCTATGTCAAGTAAATGGGCAGCGAAGAAGAAATGATTGAAATTCCCCATGACGGAAAATATGAAGTAAATCATGATGTAGAGGAAAGACTAAAAAAAATTTTTTTTAAAACATAGATAATAATATATTTACTAAATACACATATAATTTAATAATATGTTTCATTTTTTATACTAAAAAATTTATATTTTTAATATTTTTTATCGAAGTAGGAAAATAAAAATGAGAGTATACATTGTCAGTCAGAGTGATCCCCAGGTGCCATATTTCGTATTTCCAATCCACATTTTTGGGTGTTTTAATCTTCTGAACTTCATTGGTGTCGAAAAACTGAGATTCTTGTTGAAGACCGAGTAATTCCCTTAACTCGTTGACATCATGGGTCTCGGAATATTTAACTAAGACCTATTGATTTTTTTTATTGTTGAGTATATTTTAAATGATGAGGTTTATAAAATTTTATTTATTTATTTTTGACTTTATAGAACAAATAACGGTGACTAATTAATAATCTTCGAACCAATAATTTTATTAAAATCTAATCTATTAACTTCAACCCAGAGTTTGGGAACCGGAAGTAGAAACCTGGTAGCCGAAAATAAAAAAAATTTGTAATCTAAACTAGAAACTGGAAACGCCATCTTTTTTAAAAAAAAATATTCTAGAAATTAGGAATCGGAAACCATTTTAATATTTTTTTTAAGGAACTAGAATTTGAATTTATTTAAAAAAGGAAAAGTTTTGATTGGTTAATATCGCAAAACGAATCTAAATAAGCAAAATATGGTTGGAAGTAGTGTTGTTTAAAGGCTCGATTTGAGCCGATTTTTAAAACGACTTAATAAATATTTTAGCCAGAAAAATATTGCCTAAGCCTCGAGATTTAGTTAATAGGTGTCCAAAACTTTGTGTCACCTATAAGAAAAATCTTTAGGATTGCATAATATTTTTTTTGAATAAAACAATGAGTTAGTCGTTTTTAAAAATCGGCTCGAATTGAGCGGTTTAACAACACTAGTTGGAAGTAGAACCTTAGAACCCATTGAAGCTCCAACAATTCTAAAAACCGAAAATCTTTATTTTGTCCATGCTCCTTTATAAGGGTTATATATTATTTATAAATTTTATAGAAGATGAGCGAATTACTTCTAGGAAAGTGAAAAAAATAATTATATAATATCCCTTTTTTTTAAAAGGCTCTTATAAATGTTTATAATATTTTTGATTGCGCAACAAGCAATAAATATATTTGGAAAGGTATAGAATTGTATCCTTTCTGAACAGATATTTCAGATCCAAAATATTCTCAAATTAAGAATAATATAAAATTGTAAATTACATACAATTAATATGTCTTGTTTTTTGGGGTGATAAACCTTTTTCTTCACTAATTTATCCCAATAGTATCTTGGGAAGGTGTTAGTGTTGATAACCAATTTGTCCCAGTGATCTTTAAAATCCTCGTCACCCGGCTGCTTATCGATCCACATAGCTTCGAATTCTAATTGTCTGCAAATTTCTTTCTCCCTCTTGAATATCGAAAGGGGTACCTTAAAGAACAATGCCCCAGAATATGATTTGAATGCCATATAAAAACTTTACGTTAATCTTACTCTAAATCATTCCAAATTTAGGTCACCAGAAATTATTCAGATGAATAGTTTCAAAAAAAAATCTAACATAATCAATTTACAGAAGATTAGTGCAAGTTTTTAAACTCTTATAATATAAAATCAATCATATCTTACTTTGAGATAATAGTAACCTATCAACATAGCTAAGGATACAAATATATGAGTGACGCAAAGAATTTGAATGAGTGGACTCAAAAATATGGCGTTCTCGTCCAACCTTATATATTCTTTGACATTAGAATCGCTGGAATTCGCCTCAGATAGATTTAAATTTGATGCGTCAATTTTGGATGATTTTTCTTCTAAAGGTACTTGGTCAACCTTCATGTAAACATTATATTATTATTTTATTTCATTCTTTTTTTTCGCTTTTCTCTTACCTTCCTTCCTTTTCCCTTCCCATGGCGTCTCTCTCTTGCGAAAATTGATATTAATTATAAGGATAGAATTATTTACTTTGAAAAAAAGTAGGAGAAAATTGATAGCGAAAGCTAGGGCTAGAGCAATATATTTGATATTGTAATAATTCCTAGCCACAAACCCGAATAATTTCTTGTTATCTATCATGGGAGCCCGTTTGGGTCCTGAGGGTTTTGTCAATACCTTTTTGGCCTGTCGCAAATTTTTGGCAATTATCATCTCTCTAAATTATACGAAAAAAATTTAAAAGTTGGGAATTATTTCATTTTTAAACACCGACAATTTAAATTCTTATTTGGAGCACTAAAACAATTAAGAATTATACTACACGAAGCCATGGATAGAAAGTGAGGAGTTAGATCTACGAATTATTTTTAACCCTATATTTTGTTTGAGATTGAAAAATAAATTCTTTAGGATAGCCAGAAGATTGCTAATATTTTTTCAATTATTAAAAAGAAGAAATTCCAGCGACCATAGCTTACAAGTGTGAATATGATCAAAATAAGAAGGGAAAAAAAAGTTATTTAAAAGTGTTTTATTCAAAAAGTTTATATATATGTTAACGTCAATGTGTTTTTTCCGGCAATGTGTTATTTTTTTCAACTGTCAGCACAAATTCGAAAAGGACCAAATTTAAAGACCAAAATGGTTTAACAAAATGGTTTCCCAAATTTTAACTTTTGAGCATAAAATCTGCCGCAATAGACGTAAAGTCCTAGTGATAGGACTGGTGCAGCCATTCAAAGATGCCATCAAGTTATAATTTTATCGTTAACATTTGAGTCATTTTTAATTTATATGTAAAATCTTAGTAAAAACTGATATAAAATTATAATAAGTTAGGTTCATGGCCAAATTATCTGAAATTCATAGGGTAGGCAAACATCGTGGAATACATTTCCGGTAAAATCAGAATTCTTTAATTTAAAAAAAACGCGCTTAAAAATGGATTTAAATAATAATATATTGTCGGAAAAACACACATTTATAATCTAGCTGAGCTATAAAATGAGATTTTTTTGTATAGATCTGGGCCCAAAATTTCGGCTAGCTTTTACATTTCTCATGAATTCTAATAAATTAATATAAAAACGATAACAACTTAGATTTTCTTTGGGAATTCATGGACTTTCTTGCCTGAGTGTCTTCTTCCAAGGTATTCTATTTTTTTATTTAAAAAAAAAAATGTTTATTATAAATTTTACATAATAATTATAATATTTATGTACCACAGTGCTAATTTTTTTGACGAAAGAAAACGATTTGGGCAAATGTTCGGATAGATATAATTGATCTAATTCATCTATCTCGTCTATTGAGGGCAAAGAAACTCTTTTATAAAAATTCCAAATGTAATTAATAGTTATATTTTATTGATTTTGAATCCTTATAAAAAAATTTTTTTCTTTCTTAAATTTGATAACATAATATTAAAATTATAGCGCATCGCTTCAGATAACCACCTTAACACGGTTATTACCTACTTATCTCCATCTATTCCCGTCAAAATTCTACAAAAAAAAATGTCCATCAAAATGTTCTATAAATTGATAAACTATCTGCGTTAACAAAGCATAACAACCTAAGAGTTACCTTATAAAGGTTTTGCATATCTTTAACAATTTTTTTTTTATTAAATATAATGACATCCATTATTTGGGCTTCACTTCAATGTTATCGAGATTACAAAATCTATTTACACTAAAACCTCGTTATAATGTATATGTCTTATGGAAATACGGAATCCGCAGGGATTAGGAATCTCTTGGTTTTAAATCCTTTGCTAAGGGCAATTTTTAGATTTTAAAAATATGATTTTACAATTGTATTTTGGCATGTGTAGAGTACCCAAACTATAAATTTCAAACAATTTTGCAATGAACTTTAGAACTACTCCTAATTTATATTAATTTTTATATCGATTTTTCATATAAATTAAAAAATACCAAAATGTCTATGGCTGGGCTGAAATTTATAGGGTAGATACTCTGCACATACTAGAATACACTTCCGGTTAAATCAGATTTAAAAATTATTTAAATCGCCCTCGTTAGGATTTATAATCAAGAGATTCCGAATTTTAAACATTATGTTACAGTTGACTCTTCAAAATTTTCGTTTAATAAAATTCTCTTTTAGCCCGATATACATAATATAAAGATACAGCAAATGTAATAAATAATTTATTAAACATATATACCTTTCTTGCATCCTATTTGTCAGTTCAATTCCAAATACGGACGAAGGGATAGGGGTTTCCATATCTTCGATGAAATCCCATTTAGCCTTATGTTTGGCTATTTTCATAGGTTTTTTCAGGGCGTTTGACATGAGAAATTTTAAGGTATTGGTATCTTCCTTGTTTTTGTCTTCGACTATGTAATCGTAACCTTTCATCATTATACTCACCCAGGTAAAGAAGACCCTTTAATTAATTTTTTTTTTAAATTTTATAAAAAGTTAAGAAAATTGTTTAGGGTTAATAATTATATACAGGAAACGCGTCATTCATTGTTTTTTTTTAAATAAAATTTCGTATTTTATTAAAAACTCAATATCCACAAAAATCTTTAGAATTCGATCGAGTCTATTTTTTTTTGGACGCTCGCCATTTTTTAAAATTCAGGCAATAAAATTCAAATTAAGGCGTTAATTTTTATTAAATTAAAAATTTTATCAAAAAGAAGATTAGAAGATCTTATACTGAAAAATAAGATATATGGGGAGAAAATTGGAATGCGCCAAGTTTGATTCCTGAATTCACTAGAAAATGTGGAATTCTTTCGTGCGGTTTGTATAACTATAGTTATACTCTTGTGAACGAGCTTTGAAGTGACTTCGAAATAAGGAAATTTTATTCCGAAAACAAGTCCTTTAATTTAAATCCATGCATATTATTAAGTGTTAGAGACTTTGGTTTATTAAAATTAGGTATACAACCTTTTGTAACTTTATGCAAACGTGAAAGAAAATTTTTGTGATATGATGGGCTCATCATTTCACAAGAAAAGATAACGTTTGCGTTCGATCAGAAAAGGAAATAACATTATAATTTATGATTAGGAAAAAAACGGGAGAGGTGATCAGCCATAGTTTGACATAATGGGAACCCATATCAATTCTTTAAAATATGGACTCAATCAATTCCTCTAAAAGTTTGAGGAAAGTTTTCCCCTTTTTTTTGAACTGAACCGAGAACCAATATTTACACTTATTATTATGATGTGCGATAAATATGAGAGCCGAGATACTTAAAATAAAATATTTTATAAAATTTTAGCGACCTGTTTAAAAACTTTACTTCCTGAATTTTAAATGAGTCATTGAAATAATTGATCGTCGCTTCTTATTTTTCCTGATCACCACTATACTCTTCCCCCCTCCCCTCCCCCACTCGTCCCCGCCAAAAAAAAATTTAAGAAAAGAACATATTATGGAAATTTAAATATTATACTTTCCGATTAAATAAATGAATCCAACTGTGGTTTTAAAACAATTCCATATGAACGAAAGTATTATGAGACACTTTTGGTAGGCGCTCAGCTCTTGCATTTTACCAAACCTTTTCTTGAAACTCGAGAATTTCGAGCGGAAATTAGAAAAATCGCACGCGTTTTTGATAAAGTAAAAACTATGTTTAATGAGAGTTTTTGGATGTCTTTTTTTTTAAAAAAAAAGAAAAATGAAAGAAGAAATTTATAATTGAGAAAATAAAATAAGTATAGAGTATATCTGTAGTAATAACATTAAATAATTATCATGGGTATATTAACTTTGCGAAATATTTTTGGCTATAACTAATGTTGTAAACGTGTTTACGTGAACCTAGCTAGTTTTTTATGAAAAAAATGATGAACGACGTTTCTTTTATTTTAAACGAACTTTGAATATTGGACGCGTTCCGTTTTTTTTTGACGAACGCGTTCGTTTTTTACGTTCGTTCAATTTTAGAAAATCTTCTTATTTCTATTCATTTGAAAATAAAATATTAGTTTAATATTAATCATAATTTTTTAAGAAATTTTTTAATCAGCTGTTTCCTTTATTACATTTGAATTTTCTTACCAGCCACTATTTCTGTCCTATTTCTTATAACATAGTTTATTTATTTAAATTTGTATTTTATAGATTAGCGTAAGCATGGGTGTTGTTATTTCATCATCTGAATCTAAATTAATTACCATGACCCAAATAAAATAAATACTTTACAGTAACATATATTCTATAAACTAAAACCACCCTTTTCAAATTTAAAATGTGTTCTAAATAGAATGATACCAGTTTTAAAATCTTCAAGTTCTAATTTAAAGAGATACTTGATTATAATATATATTATTTTATATATAATACAACTATAACTCTAAGTATCAAATTAATAATTTCTTTTAGATTGTTGTATTTTAGAGATTAATTAAATTATTATGATTATTATAATAGACATAAAGTTAAGATAATTAAATATTATATATTTGATGCATAAATATAAAATAATTAATGTCTTTAAATTTATTTATTTTAGTGTGCTATTATTTGAAATTTCGCTATTATTTAAGTTTTTATCAAGGATTTTATATTTTAATAGTTGAACAAAATTTCAAGTATTATAAATTTATATATCTTATAAATAATTATATTTTATATGAGATAATATATAAATGTTTTTATATATTAAAAATTAATAAAATATTTTTTTATTCACTCACCAAAACTATTAATTTTAAACATGGCTAATTATTGTAAAATATATGGTATTTATTTATATTAAATAAAATTAAATATTTAAAAAAAAAAATTATTCATAAAGTTTTTGAACGAACGTAAACGCGTTCCGTTTTTTGAATGTGAACTTTGAACGTGAACAAGTTCGATTTTTTGTCAATGAACGTTAAACGCGTTCCATTTTAAAAAAAAAATGTTTACAGCACTAGTGATAACCAACTAAAATAATCATGGCTTAAAAAAAAAATTAGCTCCCGTAATTTTACTTTCAATTATATCTATGGAAATTAAATAATATTTATTTATTTTTTTTACATTGTAGATAAGTTATATTTCTTGATAGATTCCGTGGATTCTATAGTCTCTTTCCGCTTTTCGGGTGGCAATTCTTCTTCAGTGCTAATGTTCGTGGCGTGTTTCATCTTAATGTTGTTTACAAAGTTTAGAAAATTTATAGATTTCGATTTATTATTAATTAAACCTCTTCCTTCTTTCTTTTTAAAACAATTCCAAGTAATTATCATTAATGCCCTTTTTAGAAAAGTTCTTTGTTTAGTTGTGTACTAGTGTTGTTAAACGGCTCCTGATTTTTAAAAACGGCTAACTCAATATTTCACCCAGAAAAATATTACAAGCCTGAAGATTTTGCTCATAGAAGGAGCAAAGATCAAGATATATATTATCGAATCTCGAGGCTTAGGCAATATTATTCTGGCTACAATATTGAGCTATCCGTTTTAAAAAATCGGCTCAAAACGAGCCGTTTAACAACACTTGTGTATATAGGGGGTAATATTAAATGATGATAGATAAAAAAAAATATGTTAACGAATCCTTTTTGCCCTCTTAGATAATAACGATAATAATTTGCAATAAATATTCATTATTATTATTATTTATTATAGGTTCTCCTTAATTTTCGAATAATAGTCCTTGATTATTATAAGGATTAAAAATCCATTCTTGATTTAAATTGAGTCAATCCTTATGGTACCTTCAGCCCCCTTTGGATTATCTATAAAGATTAATTTTAAATATATGTTTTTTTTTTAAATGGAAAAAAATTAGGAATTGGAACACTAAAATCATCAAATCATTGTATACCTATTCTTCAATATTAGTTTGTTTTTTATATTGAAAAAAAAAATACTTCAAAAATGGTATCTTCACAGAAATTTACGAATGACTCCAATTTGCCTTTGTCACCGGCTTCGTTGACCATACTATGTAAAAATGCCCTTTTGGATTCCTTTTTTAATGAATGAATGAAAGAAACAACGGTTGAAAATTCTTAATTCTAAACAATATGTACCTATCAGGATAATTATGATGCAATAAGTCATACAAAGACTTAATAACAAACCCAACCAATTATATTTAAGTATTCATCATAAATTTTTTGGTATATATTACAATTCATAGATTAGGTGTGTCTGTGTATATACATTTAATATGTAAATTATACCAAGGATGTAAACCAGGACCCGGACCAAGACCCTGGACTATCCAGAACCCTCGTATTTTGGCTGTACCCGAACCCGGACCCCTTTTAAAAGTAAAGGGTCCAAGGGTTCTTAGGTGTCATAAAAAAATTTTAAAGTTAAAATATTTTTTATAAAAATAATATAAATTTTTATTTTATTTTATTAACTTTTTTTTGTGGAATCATTTTTTTTTTATCTTTGCTTTTTTCTTTCAATTTTCTTCCTGAACTTCCATTTTATTTAGAGATATTGATATACTAAATTATTTTCCAGTGTAGGTAATAATATTTTATTATGTAAATTTATTAAAATGCTATATACGTTGATTATTTTCAAAGTGAATTATTTTGTAATGCAAGTAATAATGTTTTGATTTAAGATGATTGGTGCCAAATAAAGGATCTTACTAGCATATTAGTTCCTTTAAAAATAAAAACATTACGATTACAATCAGAACAATTATACCTAATTTTTATGGCATATGGATTAGATGCCGATTAGATTTAGAAAGATTTACTAGTCTTTTTTCATATGAAATATTAGAGAACATGAAAATTCGAGATAAACAATATTAGAGTGTTGTATACGGCTTCGCTTCTATAATATTTAGACTCTTGATATCAAGTTTTATTGAGTATTTAGCAAAAACAGATGGCTAAAGACCATTTTAAGGATTTATGGCATACGCAAAACTCCATTATTTACAACATATTGGAGGCTTTGACTGACAATATCTATTGGTTGTAGTGATAATAATGATAATGATAGCAACATTGATGATCTTGAAATGTTACATTTAGATAGATAAAAATCAAATAAACATCAGATAGAAAGGAGAATCCAAAAATACCTATTACATCCTTAATAAAAAATTTCTCAAAATTTAAGAAAATAAATAAAGATACAAATATTTTAAAATTCTGGGAAGAAAATTTTTCAATTTATCCAGAATTATATATCTTGTCTAGAATCCTCATGGCTGTACGGGCGACACAAGTACAATAATTTATGTATTATAAAGATAACTATCTATTTTAAGTCAGCGGTTCTAAGTGAGTCAGTCTTTGAGGAGATGACGACGTCGATATATATTTTCAGTTATTTTAGAAACTAGTATTTATTTATATTTTAATTTTATATTTAGATTATAAAAATTAAATGTGGCTGAATTATTATGATCGCGTATTTAATTATATTTTTTAATCGAGTTAATATGTTATTTTTAGATGTATAAAAAATTAGTTATGATAGACTCATTGTGAATAAACATGGTTAATTGAAATTATGTTTGTATAAGAAAAAAAAAATAATAATGGGGTAAAGAAATTTAAAAAAAAAAGAAGTTTTTTTTGTTCAAAAGAGATAAATAAAATTGAATAAATAAGGTTAAAGGAAATTATTCTATGATTATATAAAAAAAAGGAATATGCGAAGAAAAAATTTTCTTGAAGGAATTGGAAGCGATAAGAAGCGGGATGATTAATGAGAAGACAACTTAGTTAAATTGGAGTAAATTAAGAAAGAAAATCAAAGAAAAGTGGGATTTGGGAAGAGAAATGTTGTCTTTCCAAGGGAGTATGGGATTGATAGTTTAACATAAGAGAATATTGGAAATAAATGGTTTCAAATTTAATAAATTTTAAAAAAAAGAGGAAAAACAGCAGAACAAATTATATTGGTGTAGAAAAGCATTCTCGTTTAAATGGATTTTATATTTTGAATAAAGAAGCAGTTTTTCTTGCAGGCAGAATTCTACATTATGACCATTGTAACGACGTAAGTGTATTATTAGCTGTATATAGGTAGAGTAGGGGCAAGAGGGCGAAAGGAATTTTTGTAAAAAAAAACGGGAAGATATGAGGGTAGTTAATTTAGAATATATGTATAGGTATGTCGATTTGGGAACGCAACTGGTGGGGACAACGATCATTAGCAAGGATATGGAGCCATTAGCTAGTGAGTGGAGAGCACTGGCCAACGAAGCGAAGTCTGGGGGAAGTCGAACGAGGGATGGCGGAGAAAGATTGAAGATCCGAATCTATGTTATGGCTGTGGACAAGCTGGGCATATTCGAAGATGGTGCCCAAGGGAGTGACCAAACGCAGAGCACGGAGCGGGGAATGAAAAGAAGAAAAGAAGATGAAAGCCATGTTCAAGAGATGTCGGAGTAGGTGCCGGAGCTGCGAGTGGGAAAAGAAGAATACCGGCAATTATTGGGGTCGCCAATGACTGGTAAAGGGGGGAAATGTTCTAAGTAAGTCAGTCTTTGGGGAGATGACGACGTCGATATATATTTTCAATTATTTTAGAAACTAATGATAAATAATATTTATTTATATTTTAATTTTACTTTTAATTAAATTTTTAATCATTTATTTCCAATATTCTCTTATGTTAAACTATCAATCTCATACTCCCTTGGAAAGACAACATTAACTATTACGTTATCCGCTTATTCAGACAGAATTTAGATACTACAAAGGATATATATTCAACTACTTTATTAATAATATTTCCACGACTTCTATAACAACAACTTTATTAATATTTCCACGAATCAAAATATTATTTAAAAATATTAAAATTTTATAAAGGGTGAAAAAATTAACTGAAAAAAATTACAATTTCGCTTCCCTTTTATAGGGAAGCAATAATCATCAAAGATAAAATATTAAACTAAAAATAACTCTTTTAAAATTATAATTTCTCATATCACAATGAGTCTATCATGACTAATTTTTATACATCTAAAAATAACGTATTAACTCGATTAAAAAATATAATTAAATACGCGATCATAATGATTCAGCCACATTTAATTTTTCTAAATAAAATTAAAATATAAACTATTCATCATTAGTTTCTAAAATAACTTAAAATATAGATCGACGTCGTCATCTCCCCAAAGACTGACTCACTTAGAACATTTCCCCCCTTTACCAGTCCTTGGCGACCCCAATAATTGCCGGTATTCTTCTTTTCCCACTCGCAGCTCCGGCACCTCCTCCGACATCTCTTGAACATGGCTTTCCTCTTCTTTTCTCCTTTTCATTCCCCGCTCCTGCGGGCATACCTCTCCCTTGGGCCACATCTTCGAATGTGCCCGCTTGTCCACAGCCATAACATAGATTCAAATCTTCAGCCTTTCTCCAGCCCTCCCTCATTCGACTTCCCCCAGACTTCGCTTCGTTGGCCAGTGCTCTCCACTCACTAGCTAATAGCACCATATCCTTGCTAATGATCGTCGCCCTCACCAGATGCGTTCCCAAATCGACATACCTATACATATATTAGAAATTAACTAACCTCATATGTAGAACGTGGATTTTAATTTTTGAAATATATATTGTCTAATTTACGTGGAAATCTCAAGGATGATATTTTAGAAGATATTATGATTGTGCGATTGAAAAAAACATTTAAAATATAAATTATTTCATTTTAAAATTTTCTATTTGTAAATTATGTATATGTATATATTGAAGTATAATAATAAATAAATTTTAAAAAAAGTCTTATATTTTGAATTTCTTTTATGTTCCTTGAACCCCGTCCCTGGATCTGGACCCTTTTTTAAATTTTATTCCTGTAACCCCCCCCCCCCGGACCCTTTTGTTGTTGAAGGGTTTACATCTCTGAATTATACGTATATTATTTTTTATAATTATATGGTGTTTAAAATTATAATGTCAATTACAACATATTAGGCCGTTTCCACGAACGTTTTTTCAAAGCTGTTTGGGCAATGTTACCATACGATTAAAAAAATGGGGATCTAGATTGTTTATTTTGAAATATCATATTATATAAAAATTATTGACAAAATGATTCCTTCTAACATATCCCAAAAAGCTTTGAAAAAAGGTTCTGTTAAAGATATTTCGAATTTTAAAAATATTCGTACTACCTTTTTGTACTTTTTCTTTTTGTGAAATATATTTTGTACGACCTTTAAAAAGTTATCGTATTTGTATATGTAAAACGTTAAAATAACTTTTCTTAAAGTAACCTTAAAACAAATATCAAATTGTATATATGTAAATATTCTAAAAAATAATAATATATTATTGAATGAAATTTTGTGAAAAGGGATAGAGATTTTAGATAAAGAAAAATTAAATAAAAGTTTTTAAATTTTAAATAATAACAGTCTTGCCTCTTCCTGCCTTCTATGTAATTATCAGGTTCGGTCTATTTAAAATTTAATTATATTGTTAATTTATATATATAATAATTAATAAAATTATTATATAAATAAAATGCCTTACGAATATTTTTGTTTAATAAATTAGATGGATTTTAATATATCTATATTTTTATATTTAATGTTTGTGATTTACTTCACTATTTATAAATTCTTTCATAATATTTAATAATTGTAAATAAAATCTTAAATTAAGTGAATATTAGATCATAAATTATTAGGGCCATCTATAGTCTATTAAATTCTTCTTTTTAAATATATTTATATATTATAAAAATAAATTGAATGATAAATAATTAAAAGATTTGTTTTATAGAGATAAAATATTTTAAAATTTTTACGCAATTTATATTTATTTATATATATTCTGTTTCTATATGTCGCTGTGGGATATGCAATCCGTTGGAATTCGGAACCTCTCAATTAAAATTTAAAAACCGATTTAACGGGTAATGTATTCTAACACGTATAGAGTAATTACCCTATAAATTATAGCCAATTTCCGCCATATACATATTAGTATTTTTTTAATTTATATGAAAAATCCGTATAAAATTTAATATAAATTAAAAGTATAAAGTTCATGGTGTTTGAAATTAACAGGTACCCTATACATGCTGAAATTCAATTCCTGTCAATTCCGATTTTTAAAAAAAATTGCCCTTATTTAAAATAGAGAGATTCCGAATACCCCGCGGATTCCATATCCCAATTCGACATTATATATATATAGAATATTATAAACATAATAAATAATTTTTTTATATATAAATATCTCAAAAATTTAAAAATGTTAAGATCAAAAATCAATAGTCATAGCGACGATATGCAACTACTAATTCTTAGAATAGTTTCAACAAACAAAAATTGAGAAAAATATTTGCTTAAAACCTTAATCTGGGGTTTCTCCCATTGATCGATGTGACATTGTTTTATTTCAAAGTAGACCCTTTCGATTCTATTGCTGCTACCTAAAGTAATTTATTAGATACATTAATATATAATATAGGTATAGTAGACGCAATTTATATTTTTTTTTTAAAAAAGGCGACTATATAATTTTCTAAAAAAGGCTTGCATAATATTAAAGTAAGCCTATTCAAAAACGAATAACGAATTATTCGAATTCTATTTTAAACGAATCGATTTATTTACTTTTCGTAATTATACTATTCGACTAAGTCTTTCTATCTCCTTCCTTTCCTTTCTTTCTTTCCTTCTTTCTTTCTTTCTTTCTTTCTTTCTTTCTTTCTTTCTTTCTTTCTTTCTTTCTTTCTTTCTTTCTTTCTTTCTTTCTTTCTTTCTTTCTTTCTTTCTTTCTTTCTTTCTTTCTTTCTTTCTTTCTTTCTTTCTTTCTTTCTTTCTTTCTTTCTTTCTTTCTTTCTTTCTTTCCTTCTTTCTTTCCTTCTTTCCTTCTTTCTTTCTTTCTTTCTTTCTTTCTTTCTTTCTTTCTTTCTTTCTTTCTTTCTTTCTTTCTTTCTTTCTTTCTTTCTTTCTTTCTTTCTTTCTTTCTTTCTTTCTTTCTTTCTTTCTTTCTTTCTTTCTTTCTTTCTTTCTTTCTTTCTAAGCCTAATATTAAGGTATAATGATTTTATTAATTTTTTTAAAAAAAACCCATTATCTCTATGCGTCCCAAGAAGGGTTCGAAATGTTTCAGAAAACTTTCAGCGTTAACTAGAAATTTGGTGAATCTTGTTTGTTTTTATTTTTCAAAGAAAAATTTTTATTTACAATTGAAATGATATTTTTTTTTTTGAAATGATATTTTTACAAGGTATAAATTATTATTTTATACGGTTGTAAAGATGCTGCTAAATATTTAGAGTTAATTAAATTAAAATAAAATATTTAACTGCGATCTCTTGTAAAAAGACTTTGAAACCTAATGAGACAATTAAATATCCATTTAAAATAAAAGGCAATATTTAAAAGTTACAAATATTATTCTTTGAAAAAAATTTTAACGTTCAAAGTTTTGAGAGTTTACCTGGGTTCATTTATAACGTGCTCTTGTAAATTGGTCAGTAAGACGGCCAAATTAAAGCCTATATCCTTTGATGGGTCCTCGAACCTCGCGTTGAAAGCGGAATAGCACATTTTCCCATCTTTATTTGTTCCGCAGGATTTTATTAAGAAATCTATTTCCTCTCTAATAAAAAACAAAAATAATTTATTTGCGACAAAATAATTGGAATTTTTAAAAGCGGAAAATTATGATAATTATGTTTTTAATCATATACTGAGAATAGGTTTTTTGAACATCTAATATTCTTTTGAAATCCTTGGGAAATATTGTGCCAGTTTTATGTGGGTCATAGTCCTAATATGGGAAAAATAAAATATATATCTATATAAACTTGATAAGTCCTTACTAAGAACAAAGGGCTTTGAATTGTGTTTGACAATTTTAAAAACATATCGAAATATTTTAGTATCATCTCGATGTTAGAAGACGATTCCATCAACGTATCTACCATTTGTTTGCCTATGGTTCCATTCATAATGTTGCCTAATATAAATTAACGTTTCATAGAATGATCCTTTTTCAGCCATCATTTTATTAATATTGAGAAGCTGGTAATGTTGATGTTTATAATAAATAAATGGTGAAAAAAAAATTTTTGAATATTTCCAATCAAACTTGATACATAGCTACTTAATTAGGTTCTAATTTATACAAAATGGAATCATTGATATTATTCAGAAATATTAGAGGAAAATGAAATAGTGATTATTAATTATATTTTAAATTTTGAACCTTCTAATATGGATAACATCATGATTATCATATCTTTTTGAAGCTCCAAAAATTCAGTCAGCAATTCCATTTGGTCCACATCCTATTGAATAATTTATTTATATAATTTTTTAATCTAGTATCTCTTTATTATTGATATGTATTTCTATATTATTATTTATATTATAAATAAGCTACATATTTTTCTAACATTAATTTTTTTTAAAGAATTAATGGAAGTATTAAAGATAATACAAAGCATATTTTCTATAATGTTTCATACATTGTAACAATAAAATTTCCAGATTTTTAATTTCCATAGTTTATGATTTTTCTTTAAAAAAAATTTAAAATACTTTGGAAAGTTTGTTTTGCATATTCGTGAATAGGAAAAAATAGCCAGATATAGCATCCCACAACCTGCTATGAGCTAAAGCCAATTGGTTATACAGACAGGGCCCCTGTATCATTTCTGTCAACGTGTTAAATACCTTAAGTTTAACGATCACATTTAAACAATTTATGTAAATAATATATATTACATTTAAAAGAGTATAATTCAATCAACATAATTATTTAATAATAGTTCTATCTTCTATCTCTGGTTTAAAAATTAAAATAAAAATAATAACACTTTATGTATTAACGGGGTTTTTTTTATAAAGTTCTGGGTCTAAATTTGCAAATAAGGAAACTTTCGTTTACCAAAATATGTTGCTTACAATGTTATTTGAGTATTCATGCACTAACTACACAGTTTTAAATAATAGACAATAAGGTTTACTTGTTTGGATACCTCGATGCCCCTAGTAAATAGCATTACACCGAGTTTGTCGATGGAAGATTTTCCGGAGTAGTGCCAATAAAAGTCCATTATAGATTCCTGAAGCCTCAGTAAATAATCTACCGTGCACACAACTATATTCACCTTTAATATCGAAAAAATTTTAGATTTATATAGATATTAGGAATATCATTAGAAAATTTTAAATAATAAAAGATAATTCCTATATATATTATGATGATTGCTTGTGAAGAATATTCCAAAAATAAAACTGAAAGAAATGATGACAAAAAATATATTTTGTTATATTTCACTTATCAAAAATAAATTTTTAAGTTTTTTTTAGCCATAGAGCTGCTAGAATTAGTTTAAACTATTTATGAGTTTAAGGTCTGGATAGAATTATTTTATGTGAGAGAGATGGTTAGGCAGTGGCATGTCCAGAATTTCATTTCAGATAGTAAAATGGTGGAGAACTGCGCTCTCTAAGATATACCTTAGTAGGGACTCGCATTTTGTTGGCTGATATTTTTAAGGGGATAGATATCGTGCTTTTGACTCTTTATTTAACTGACTGGACTTAAATAAAATTTTAATAGTTAGGTGTGACAGGGGTAAGGCGATTAGCGGGGTGACAAAGTTAGCGCGAATAACCTTTTAACCTTTGAGCATAAAGACCTTAAAATTGGCGTGAAGATGTATTTTTATATCTCATTTTTTTGTCTATATTAATCTTTTGAAAAACTTTCTTGATTATTAAAAAATAGACACATGTTTAAACAGTTTCACTAATCATTAAAACAGAAATATGCAACATTTTTTTTTATTTTGGGACCCGTCTTATCTTTAAAACTGCTTCCTTAGATCGTCACGGTGGCTAGAATTAGAGATTGATAGTCATTAATAAATTTTGAAAATCGTAATCTTTTCAAAAATCGAAACTATTCAATAAAAAAATTAATTGGAATTATAGATATTAATCGATTATTATATAACTTTTGATTAGATGTAGAAATGTAATACAATAATTATTTAACATAATTAAAATAAAAACCCCACAAATCTACAATATTCTAGATAAAAAATTGCGTTTTAACTGTGGTTGTGTTTCCGATCTGAGTTCTCAGATAGTTTTGAAAGTTTAAATTATGGCCTTCACATAACAACTGCAAAAATCTAAAGAGCGCTCTGGTTAATTCATAATCTTCCATATTTTTGCCCGCTATAGAGTCTGATAGGTCGACTCCCAATGACTCCGCCTTGATATTCCTTTCAAATCCTTCCAGATCCAATACTGTAGAACGCGATATCAAGCTTGATGCTTAAGGATTCATTTTTTTAAAAAACGATTCAATATAATTATATGTATATACATAGAATTAGTAAATAAGTGTAGTGGGTTTAGGAAATTAAAAAAAAAAATTAAATAAAACTTTGATCAAATACTAATTATTCACTTACTTGAAGTAAAAAAATCAACGTCCTTCTTTTCTTGAAGATACTTAAGCATCCGCCTTTGAATATCTGTATTTCCACCCTTCAATATAGAAATACCTAACTCTAGAGTCCTCTTCATAATAATCCTATATGTAGCGTAAACACATTTCTTATAATTATATATAATTTTATAATGTATTTGTTAAATATTTTAAGATACCATTCGGAATTGTTAAAAGCTACTTTTAACAATTAAAGCATCAGTTCTACTGCTATTTATTTAAATAAAATGGTATTCCATTAATTCTTATCTATTTTTAAAAAGGGCACGTTAAGTAATTTATTTTGGTTACGCTCATTTGGTATATATAGTTTTTCGTTGTTAAAAGAAATATTCTCAATTTTTCAGGCTCATTTAAATAATATAGTATGATGAGTTACTCCGAACTACATTTGGAGGCTCCTATGTATAAAAGTATCATCTCGGATAGACCACATTTAGCTAACAAAAGTTGTTCGGACAAAAGTCTCAATCTTTCCGCCTCTTGATCCTATTGAAAGAAGGAATTTAACAAAAATTGTTATTTAGTTAAAATAATAAAAAAATTATTTCAACAAGTTTACATTTTAAAAAATATAAAATATTATGAAAAATTTAAGAGAGAATTGAATGAACTTGATAACTGGTTGTTGTTTCCTCTTCAACTTCATCGACAACAGTGTTTCCATTAGGCTCTTTTGCAGTCACACTGATTTCTTGATCATCTTTATCTTCATCTTAATTTAATATGATTTGAATTAACTCTATATATTATATATGATAAAAAGGGAATTTATACATCAAAGAAAATTTTTTTTATAGAATAACTATTTCCTATATTTGTACTTATAATAATAATTTCTTATAATGCATATTTATTCATAATCGACAATAAATTTTAACATGTTATATGATTTTTTAAAAAATATTATTAATAAATTCGCGTTCTTTTTAATTTATTTTATAAAATTTAAAACTGCTCAGTAATCACTATAATTTTTTATTTTATTCGATAATGGAAAATGCATTGCCAAAAATCTATAAAATTAAATTCCTTTCCTATTATATAATTAGTCCTCATTGCTAAAAAATTTAATTATTTAAAATATAGACATTATTATTATATAAATTAACAAGTTTCCACTTATCTTTTAATTTTTAATTCTCCTTTAACTTATATTTTATTTTCTTTTAAAACAACGCCATTTCTTTTTTCTTTAAAAAAATATAAAACGCAATAATAATTTTTTATTTCTTTTTTTTTCTAATATATTTTCTACAATTAAAACATAATAATCAACAAAAAAAACAATATTTTTCTACAATTAATATCTAATAATAAACAAAAATTGATATTTAACTAATTTCAGTACTTTTAAATTAAAAACCACAACATAAATTTTTTTGATTTTAAATTATCAAAGATTTCTTGAATCGAATATTAAAAACTGCCTGAGATTAATATGATTTTTATTATAATAAACCTTCGTTATCCAGAAGTCCTGAATTTGGAGGTTTGAGAATATTCTCTTTCTTAGCCTCTTTGTCGCTATCCTCTTCTTGATCATCTGAAGGTCCTCCGCAACTCTTAGACATTAGTACGCAGTAAGACAGGTATAAGTCGTGACCACCTAAACTGGTTTGAACATTTTTATTAAGACCCTGCTCTGCTCCAACTGTGGTAGTAGATGCGGAGGCAAAATCAGTTGAGTTTCTAATAATTTCATGTCATTCATCATTTATCATATTTAATATAATATATTATAAACAGTTTCAGGGGGCATTATAACTAGAACTTTATGTTGGGAAAGGGGGTGGGGGAGAAGGTATACTAGAGGAGGAAAATTTTTTTAACAAAATGCATGTTTCGCTTTATATTCATCATTTAGTTATCGTTTTTCTCATAAGCTTATTTTACTAGGTTCACCATTTTTAATAAGGGACTCGTGAATGAGCAATTGAGATTATGAATTAGGTTTGATTTATGAATATAGTAAATAATTATAGAAAAAAATATAAATAATTCTTTTTTAAATTAAAATTTACTTTGATTTTATATAAGGGCTGTGCATAAAACACAACAATAAACAATTGGGGCCAGGAAGAAACTTTAAAAAGAGACGAGGCACCAAACGCCTGGTATAATTACGGACCTAAGCTATTAGAGCATCAAAAAAATTTGAGATTATTTAAATATAACCTGAGGTAGAAGGGGGTGGAGCAAAATTACAATTATATTTCATTCATTTACCTGGAAGTTGCGCTCTCGTAAAAGTATCTCACAAGATGAGTCAACGCGTTGAATTCAACTTTATCACAGTGGGTAGCTAGCAATTGTAGCACTGTTTCATCTATTTGATTAAGAGTCGTTCCCCCAGATGCTGGGATAGTTGCTACTACTAGAGATTCACTACTTGCTGGTCTCATGTGAGATGATTGATCAGGAGTTGGCACATTACCCTTGGGTAATAATAAGAGTGGCTCCGTACGGAAAAAATTAATCATGTGCTCTTCCTCGATTCTATTGACACTGGTAGATGTGGAAGCGTTAGATGTGGCATTATCGGAACTCATGGTATCTTGCTTTTTCACGAATCTAATGCACTAAGAAGGTGATTATACCATAATTAGATTTAAATTTAGATTCATTATAAAAATAGATAATATACTAATTTATAAAATCAAAACTTGTAAATCTTGAATCAACTTTTCTTCGTGTGGATCCACATTGGACAACCATATTTTGTTAAATACGAGCAAGAATATATTGATTACTTTATGTCTTTATAAATATATTTTTATTTAAAAAAAACAAATAATTTTTCCCCGATCATAATCTATTACAAATTAAATTATAAATTAAACTTGTCTTAATAATTCAAACTCTTTTCAACATGAACAATGACCTATTATTGATATTATGTTATAACCTGCAATTTTACTCCACATGATTCATCCATAAATTAATGGTTGCAAAATTGTAATATTTCTTGGTACTCATCTTAACAAGTTCATCGATATAAAAAAAATGATAAACTTCGCCTATGATAAAAATATTTTCCTTCCCTCAATTTAAAAGGCATAAATACACTTCTTTGTGTATTACAAATTAAAAAACACATTTTATTAAAAGTAACCGAGGCAATGAATGCAGTGCTATCATTCTGAAACAAGCTACCACCGCTTTTTTCCTTGGGGAAGATAATAAACTCTGCCAAGAATGCTTTATTGTAGGAGGTGGATGTTCAACCTTACATTAATATTTATAATTATTTGTTTAAGCAATTATTTAATTAAATAAAACACACAACCTCCACCCCCTCCACCATCCCACTCTTAAGCCAATTTTTTATGATCGAATCCTTTCATTATATGAAGAAGAAGAAAAAACAATGACATATAATGCTACTTAAGCCTGACGATTCATTTATTATAATTTATATCAATACAATTCAGCTGGTGGCACGATATTTTGGTTTCCCCGTGGTTAATAGTAATGTTATAAAAATTTTATGAAAACTTCATTTATATGTAAAAAAATACGGGCAAATCAAAATGGAGTGTGACCAGCTGATATGTATTCAACGAAGTTTTCAAACGTATTTTGATGAATGAATCCCAGTCTTGATGAGTTATATATGTGAAAAGACTAATTTAATAAAATTTATTTATTAAAGTGATTTCTTATATGATCGACCCATTTTAATCTTACACCTAATTATTGATAAGAAATTGACACCTTGTGAAGTTGGTAAATAACGTACGCAATCTCGTAAATTTTAGTCGCCTTCTCAATGCTGGACAAATCACTATCGTCTTCGTCTACTCGACTAGCTTTACCTATCTCATTGTACAAAACGGTTTGCCAATTAAGGCCCATGTTCACTTTGTGACTATTAGACTATTTATTAATTTTTGAAAAATTTTAATTATAATCTGATACTTCACCCACTGTTTTTTTTTCAAAATATTGTAAGCATGAGGCTTGAAGAAAAGTAAAAATATATGTAATAAAAAAATTATATTGTAAGTTCTTTTAACCCCTAGCTTTATCTATAACTTTTTTTTCTAACTATATTTACATATATTAAGTTTTGTTTAATAGGGATTTTAACATTATAACTCTTATAAAAGTGTCTATTATAATTTATTAAAAATATATTCACATTCATAATCGTTTTTTGGTTATTTTCGATCTGTTGTTTAATCCATTCCATGACATTTTCTTCTGAATTTCCCTTTTTTTATATATATATACATATATATAATACTTTTATTTATGAAAAGAAAGATAGAATTGAGTGCGATTATTACTTGAAGTAGCTTTTCTTTCGAATTTTGAATCAATTCTTGTTCCTTTCCATCGAAAGCGTTTAAACCGACGGGTATAATTCTTTTCAACGACGTTATAACTAGGCTATCCGAATGGTGGATTTCATATTTTTTAATCTTTATTTTTATTTCAAATATTATAATGAATAGATTTATATATTTCTATATTGTTAATGTGAGTATAATTAAATAGGTAAGCAACCATTGAGATCAAGTTATACACTATCCACAATAAGAAAAGTCTCAAATAAATAGGAAATATTTTTGAGCATTTTTTATAATAAAGAGCTCAAGTTATTAGGAATTGAAAGGAATTACGTTCCGCGATTTGTTTGTCGTGGTATCGGGTAGAGCATTTCCGCTCGTCTTAGAGAGCTTAATTGCCTTATTAGCGTTGATTTTCATCAAAAAGTTTTGTTCGTACCGTCTAAAATTCTAGATAGAAATTAAAACTAGGTTTATTATAAGAAGTGTATGCGAATATGAATATAAGGTGCAGGGTAAGTTGTTCCACCTAATTCAGGCCCATGACCATGAAGTTTAAGTTGAAGGGGGGGGGGGGTATTTTTAGGAGCCATTAGAAACATATATGAAGGCTAAGGACTGATTTAATTTAATAATTCCGTAGAAAAGAAAGCTAATTTAACATATTATGCTGGACTAATTATTAATATCAAAACCATGAGAGAAAATTTATTGAAATTTTGAAATTTATAGATGGTTGTGATATATAAAAATTTTAAGGTTTTGGTTTGTTTGTATTTTTGGCAAAACTATTATAATACTTGAGAAACGATCCACAATTTGAAGATTTGGGCTATCAAAACAAAAAGTTTACCAGCATCCGTATCATCTTCCCTCAACCACTTAGTTCTATACATATCTATATAGGTGATCAACAAGACGTAGACAGTGTATATATCCCGAATCAGTAACATGTAGTCCTTTATACAATCAAAATGTTTAAAGAATTATTATTGATTTTTGAAAAATCACTTAATTTCACTAGTTTCTCTCAATTTAATTTTCTTTTATGAATAATTAAAACTATTAGAAACCTCCTGAATAGACATTTCGTATTCGGTCATTTCTTCTTGATCAGCTGATTCGTATTTAAGTCTCCCCTCTATTCCGCCCAACAATTCAGCGTGATCCCTAAGTTTCGTCATAATGTTGATTAAATAGGTTCTGGAAAGATTTTTGGTTGTATAACTCACTATTAGATTTGCGTAACCTTTTTTTTAAATTTTAAGATTATCATTTTTAAAAAATAATTATAAAAATGATAGACAGTTAGTCTATATTTATTATAACATTATCCAGTTTTAAGGCATATATCCATTGTACTCCAGATGAGATACTAATTAAGTAATCCGCATAATATCAGAGACCTTGGAGGGTCGGGACGGCCCGCGGCTCATACCTAATATTATATTTTCTAGCGGGCCTGGATTTTTGAAACTTATTTTAATGGACTTGGATCTCTTAAGCATGATCATGTGATTTTCAGTTCTCAGTGATTTCTCTTTATTTGTCCGAGTCCCATTACCAAAATGCATTTAATATCTATCAGCGCTTCTCCCGGCCTGTGGAGTGTAAGCTGAAGTTAAATTCAAAATTTCAATCACCAACAATATTTTTTTTAAAACAGTAATAGCCAAGGCAAAATATCTATAGTAAAATCTTGCCAATATAAATTGTCATAAAAACTAAAAATAACAAAAGAACAAGATGCGATATTCCATTTATTAAATTTAGTTTGTGGCACAAAAGATATACTTAATATAGATATATGAAGACATAATCCGGGAGACATTATATTATTTTTCTGATTAAAAAAAATATTATTTTATTTAAATGATATTGAATCCGGTTTGATGATAATAATGTCATAATTTCTCTATTAATACGTAAATATTCTTATTGTATGATATATTTTATTAGATGTGGGACCTACCCGATATCTTGGGCATCCACGAAGATGTGTCTCTGCCTATATTTTTGTCAATTATGCCGAATATTGTTAGCGTCAAATTATTGATGTCATCTATGTTTAACATTGTCGTGCTTAGAGTTAATAAGTTTGAACAAAATAAAAATGGTTTTTTCTTTTAAATATTTTTTTTTATTGAAACCGAATCTCGAATTAGTAGGCTTAATATTTTAAAATTTTGTATAGATTTTTGAAGAAAAAATATTTAAAATATATACTTGAAATATATTTAATACTTTTCGTGTTGATTTCTATGATTTTTCTTATAATTCCACCAGGTAGACATGTAGCTGCAAAGCATGGGTATTAAGACATCTACCATATCAGGCGAATCTTCGTAATTGGCTCCCTTTTCCATAAAATCTGCCAATTCTTGAAATAAGTTTTCCAACGTCGGAACGTGAGTTGAAAGTTTGTTTAAAATATCTATATATATATATATAATTTAAGAACTTGAGTATATCTTTGAGGATTCATTCGTAATGTTTTGTAATGATAACTAATCTTAAAATATAAATAAAGCCCTAGAATGACCAAGAAATATTATCTCTTTTAGAATGTGTAAGTCAAAACGATTTCGCAAATTTAGATATTATATTATATTGTATTATATTGTATTATATTGTATAGAACATAGAGGCCTAGATAATATGATCATATACTAATTAATCATTTAGGCGCAAAGAGGTGATAGAGAAACAATATTATATTTGTTTAAAATCGGTTTCACATTTAAAACACGCAAAAGCAATTTTTTTTTTAATCTGTAGTAAGCTAACCTTGCTCTTCATATGAATGTTCTTGTAACCTTCCAACGACAGAATACCTATTATTTTTATTAAGCGTCGGTTCCAAGAATGCTACAGGAAAACAATTGGAGAACGTGGCCAGGCATATACCGATATTGGGTCTATGGCTAATGAGTAGTTTCATACGAGTAGAATATGATAAATTAAAATTATTACAATTAAATCATTTATATAATATTATTTATTCAAATAAAAAATCGAAATAAAAGGTTAAACTTGTTCATTTCCAAATTCAAACTAGGATAATCGTGAAAGTCGACCGAAATTTTGCTTAGGGTATAGAACGCAACCAGTATTTTATAAGCGAGGATTTGAATATCATCGACTGTAATTACAACAAAAGAAATTTTTAATTTTTAGTGTTTTCTATAAATGTTGTATCCGGCCCAAGCCGCTCGGGAGGTCCTATTTAAAAAAATAATGATGGCGGGTTTTGACTGCGTGGGGTCTAATATTTTTTTTAAAAAATCTGGGCCGGGTCGGGTTTAAATATTTAAATATGATATAATTCAATTTTGTAAAATAAATTGATATATTTAAAAATTCTTGAAAGAAGCAAGGCGCCAATATTTTTCAAAAAGTATATAATTTTTCTATATCTAAATAAATTCGGGTCGGGTCGGGCTTTTCGGGACAAATTTTAAAAAAATGGCGATCGGAACGGGTCGGAAAAATTTTTTAAAAAGAAAATCGGGCCAGGCTTAAAAAATTTGGCCCTATGCAGACTAATATATATATGTTAGAAGCAATGTGTTATTTTTTCTTGAATCGTATTTTGAAGCGCTTTATTTAACATTAAAGATCTCATTTTAGCGGGAATGTATTCCAACTTCATTTTTAAAAAATTTTACTATATTACGCATAAAATATTCAATTTAAATTACGGATAAGGAATTTATTTTGTTGTAATTGTGGTAATATGCAAATTTACTAGAGTAAGAAAAACGCCAGACAGGCAAATTACGTGTAAACAAAATTACGAAGCCCAAAGATATTCAAATCTACAAGAATTATCGCGGTACAAATTGAGACTATGCAAATGTTGATTAAAGAAAAAGGATATATAAGGAGAAATTATGATGCGAAAAAAGGAGGATTAAATTATGATTTTACGAACTTAATTTTTTTAATCTTTAATTAATTTTTAATTTTAATTTATATTAATTTATTTTGATTATGTTTTTATCTTATTATTTAATAAAGATTTAGTATCATTTTAGTTCTAACTTTTCTTATTTGACGAATATTATAGAAAAGTATATATAATCGAGGATATTAGTCTGATTTAGTATCATTTCAGTTCTAACCTTTCTTTATTTGACAACGGTTCTAATCATCCAATCCTTAGAAAAACCTCAAAATGTTACATATTTAAAAAATTATTTATCAAAAAAATAAAAATATAAAATTAATATTTATTGTTATTATATGTAATTATAATAATTAATCCATATTTTCTTTTTCTTTGTTCTAAAAACCTTCCAGCAATGCTAATTCCTTGTTCAGAAAAAGCACTAGTTGCTGAAACTGCCAATATTTTTCAATCTTGAAAAGTTGTGATAAATCCTTTTCTTGTCGTTTCCACCAAAGTAGAATATTCGTTTGAAGTATATCCTCTTCCTCAATTAATAATATTTAAATAAAAAGTGAAACATTAATAATTTATTTTTTTTAAAGTATAAATTAATTGTTTATAAATTGTATACCAAACTAAGTAGCCTAAAATCTTGCTAAATTATACAAATCAAACTCGTTATTTTAAGATTTAAATATTTTATTATGTCATTGGGTATGGTGCTCTCCTCTGCAACATCCTTATCCTCCCATCTCTAGTGATTTAATTTTGACGTGAATGCGATCTTTTTCAAACATTGCAATAATTTAATAACCTTTAATTAAATTCTCTTTGTTTTTTGGTGAAACGCGTAAAATTAGATTCTCATCCACGTGGATGTTATATTCTTGCATGCAAATCAAATTCAACATGTTTTCGTCCTCAGTTGTCGGAAATTTTGTGGAGCATATTTTTATTTTAATGTTTACTTAAATAATTTTAAATAACAAATAAAAGTGGAAATTTGTAACCCGCCAGTCCATAGTTTAAATATTTCATTAACCCGCCCACCCGTTCTTTAAAAATTTTAGCCAATCTGCTCGCCCCGGGCTAAAAATCTGCCCGTTGCTGACCTATAATGTTGTGTTCTACAGGGGAGGGGTATGTAAGGTAACGAAGAAAACAGAACCACAAACTCAGGATCTCGGGTATGACTGCACGTTCTTTAGAAAAAAAATAAACAATGGATTTTGAAAATGTACAAATCTTGACTAGTAAAGGGAATCAATCTATAAATAAGACTGGCTACTCCCCTCCCCCCCCCCCCCTTTTTTCCTATTTTTATTTTATTACATATACAAGTATATTATCAATATAAACAATTTTTCGCTTGTAAAATTTAATATTTATTATTTTTCGAAATGAATTTTTATATTGGAATAGGCGACCGGAAAAAATCAAACTGGTAATTTGGTGCTATGATATTTTTCATTCAAAATAATTTAATAGATCTAAATAAAATTATAAAAAAAATATATATATAATATCAACCAATCAAATTATTTTATTTAAAAAACACAATTAATCCAATTACTTGATAAAACCAACCCATCATTATATTCAATTTAAGTAATTTTCAAACTACAGGTTCAAAATATTTCAAAGAATATTTTTTTTTAAACTTAGAATATCTTTGCCATAGTCTTTAAGGTAGAAATGATTGAATAAGGTTGTGAGTATAGGATATAAGACTCCTTGAACGTAATATAAGGTACTGTTGCCTTTTCCGAAATTTATTTTGAGATCCGAAAACTGAGGGATAGTTAAATTATTGACCAATTCCCCTAGATCGCTAGCACTATTTTGGAAAAAGGGGGTCAAAGATGTCCTCAAAAGGTCGGGGAATAGTTTGCATATTGACCTAAAATGAGCAAATATTTATATGATAAATCAATCAAATGATATTTCTTTATAACGATAGTACTTATTATGGTTAAGGCAAAAATTTATTTATTTCAGTGGAGCAAAGTATTGTAAAAAATATATTAAAATAAATTGTGGAATTTATATTTATTAAATCTAAATAAATTTTTGAATACATTTAATATATTGAAAACACAGATTTATTGTGTATAATATACCCAAAATCAATCGCGTTTATTATAGCTTGCAAGCAGGTAACGGCTAATGGAATGTGCGGTCCGAATGCAAAATATTTATCCCTGACAAAGGCTGCTAATTTACACATGAATCTTAATGTTTCGTGTTTAAGTTTCAAGAAATAAATATTAATATTAGAGATAGTCCTAAAAGTGCTTAAAAATAGAGCTTTGCGTTTTCTAAATCGAAATGAAGCGATATAAAAATATTTTAATAAAACACTGAAATAAAAAAATTTACTGATTTTCACGATCCTATTATTTAAAAGACATTGTTTGAAGAAGAGAAAATAGCTTAAATTTGGCTGAAACTATAAGAAGAGTTATAATTTTCACAAAGAGAGAACTTGTTCTGGTTTATCTTAGAAATACTTTACATTAATATTAAACTTTGTTGAACTTTAAACAAAAAAAAAAGAATATACACCAACTTATATTATTACTTGCAAAGTATTTCTTTGTCGTTATTAGAAGACAGGTAATTGCTACTATCCAATTTTGAGATAAAATAGGCTTGATGGGCTTGAAAATATGCTTTAGCTAAAGGCAAAACGACCTGATATTATAAGATAATTAATTAACGTAATTATTTTTAAAAAATTTATATATTAAAAAATGCATTATTTTTTTTAAAAGGGTGATTTTGATTCTAGTTCCTAAAAAAAATTTTAAGGGGTTACGTCACGGGTTTCTATGGTTTATAGATTTGACCCGGTTACGAGGGTTCCAGTAAATGCCTGAAGATTATAAAAGGAGAGTTCTAGTTTCCTCTTCTGGTTTCTATCATTTTAAAAAAACAATTCTCTAGTTCAGGTTTCTCAAATATTTAAAAAAATTGGGGTTTTATTCCGGTTTCTAGATTTATTCCACTTCCGGCCGGTCCCAAACTATGATCTATATATATTCCATTTTAAAAAAAATAAATATTTGTATAATTTTGTAGAACTAAAATTTTTAATTTTATACTTCAAAAAAGAATTTAACATCCTTAGTTGTAGTGCGGTAAGCCCGATTCCTCGAGAATCTTTGGGAAGCGTTTATAGGAACTATAGTCTTAATAGCGTTGTCCATGTAGGTTAAACATTTGTCTAAAAGGTTCCAAGAAAATAGGTTTTGTATGCCCGAGCTTCCCATGTAAATTTTATTTTGTTCTTTCTCTTGATTAAAACTTTATTTATATATATTTATTTTCAAATAAATGAATAATCTTATAATCATCAATTTCTGATTGAAACTGTCTTGGACAACAAGTTATTCATGTTGGGAAGGGAAAAAAATTAGGGATCACGACCAATGACATATATTAATACTTAAGCTGAGAATTCATTCATAATAATGCATTTTAAAGCGTCGTTAAATGCAGGTCAGCTGGAGACCACGTGACACGCCATTTTGTCAATCTATATAGGATCCATAATACTTTAAAATTATTAAAATTTGATCTGCTAGATACATATCTTCTTGTGATAATAGCCTTGGAATAATTGTGACAGGATATTATTTTACTTAGCTAACATTAAAATTTTTACAATTTTTATATAATGCTATGCATAACCAAAATGACACCACAATGGCGACCTCAGCTGTTTTTCATTAGTGTACATTTTAAATAAATGCATCGTCACTCTAGGTATTATTATATGTCATTGATTGTGACAACCAATTTGAGAGAGAGAGTGAAAAAATTTATTTACACATGATTTAAAATTCGTCATCTCAGGAATTACTACGCAAGCCCAATCCTAATTAAGAAAGTTTATAACATAGTACTTTAAAACAAGAAACCAAAGTTTTTAAATGCCTTGCGCCTATATTTTGTAAATAAATGGGCCATTGTCATTTTGTATTATAACTATTATTTAATTTAATATTAACACTGTCATGTCCCAAAAAGGATAAGGAAATAAAGTATAATAATATAATAAAATCAAAGAATCAAATCGGCGAATTTGTTACTTGCTTATCTTATATCCCGATAGTTGCAAGTATTTCAGGAATTCTGTTACTCTATAATATTCTTTCCTTTTTTCTTTTTCAGTGAGTAAATCGTATGGAACATAAGACACCGAACAATGAACGCCTTAATCAAAATTTAGTCGCAAAAAAACATTTTTGTTTAAATATTTTTAAAAAAAATGATAATTTTGTGTTCATCTATATTATTTTAGCACAGCCATCTCTTAAATCCTGATATTCTTTTTTTTCGATAGGTAATAATAATTCGATTTTTATACTATAAATGATTTATGTTGATTTTATTTATATTCCGCATATTTAAAAATAAGAAATTATAAACTGATGACTAATATTCTTTTTTTTCAATTTTAAACAAAGGTATTCGAAATGTTAGCTTAGAAATAGAAACGTATTATACGTTTATTCTGCATGTCATTTTCGAAGGAATAAGCCCAGGCTTCATGAGCATTTTCGGCCAAATTATTGGCGCCATCCTCTATATCGCTGGAAAGAGTCATGTTAGACATATCCACCATCTTAGGATTAAAGTAATAAGGGTCTGATTCCTAAAGTTTTTAAGAATATATATTAAAATAATTATTAGGAATGTATAAGAGACAATATATTTTTAGTCCATTTTTTAAGAAAACATTAAAATCAAATCTTCTTTAAGATTAAATATAATATATTATATATATATATACTAGTTATTATATTCATCAATTGACGCCTGACAATGAGTATAATTAATTACTAAATGTATGCCAATGGGCAATGTCTTTATTTCTTTCCTAAAAAATAAAGAACGCACCTGAGCTTTAGATGATCTCCTCCTGCTCAGAAGATTAAATGTGGTTATAGCGTTATCAGGATTTTGAATCTTATCCAACTTCCATCCCTGAGCTATCAAAGTTTTGATATAGTTCCTGATGGGCTCGGTATACATCTTTCTTTCCTAATTTATATCAATAAAGAAATAATTATATTTTGTTCTTAAATTAAAACTATATATACATAATGCATTTTATTAAATATGCTGCACATATTAATTCTCTAATGTTAACTATTGTTTGCATGGTATGTCATGTTCTAACGAATATTTAACTATAGAAAAAAAAAATTCTTTCATTTGAGGTACATTGAGTCTATAAGAGGGCAAACGAAATAATCTTAGTATATAAACAAAAACTGGTTTAAAAAAAATACCCGAAACAATTAGTAGATTTGTTTCTAAAAATTGAAATAAATTATTTTATAATAATTCATATTTATTTACGTAATCCGATAATTTTTCAAACGATTTTAGCCTTGGGTGACCTTTTTCCTCGTCATTTTTGTTGTGATTATATGACCATCCCTTTTCAAACTTTTCATATATATATCATATATAAAATAATGTTAATTATAGCTAAATTAAAATGGCATGACTTTTCTTTTATCTAACAAATTGAAATTCTGAGAATTTTCAATAATTCGCATGATTTCTACCTAAGAATAAATAAAACGTCAATTCATATTGTAAAATTATTACGGGGCCATTGGAATGGAAGTATTATTTTAATCTTATCTTTGTAACATAGACAATTATAAACCAAATCATTGTTCTTATTTTTTATTATTAGGAAGCTCTATTTGTTTCGTTTCTAATAAACATCTTAAGGATCTTATTTATTTGTTCAAAATTCAACATGTTATCCCAAAATTTAAAATGGATCATTTACTTATTAACAAATTCCAAAAAAACATATTAATTGATTAAATTACTATGATTATTTTTTCTAATCAAACCTTTCTACTAGCCCATGAGTTGTGATAATGTTCGGCAAATTTTTGTATCACAAACTCGTAATCACTCAGGTCCTGTGACCTAAATTAATTATTTTTAATAAACATGTGTTATAAATGATTTTAAGCTTTTTAAATAAGATTTCTAAAAGGATATATTATTCATTAAATTAGTCAATTATTATGTTAATCAAATGTAACAAGTATTATAAAATTCATAGAATGATCATGATAAAAAGAATATGACACTTAAAAATATGAGAGAAAAGGTCATTTTTCTTATTTTATCATAAAAATTATCGTTATAACTCAGAAACGTCAACCGGATTAGAAGAATAATGAGTATTTTGAGGTAGCTCTCTATGTATCTTTTCCAATTCTTTATTGAAATATGTTCCAACGGAGTAATCGGGGGGCAGAGCCGAAGCTATAGCTATTAGACATGGTAAAGCTATCTTGAATAGGTCGTGGTTGTATTCCTGTTGTTTTCATGAATAGGTTTATAATATAATATAGTATAAAATCATAGTAACTAATAAAAATATTCATACTCAATTTTTTTTCAAAAAAAAAACAATATGAATTATAATATATAAGAGATTTTAATAAATGGTGTAAAAATATCAAATAAAAAAGACATATTTATTATATATTTTTATTATCGAAATCAGTGTGTATATACTTGTTGGGCCAGGGCATCAAATAACACGTAAAATAAAATGGTGGCAATTTTAGTCTCGCTACCGCTGGCGTATTGAGCTGTGGTTTCAGTGTTAAAAGAAGTGGAATAACTGGATGCTGAATCAGATGCGGCGAAATAATATGCCCTGTTATTCCGGTAAAACCAGGTTAGGACTCTCAAAGGAACGAATGAAAATTCGTTCAAAATTTGCATATCGATCGAACATTTCTTGAGTAATGGATATAACATTTTGGGTGGCAAGGCTCTTGTTATTATTTATTTATTATTAGAAAAATGAGAATATTTTTTGGCAGAATTTGCCACATAGCTAATCTAAACATCTATTAACTATATACTATATAATATTCCTTTCTCTCCTTTCTTTCTTTCTTCTCCCCCCCCTTTCTTTCTTTCTTTCTAAGCTCTTTTTATTTTTCTTTACGATAAGCTCTTTTTATTTTATTTTTCTTTTAAACAAACCTTTTTTTACTAAAAAAAAATCAATCAAAAACAAAAATTTAAAACCCACAATTAATAATTTATTATTTTTTTCTACGCTATTTATATACATATTAATAAATAAATATCTAAAAAAAATAATATTTTAAAATAATATTTAAAAATAATAATAACTATTACTATTTAACTAAATGACGGTAAAACGATACATGTTAAAATAGAAATAACTAATACTACATATAGATAATATAAACGAAATCCCTAGCTACGACAGCTACCCCCTTAAAGAACCTTACGCATCCCCCAGAACCCAGTCGAGTTCGGAGTCCGAAACTGAGTATTTCAACCAGTCAATAAATTCTGGGGTCAAATACGTGGCCCTCAGTTTTTCTATTGCACCTTCCAATTCCGGCGCTTGCTCCACATCCTCCGCACTGCCATTCCAGCGGTTTCCATTGTTCTCTGGTTCCTCTCGCGGCCACGGGGCCATCCCAAACTTCGTCAATTCTACCTCTTTGGACAACACTCCACCCTTCTGGCTGTCAATCCAGCGGCTTCCATTGTTCCCTGGTTTCTCTCGCGGCCACGGGGCCATCCCAACCTTACGCCGCAGAATCATCGATGACGGAGTCCCTCTCCTGCTTTCTCTCCGCACCCCTCTTTGTGGACACCGACTGCGAAGGTGCCCAACGTATAAAATATATATTGAGTATATATATTTTGAGTACAGTGTTAGTAGATGCTGGATATTTGAAGATTTTGAAATGTATTGGATAATGAGACAACGACAGGCCCCGGGTTGGTGGGGACAGTTGAGGAGTCCGAATCTAGCAATGAGGCCAATTTTTGGGGAGTGGAGACGCTGTTTCAGATGTAACCAGGTTGGGCACCTTCGCAGTCGGTGTCCACAAAGAGGGATGCGGAGAGAAAGCAGGAGAGGGACTCCGTCATCGATGATTCCGCAGCGTAAGGTTGGGATGGCCCCGTGGCCGCGAGAGGAACCAGGGAACAATGGAAGCCGCTGGATTGACAGCCAGAAGGGTGGAGTGTTGTCCAAAGAGGTAGAATTGACGAAGGTTGGGATGGCCCCGTGGCCGCGAGAGGAACCAGGGAACAATGGAAGCCGCTGGAATGGCAGTGCGGAGGATGTGGAACAAACGCCGGAATTGGAAGGTGCAATAGAAGAACTGAGGGCCACGTATTTGACCCCAGAATTTATTGACTGGTTGGAATACTCAGTTTCGGACTCCGAATTCGACTGGGTTCTGGGGAATGCATAAGGTTCTTGAAGGGGGTAGCTGTCGTAGCTAATTTCGTTTATATTATCTATATGTAGTATTAGTTATTTCTATTTTAACATGTATCGTTTTACCGTCATTTTAGTTAAATAGTAATAGTTATTATTTTTTTTAAATAGGATTACGTTTATATTATCTATATGTAGTATTAGTAATTTCTATTTTAACATGTATCGTTTTACCGTCATTTAGTAAAATAGTAATAGTTATTTTTTTTTTAAATATTATTTTAAAATATTATTTTTTTTAGAAAAAGATAATATTTATTTATTAATATGTATATAAATCAGAGACATGCAGGCCCGGCCCTAAGCTCGGCCCTATACCCGTTTAAATTTTTTAAATATACCCAGGCCGGGCCGGGCCTAAAAAAAATTTTTTAAAATATATCCCCTTAATATTTTTTATAAAAATTTTTACATAATGAGTTAATGGTTATAAGATTATATTATATTATAGTTGTGATTAATATAATATTGGGTAATGGTTAACACACCTAACACCCACAGATCGATCTAATTATTAATTTCCTGCAAATTTATTCAAAGTATTAATATAATTTTTTATAATTCATATCTAAATTTTTACAACATATTTTACCAAAACAATCAAATAAAGGAATATCTTAAATAAGCCCCAATATTCAAGTATTAATAATATATTTTTTATAATTCATATCTAAATTTTTAGAATATTTACCAAAACAATCAAATAAAGGAATATCATGGCACAAAATACTAATGATATAATTAATAAAATTAAAAATAATATTTATTCTTTTAGAAATACAAATAATAATTTAAAATCTGAGATATGGGCTAAATTTAACATCATCATAGATGAAAATAAAAAAAACATTGGCTACGTACAATGTAAGAATTGTTCAAGTATATTATCTTATAATTAAAAACATGGTACATCACATCTAAAAAGACATAAATAGTGATGGTAAATCCATGAAAATTAATAATTTTTTTTAACACCTGAAAAACCAACCTATAAATGAAATATAAAATATTTAAAAATTATAAAATAAATTATATTAATATTGTGCAATTAGATTATATTTTCAAAATACTATTTATTATACATGCAATTTTTTAAATAGCGATTTATTTTTATTTTATAAATTAAATAGTAAATTAAATACAATATATTCTCAAAATATTTTCCATTTTTATAAATTAAATATTAGTTTTATTTTTTTTAAATGCAATATAAAATATAGTATATGCTCAAAATATTATTACCATTTTTATGAATATTAGTTTTATTTTTATAAATGCAAAAAATATAGTATATGCTCAAAATATCCATTTTTATAAATAACAGTTTTATAATTTTTATAAATTCAATATAATATTCTCAAAATATTATCTTTTTTCATGTATTTTTTAAATAATAAGCGATAATACTCGCTGAAAAATATGGTAAAATACCTCATAGGTGAATTTTTGTATATACCAGGTCGAATATAATTTTAAAAAATTCCGAGCGGGCCTTAAATTTTTAAATCCGGGCCGGGCCGTAAAAATTTTTTTTAAATTTATCCGGGCCGGGCCTTAAATCTTTAAATCCGGGCCGGGCCGGGCCGTAAAAAACTTTTTTTTAAATTTATCCGGGCCGGGCCTAAAAAATTTAAAACCGGGCCGGGCCGGGCCGTGCAAATGGTGCCTCTGCAGGTCTCTGATATAAATAGCGTAGAAAAAAATAATAAATTATTAATTGTGGGTTTTAAATTTTTGTTTTTGATTGATTTTTTTTTAGTAAAAAAAGGTTTGTTTAAAAGAAAAATAAAATAAAAAGAGCTTATCGTAAAGAAAAATAAAAAGAGCTTATCGTAAAGAAAAATAATAAAACTTATCGTAAAGAAAAATAAAAAGGAATATAAGCCCAGTGTAATATATTTAGTATTACCCGTGCGATACTGTCAGCTATTTTTGACACTTTCTTCTCTTTCTTTCTTTCTTTCTTTCTTTCTTTCTTTCTTTCGTCTAACAAAAATTTAAGATAAAAAAGGAGATTTTTTTAAAAAATCATGTTTTATACTTGACAAAACAAAGCAAAAATTCGGATATAGAATTCCTTTGATTCTTGGTGAGAGAATGACAAAGTGAATATCTGTAGGTCGTCAAAAGAATGGTATTCATAAGAGCTGAATGAGGTTCTGCATTGTATAAATGTTCACTGTTTCTGACCAAAAAAGTAAAAACAACGTTGCATAGGTATCGGTTAAGAGCTAATGCTAAATCGCATTCGGATGCGTTTTCCTTTAATAAATTCGTAAAAAAAATTGTTGCTATAAATCAACATCTTTATGCCGTTGATTAAGATATGTAAAGAATAAATTGAGCCAGATCTATTTCTCAAACATTTAATAATTTTATGATTAACAAATGACTAAGATAAAGTTTTAAATTTTTTTAATGTTTCTGGAAATAATAATTTAAATTTTTAAGCAAAAAAAATCAATTCTAACCACGTTTATATCATCACTTATTCTTAATTTTATTGATTATCTAGGTAAGGCAAAGATGAATATACATAAATTTGTAAATTAAAAAAAAATGTATGAACAATTTAAAGTTAAATTACTGAATCCAAAATGATTGCTTGTCGCATATCCAATAAAAATCCGTTTTCCATGATATGGAATAGTGTCTCTTGATCGGGGACTCCATAGACTCGTTCCAGGAACAAAACTATAGAAGCCTTGTGGTCGGGAGTTAGACCAGGTGGCATGGGATGCTCATTTGCTTTTTCACCTTTTTTTGATGTTTTTAAATTATATGATTATAAATGTTAAAAATTAGATAAATATAATATGACCTCCAACGTTATCTGAATCGAAGGTGAGATTAGAATAAAAACTAGGTAGCCTAAATCTCAGGCTCAATATGCCCTTCAAATCGTTGAGTGCAACCAGGCTTCTGAGTATAGCTCTAGCTCTTAGGGATTCTGCCTTTAAGTTACTATTAGTTATCTTTTCGGAGGTGGTGGTATCTATGTTGCCAGAGTCCCCTATGGCACATTTTCCCAATAATTCTATCAAAACGGAATAAAATGTTAAGATCGATTTTCCCAAATCTATGGAATCTTCATCGTTCCTATCATATATTAATGTGGATCATAGTATTAATATTAAAATATGATATTTAACTTTTGGTTAGATGCATATTATGTTTTACAATTATATTTATTGATTTTATTATAAATTTAAGAAACTAACTAAAAGTATTAAATTGGATTGTTTTTTTTGAACATTCTTATAACAAAATACTAAATGATATATTAATTCCTTGTCTGACTTTTGTAGATGTTATAGGAAAAGTGTTAAATATCTAATTAAATTTATTATATTTCTCATTTATGTTCAAAAATTTCGTCCCTTTAAATCTTTATTTATAAATAATTTATCAAATGAATGTTAAATTTAAGCATATAATTTAGTAAATATGATTCAAACGGGTCATAGTAGATGGGAGAAGTTTCGTATGAAAATTTAATTGCTGATTTCATGGCCTTCAGCAAGCCCCCGCTTTGTCCTCTTAGGGCAGGTCCCAAGCTTTCCGGCTTTCTTATCAACAATCTAATGATTAAATTAGCATTTTCCTCCAAACTTTCGCCTGAAAATTTATATTTTAAGAATCGAATAAATTTAAAAAAATAATATATATTTGCTTTTAATAATATAAAGCTAAAGAGTTAAATTCACATTAGCAGCCAGCAATTAGCATCGTTATAATTATATATATATAAATTAATAAAATTACATAACCTATAATATGGATTTTAATAATTTATTGATTAAATTTAAACTTTATATTTAAATTCCCTTATAAATTTAATATTATAGTAATATAATATTCCAAAAGATATCAATTTAATTTAAAAAGAAAGGTTGATGAGTACATATAAGATTATATTGATTTTCAACCACTCGATTTATCACCCAATTACATTTACAATATCTAACAATATAATCATTTCCAACCCAATAACCTTTTATTCATACTTGCATCGATCAAATACTAGTTGTAAGAGGTATTTTCTCCTAAATTTCTATAATTTTGTTGGCTATAAAAAATTTATGGTTTAAGTTAGAAAATTTATTTTTAAATCTCAAATTAGAATTCATGAAAAAAAAGATGCTGCTATGCCAGTATATGTGAACGCGGGTAATGTATATTCATATTGTGTTTATATTACCGTTAACCCACACACTGTATTTCAGAAAATCTAAAAATCTTTCTCCCTCGACAGGATCCCAGCCTATATCTGGGTAACCTCTCCCGGCCAATTTTGAGTTGCTTTGGACTCCACATCTGGCTAAATAAAGAATAACTTTTTCCAAATGACTTTCATTTAAAGCTAAACATAGTTCCGTGTTCTCCAAAAAAGATGAATACGCTACGTCCAAAGGGGTCGATCCTCGGAGAGATGGCTTGTCTTAGATTAACAATACAGTTTAAACAACTATTTAAAATAGATCATAGATTAAAAAAATATCCTGTTTTTTCGGCATCGAAAGATGTCTTATAAATATAACTTTTATATCAATTATCACAGATTCAACATTTAATCATTTAATGACGATGGAATATTAAATATAATAACCTAGAAGCATAGTGGCATGGTCCAACATATAGCTTAAATGTTCGAACATAGCTTGTTGGTTTTTAGCACCCGTTCTGCAAAAGAAGCACAAAAATCTACAGCAGGCCGTTATAATTTGGCAATTCGAATCCTGATATTAATACAATAGTTTTATTTTTAAAAAAATGTTATCATTGTGAATCTAGAATTATAACAATATCTTTGGGCTTCATCTTATTTCTATATCATTCAAACTTCAGAGTCAATTTTCTAATTTTTTAAATATAACACTTTAATTCTCCTTGCATGCATGCATATAACTTCGTTCATATAATAATTTTTATTATTATTATTAAAAATAAAACTCTTATGTTATCGTCGGCTAAATTAACGATTCCTGACATTTTGCTAAGGGTATTTATCATGACTTCTATCACATTTTCGTGGACTCCCAGAAGACGAATCAAATTTGGATGTTGAAAGAAAATTTTGTTATTAGCTAATTCCCTATATTTAATAAAAGTTATTATATTATTAAAACGATATTGGTATAAAATCAACTGTATTATATGTCATAGTCACTTTAGATGTATGATTAATAACTTAAATCAAATTGGGCAGTGCCAATAAATAAATTTAAAATGACATAAGAATGTTTTAAGTTTATAGTAAAGGCATTCTACTATGCATACTGAAACATTTTTCCACAAATTATATTTTAAATTTTTTTTAAAATAAAACACCCTCAACAAATGATTACCAACTTCCAAAATTATATATTTTCTACGTTTTTTTGAAATTTGAATAATCTGATTTTGTTGGAAATGTATTCTAACATGTATAGAATACCTATCCTATAAATTTCAGACAATTTGTTAAGATATTATACCTATTGAGTAAGGTAATAGGCATATTGCTTGACTATCCGAACTGACTATAGCATATAATATATTATCTTAAAGTAAGTTTAAAATGAACTTTATTAGAAATATTCTTTATCGTTTATAACAACCGTAGTCAGTAGTCTATAAATCAGTTTCCTTGTTCAACAAAGCCAATATAATGACTTATCTTAAATTCTGATATTTTCTTATTTAAAAAAAAGAGGTTATTTTTTTTATAATATACCAGAGCCCTTTAAACATAATTTTCTCTTCCGAAATATCCATTTGAACATTTAGCAGAGATCGTATTTTAACAAGCATGTTAAGAAAACTCTTGAAATCAGAACTACTGGTACCCTTGATTGTGTATGTTTTTTGCAAAGCTTTGTACACCTAATTGTAAGATATTATTTTTGAAGGTAAGATTGGGATAACGATGTTTTAAAAACTATACAAGATAATAATTTTGGGGTTTAACTCATTTCTTCTTTAGCACTCGTTTTGGAATATCGTACTCCTCTCAATTATATCCACATGCTTATTAACAATTTAATCTACTTATTTATACATTTTAATAGATTATGAAAAATCTATTTATCTACTTTATATAATATATGTATTATATTAATATTCTATTTAATCTGTCCGTCTGTCGGTCTGTCTTTTAAATCTGTCATTAAAATTTAATAAATAAAAGGTTTAATTTCAAGTTTAAATTAAAGTGAATCATAGAGTTATAGTTATTTTAAAGAGTTTGAAAAAAAAAATTTCAAATTTTTGAACAAAAAATCTTTGAACATTTTTTTTTGAAGAAATGAGATTTTTTACCTAATGCCAAAATGTTTCCTTTTATAAGTAAGCCTTTTGTAATTTTCATGCATAAAAAATCTTAAAATTTTCAAAGAATATATTTGCGAAGATTTTTTTTGAAACTATGGTTATTTATATTTTACTTCTTGGTGTTGGTTATATTGTCGGTATAGTAAAGCGAATATTTCTCGGACCAAGTTCGGGTCGCTGATATGGCTCTCCTTAGCCCATTTAATCATAATTTTGATTATCAGGTCGCAAAGAGTGTCGTAAGTTAATTCGCCCGTTAATGATTGAGCATTTTTATCTTCCGTATTCTGGTGGCTCAATTTTTCGACGCAATATGTGACTATCCTCTCAACTAAAGGCACGGACTCTTGATCTTTAATACCATCGAGATTTAGTCCCTCTGTCATATTGAATGATTCTGAGGTGAAAAGTAAAACGTTAATTAAACACTTATTAATGGTTTAGAAACCTAGTTATTAAAATATTCGCGACGTTTGTAAAGTATGTTTTATAACATGATATATCTAACTGAGCTGAATGGTTTGAGAATACACTTTGATTAAGTTGTACAAGTTATTCATTAAAAGTAAACCTTTACAGTAAAAAACTTAAAATAGCTAGGTTTTTTTAAAAATAAATAAACTGTTGATAAAAATAGAAATAAATTAAATTTACTTAGCAAAGACTCGTAGAAAGTTATGAGCTCCAGTCTTTGCTCCTGTCTCAGGTGACAATTATCATCATTTGCCGCTTCGTCAAGAATGTCACTAGATATATTACCCTTATCCTTTTTGAAAGACAACAGAGATTGCATCTGAGTTATGGGTGGACATCTAAATTCTTTAGTCATCTTAGCTGCCAGAGGAGCTGGCAGATCGGAATTTTTGATTTCATGGTAACGGTACATTTGATCTCTCTGCAGGTTACGGCAGAATTCCTCAGAAAATCCAATTATCGATTCTATCTTAAAGCGAAGCCTTAGGTCGCAAATATTTTTCAACAGGAGGCATATCTAATGATTTGGATATTATGTTTTTGTTTTACGATTTTCATTATGTAGGAATGTCTTGCTTATCAATAAGATCGGGTTTTTTATAGATTAATATTATTAATTACTGATATGGAATAATAAAATTGATCTAGGTTAAATAATCAAAACATTATACAAGCACTCACACATATAAGTTTATTCCTACCTCTAACTTAACACTCTCGTCTAAATTCAGATCAATTAATCCTCCAGTTTTATATTCTAGTGGTGCTCCTTCTATTTCCTTGGGATCCAATATAGTAAGTAACATCAACATATCCTCCGTACTGATATAACCCATCAATATCAGTTTGTTACAAACCTTTAACAAAGGGCTTTTATTTTAAAATTAATTATTATTAGTATAAATAATAATATAACACCATCAATAACCGACATATATACAATTTATCTCCTTCTCATCTTGACTTCTTTAAAAATTAAAATTATTCCACAGATTGACATAAGTTAAGGAGAAAAAAAAATTAATTTTAAAAACTTTATATATGCATCAAACTACTAACCCATATAAAGTAGTATAATTTCCTCCGATAGGATCTCTACAGAGACTTAAACCTTTCAAAAGAGAATCTTTTAAAAATGATAATGCGTATTTCTTTAAGTCTAAAAGCGGAAACGGCGGAGGATCCATCTCATTGACAGCAGATAAATCTTTCACTCTACAAACAATTATAATAATTATTTCAATGAAAATAAAGTTAAAACAATTTGACTTTTCATCTTATTTATGACCATCTTAAAGTTCTATGCGATAACTTATGGTTAAGTATAAATAAAAATATTCTTGAGTTATTTAAAATTACTATATAATATTCGCGTAAAAAAAATTAATAATTATTGTCCCGCCCTTAGAATTGAATTGGCATATTATATTTTTAAAGACTTTATTTAATGATTTTTATGTATATCATATAATATTATTTTTTGACTTTATAGCTAATTCGTTTTTTTTAAATATAAATATTATGAATCGGATTAAATAACTTGTTATTCTGAATATTTGTGGTGGAAGGGTATTTAGGCTTGAATGAGATGGATATCTTGGATTTCAAAAAATATTCAAACCAATCTTGTTCGTCAGGCGACTTGAACATTTTAAAAGATAGAATATTTTTGGTCAAAGGAATAATATATTCATCTTTGGTTAATTCGAAACTTTTCGATATAGGTTCTATGAACATGGCTATCATCAAGTCGGTGAACATATTTCTTAAAGAACCCGGCATGACTGCAATTAAAAAAATGGTATAAATTAATTAGCTCTATAAGTTTATCGTACATAAAGCTTGGAGGTATTATAGTCAAAACTATATATATATATATATATTTGGTAGGGATAGAAATTTATTAAACATTATCCAATATCTATCTTACCTTTTACTATATCTCTAATCTAACCCTTCTATAACTGCTCGAATAAATTATTGGTTTTTAAGGAAGAAAAAGATTGTGCATTCTCATTAGCCTTTAAAATTAGATGGGGAAGGTGCTATTTGCTATATATGATGTTTGATAATTTTATTCTTAATATTTATACTTGGAGAAAATAATTATGCGATCAGCAAAAAAAAAATTAATAATTACGATTTAAATTAAGAAGAAAGGCACTTAATTAAAAAGTTATATTATTATTATATATATATATAAAGAACTAATATTTTGGAAAGATTTACACATAGATTGTAGGCAAAATATGAATTGGCGTTGATCTATGAGCTCTTGACAAAGCATATGCGATACTATAGTATTACCATGGGAGCAAAGCGCGCAAAATAATTTCATGGTGTTATAATGAAAATCCAACAGTTCAGGGTATTCATTGAGTTCCAATATATCTAAACATCTGTTTTCCTCAGGAATTTTTATGGCCATCCAATTTTTATCGCTGTCATCAGCTAGCATGCTCCAACCTTTACTATTGGAAAGCTTTAAACAGTGAACCTTAGTAAAATTTTCGCTAACCCTAGTTAGGGATTTTGGGTTCAAGATTTGACAGTTTAGCCTAGGTGGACATTGGGCAGAATATATAGTGTTATTATCATTATTATTTTCCTTCGTTACATTAAGAATCTTGTTAAAGTAGAAAGAAGACAAGGGTAAGCCATCATTCGTGCCTCCTAGCTCAATTTTTAGGATTTCTTTGTTACTCGTGGAAGAAGTTTCGAAAAAAACTGCGGGGTAGAGTTTGAGACCCAAGTCGACCTAGTGGATTATTTTGTTTTTTTTTGCAGAAATTTACCGTAAATACTAGTTATAAATAAATGTCACTATTTACTTATATGAGGAAATTTTAACAAATTTTAGTTATTTTTAGGAGAAAATGTAAGTGCAACTAGTTACTTCTTGGAGGATCCTTATAACTTATTAGACTAGTTAATTATTATAGATTCGGTTAATTATACTATATACTACTGACAATTTTATTTATATAATCTATGTTTCATAACAAAAATTATTTTATATAAAAAAATTCCTCTTATAGAAAAAATCCTCTTTTTTACGCGAAAAAAAATTAACTAAAAAAACATTTCATTCTTTTTTAAAATAAAAATAAATTACAATCTTCGAAGCGTAAAAAACATTATTTTTTATTTTTTAAATAAAATACAAATATAACCTTGACAACGTTCAAAAAATAATAAAACACAACATATATATTTCTTAATATGACACGTCCACCCACAAAAAACATTGTCTATTTATATTATTCTGAATGCATACCCTTTATTCCTGCCGTAATAACAATTCCTCTAAGTCATCCACCGTAAATTCTTCTTCTTGTTGCTCACTCATTATCTCTCTATCATTCATATCACCCGTCGTACTTTGCTCTACACAGACATTTCCACAAACATCGTCAGCAGTCGCTAATACCGATTGCACCGGCCGTGGCTTTATAACTACTTCCTTTCGTTGGGTCATATTCGTATTGTCTTGAACATCTTCCTCAGCCGACACGCCTCTCCTCATTTCCTTTCTGCCAATCGTATGCGAACTTGTCCATAAAGGGAACGGAATGTGATCACGCCTGGCCAATCGAGATCGAGCTTCCCCCCTGTTCTCTATAGCTGAAAGTTGTTAGGGTGGGACAATGCCTTGAAATGTGGCCCACACCCCCACATCCATAGCACTCAATTGGCCCCGGTCTTCTCCTGCTGACAATTCTTTTAGAGTCCTGAATTATATCCCTCCGTTCGTTTTCTCCCATTATATTTACCATTGCTGCACTTTGTTGCAATTTCCAAAAAAATTTTTATTGTAGTTAACCTGAATAAAGAAACAATTTTTTTTCTGTTCTTGCTTACAATATTTTCCCGATATAAAATTTTTTTTTAAATTGAAACCTGCAATGGAAACTTGGTATATTAAAACAAAGAATGATATGATAATAGAGATGAACTTAGTTAAGACTAATAGTGACATGGGAATGATATATAATGATAAATGGAAATTGCAACAAAGTGCAGCAATGGTAAATATAATGAAAGAAAACGAACGGAGAGATATAATTCAGGGCTCTAAAAGAATTGTCAGCAGGAGAAAACCGGGGCCAATTGAGTGCTTTGGATGTGGGGGTGTGGGCCACATTTCAAGGCATTGTCCCACCCTAACAACTTTCAGCTATAGAGAACGGGGGGAAGCTCGATCTCGATTAGCCAGGCGTGATCACATTCCGTTCCCTTTATGGACAAGTTCGCATACGATTGGCAGAAAGGAAATGAGGAGAGGCGTGTCGGCTGAGGAAGATGTTCAAGACAATATGAATATGACCCAACGAAAGGAAGTAGTTATAAAGCCACGGCCGGTGCAATCGGTATTAGCGACTGCTGACGATGTTTGTGGAAATGTTTGTGTGGGGAAAAGTATGACGGGTGATATGAATGATAGAGAGATAATGAATGAGCAACAATGAGAAGAATTTACGGTGGATGACTTAGAGGAATTGTTATTGCGGCAGGAATAAAGGATATGCATTCAGAATAATATAAATAGACAATGTTTTTTGTGGGTGGACGTGTCATATTAAGAAATATATATGTCGTGTTTTATTATTTTTGAACGTTGTCAAGGTTATATTTGTATTTTTATTTAAAAAAAAAATAATAATAATGTTTTTTTACGCTTCGAAAATTGTTAATAAAAATAAAAAGATTTTTGTTATGAAATATAGATTATACAAATAAAATAGTCAGTAGTATATAGTGGAATTAACCGAATCTATAATAATTAACTAGTCTAATAAGTTATAAGGAGACATAAATATGTTATTTCAACTTTAAAATATGGTTTTGAAAATTTCAAAAGCTTTTTTTAAAGGTAAAAGTTCGCGTTTAAGGGTTTGATTTTCAGAAAAAAAAACTAATAAAGTTAATAAAATATAAAGTTGCTATTATACATAAAATAAAAGTTCTTTGTCACTTTTTTCTATTAGAAAATAATTCAAATTTTTTAGCTTTTTTCAGATAACTATTATATCCTGCAGAGTTGTTTTTAATATCTAGATATAGATACATGGTTAAAAATGTATCTCTCTTCAGATGCATATCTACAAAAGTATCTAGATACATTAAAAAATTCCCAAGATACATTTAAGACTCAATTCAGATATTTAAAGTGTGCAGAATTCCCCATAGTTAAACATCTATTGTTAAAACTCAAGGTGCAAATTGAACCAAATATTTTCTTTTCCTACAGTTTGATTATTTATTTATATTTTAAAATAATTATTATAATTCTCATAGTTTCACTGAGGAATTCCTGTTTAAACACATCTTCGCCACATTAAAAGGTCTTTCAACTGATGCGATGGAAGGTAGGATAGTGCCCATCTTTAGAATAATCAGTCAAATTAAGATAGGTGTTAAAATTTATGTCCTCAACAATATCCTCTTGTGGGTGTTGTAAAAAAATAGCCTATTTTATCTTTTTGATTTTATTTTGAGATTGATATTATTCGGAAACTTTAAAAGTTAATACTAATAGCTGCGTCAATTCTTTCTTTTTCTTGAAATTTTTTGGCATTTAAAGCCACTCCCATCCATTTAAAAAAAAGTTCCTTATGTTGTATTGATTGTTTCTTCTTTGCCAGTATTATTAATATTTAATTAATTACATCTAAATTTAAATATAATATTTATAAAAAAATTATTATTATATTAATACCATAATTTACAATATTTTTGTCATCCATTGTATAAAATAAGACCTACCTTGAATTGGAAAGTAATAAACTCTGAGGTATCAAAATAATAAACAAAGTAAATATAAAATTGGAGCAAATTAAATTTATATGTAAATAGTTACAGCGTGGCTAAAAAATGTATCTGTAAGATACAGTAAAAATGCATCTGAAAACGTGTATACTTTTATAAAAATAAATCTAAATAAGATACAGCTACAACATTCTTGTATTTGTATCTAGATACTTTAATAGCTCTGATATCCTATACCTAGTTTCCTTTCTTTTTTTATGTAAAAATATATTTCAAAAATTATTTTTAAAAATTAGAAGAAGAAGAAGAAGAAGAAGAAGAAGAAGAAGAAGAAGAAGAAGAAGGAAAAAAAAACTTTAAAAGATGTATGATCGGAATCTTTGCCATTCAAAGTAAATCTCAGCTTCCCTTTTGTAGGATTTATATAACACCCCACCAAAACACTCGTTGATATTTTGACCTCCTGCTCGATATGTTTCTGCAAATTGGCTACGTTTATTAGGACGCAGTCACGATTGTAATATCTTTTTATAAATCGTTCGAAGAATTATTTTAACTTTAAATTAGTTTTTTTTTAAAAAAATGATACCTAGATTTAAGACTTATTGTCTGGCCAATTCGAATTAAAGCGAAAAAAAATAAGCCAATAATTTTAAATCTATTAATTAAAGCCCCTAATCCTGGCAGAAATATCATTGCAGCTAAATAACTTTCAACAAGTAAAAACGTCTCTTTATCTAAGAAATTACCCTAATCCCACATAAAAAGGGGACAAAGATATATATGTCCTATGGGGATTCGGAATCCATGGGGATTTGGAATCTCTCAATTTAAAATTATTTACCGAAGGCGATTTAAAAAAATTTACAATCCGATTTAACCCTAAATATATTCTAGCATGTGTAGCGTGCCCAAACCGTAAATTTCAAACAATTTTTTCAATAAACTTTAGAAAGAATCCTAATTTATATTAATTTTTATATGGATTTTTCATATAAATCTAAAAAAATACCAAAATGTCTATGGCTTAAATTGGCTGAAATTTATAGGGTAAATACTCTACACATGCTAGAATACATTTTCGGTGTAATCGGATTTTAAATTTTTTTTAAATCGCCCTCGGTAAATAATTTAAACTTGAGAGATTCCGAATCCCTATACGACATATATATACCAAGTAAAGAAAACTTATAATAAGAGTAATGATATTATTCGGGTTCATGTTTCTATCTTTCTTTCTTTTTTTAAAAAAAAATTGCTAATTTTGGAATTGTAATACGTTTCATTAATGGATCTGGGACCGGTCCCTGAAATCCTTATCTCGGTGTAACGTATTTTATCGAAATTGAAATTTTCGTAATAATGATTGAACAGTGGCGTGATCCAGCCGACGTATATGCTTTTAAAGTTTTGACCGGAATATATTCTGACACCGAAGTAAAAATCCTCGAGCTCTTTCCATTTGATAACTTTTTCCAAAGGAAGAAAAAAAAAATAATTTATAAAATTGAACGGGCTGGATTTTTCAGATTTTTTAAAAAACAGCTGTCTCAAGATTTTAGCCAAGTACAGTTACCCAAGCTTGGATATTTTGCCCACAGATGGTAGAAAGTTCTGAACATCCATTGGCTAAATTTTGAGGCTTTAGGTAAAATCATATTTTGGTTAAAATCTTGATTTCGCTGTTTTATAGCCTTTAACAACACTAAGATTAATAATATCAATCCTAACAATATTCAAAAAAAATTTTTTTGTATATATGATTAAATAATATAATACTATAGCTGAATGATCTTATTTATTTTATAAACACATTTCAAAAAAAATCTATCCAAGGATTATAATTTTACCCTCATTTCTTGGGCCGATTGAATTTGAAAATTGATAATTGGAAGAAATATCAGGTTCGACTGTATTTTTAACGATTTGTTGACCATTCATTTTTGAACCTTCTTCGTCTCCGCCATTTTGATCCTCTAAATATAGTATAAATTTAGTTATAACATACGCCCAAAACTAAAATCGAGCCCGATTATATGGTCCGGACCGTAAAATTAAAAATAAATAAACTTGGGTCGGATTGGGTCAGTTTGATTTTTTTCTTAAGAAAATCTTACTAATTAACCAGTTGGAAAATGATATAAAGCAGTGTTTAATAGTTTAATATTCATTTACTACTTAAATTTTCCCCCGCTCCCCTCGAATCAATTTGCAAAATACCGTCAAAATTATTCGAAATAAACGAAATTTTAAAAATTCCGGGCTGGGCCATAAAATGATATTAAAAAAAAATTCAAAAAAAATCCGATTCGGAATTTCAAATAAAAAAAAATTTCGACCTTTGCTGGTTGTCTGATATAATGTGTTCATAAAAATTAGGTTTTATTGGTCATACAAATTTGTCAATTATTTTATCATTTATTTTTGCCTTTTATGATTATATTTGGTCAAAAAATGATATTAACAATATACACTTTTCTAATTCAAGCATAATTTAGAGGAATACGGACATTACAAAGTTTAATAATAATGCGAAACTTTCACTCAAAAGATACATTGAACAAAATTGAAAAAAAATATCTAATAATATATTGATAATTTTCAATTATTTTATTAAAACCTTCTTCAGCATTCGCAGTATTGGGAATATCGATCTTTAAGCTGATTTTCTTCCTGTAGCCTTTGGCATAACCTGATAATATTTTGAATTTTGTTTAAAAATTTCGTTATAATCCTTTATTATTATTAAAGTAATCCCCACTGGACTTACTACACATCATATATAAGAATGGGCGGTAACTCCTTTTTATAATTAAAAAAACTTTATATTATGTTGATTAATATAAAGCTTGTAATTCGAATCAAAATTTTGAGAGTAATCTAGAGTCATTAAAATAATTACATGTGATAGAGGTAACACAATCATTAAAATGTAATACTAAAATATTGGATTATATATTTTTTAAATCAATTAGAATAAGCCATGCCCATCCCTGATCGTATATTTTTAAAATTCCAACATAGTAGAAGTTGTATAAACATTTCATATTTTTGTTAAAATATCTATGGGACACTTTATATAAAAATTTAACATATATATAAAAATTCAAAATAAGACTGTATCCAAAACTATTTTTTAAAAAAAATAGAAAAGTTCCAAAACTTTCGCCCAATTTCAAAATTTTAATTAAATCACATGTTATTCAATTTTTGAAATTTTATAAATTTTCTAGAATTATATTTTGGACACGTTTTTATTTTATTTTTATATTTAAAATAGCTCATTTATTAATTTTCATTAAGGTTTCGAAAGTTTGTGAATTTAGTTTTTTGTTTGCAGAGTTTAACGAGACAGTCTAATAGTCATAATAAAATCTATTTTTTTTAAAAGATAAAAGTTCTGAAAAATAGGATATTAAATTTATTACTAAAAAAAAATATACCAGAATCGCTGACATCCGGAACGACTGCAGATATTTTTTCAGCCATTTCTCCGACCCGCTTCTTAGCTCCTTAAAAAATAAATGCAATATTATTTTTTTAAAATATAAAAATAAATATTACGATCTTTGCATATATTAACGATATTTATTTGGTTCAGTTCTATTAATACTCTCTTCATCATACCTTGTGTATTTTAAGAGTTTATATATCTGACATAGAAAGAATGGATCAGTATTTCTTGGGTTAAATCACTTAGATATATTTCAAAGAAGTTTCTTATATGCCTCAATTTTCGAGAAAAAATAATTCCCTAACCCGCCCATATATAATTTCAATAGCTAATATTATAAAATGATAAAATATACCACGTTGAATATAATATAATTAATTTAGTTTTAATTTTGTAGATAAATACCTCTGAAACTTTTTCTAAATGTCTTCATCAAAAATCCATCATGGCCTTCGGGTACTGTGTTAGTATTTAAGATTTCCAAAGATTTTTTCACGGGGTAATTCACAACACTCTTTCTATATTTTTTTAAAGTTTCGTTTTTAGATAATTAATTGATACATTTTTGAAACTAAGACCTAATTAGTAAACGCCTGTTATGACGTGATGTAATGTATGTGTTGTACAATAATTTTTTAGCTAGTATTAATGATGTTAGAGAAATAGGGAGTAAAAAGAATTAGGGGAAAGTTTTTCTTAGAAGAATAAGGGGTAAATTATTTAAAGAAATACGAGGTAATAATTTTCAGGGAAGATAGTGTTAAGGATAGTGCTAAAATGATCTCTTTTGTGGTAAGTCTATAGAATAATGGTTAAAGAAAAAAAATTATGTATTAATATTAACTTTGGATTTGGACTACTAGCTTTTTCATTTTGAACTATTATTTTATGATCCATAGCATCGGTAAAACTTTTTGTTCTTGAGCCGGGTGATGTAGATTGACTTCTTTTAGACGAAGCTTAAACAGGTATATATATATATATAAAAAATGGTGGTAAAATTTTAGGGATAATTTAATTGGGTCGTGAGTGGCCGTTAGAATGTTGACTAAAATTTTAAATTACACGATTAAAAAAATTTTAGTAGTTAAAATGTTGACTCAAATTTTAACATTACGCGATGTAAATTTTTTTTAGTATTCTTGATTCACGTTTCGTATTCATGACTTTTCCTCATTTAACATTTTTAATGATTCAGCCACGATGAGCATCCTTAATAACAATATTGAATTGTATCGAAAATATATTGAAAAGCATCTGTAAAGAGCTCAAATAATACTTTAGGTGCGCTTAAATTAGATTTAAGAGGACTACCCTCACCTCTTCTTGGCAGAGCCATATATTGTTAACTCGCTGGTTTAAAATTTAATGAACTATGATTGTCAAAATATGTTTATAATTTTAAAAATATTTATATTATATCAAAATAAAACTTCATAAATATGATTGGAACCATCTCCTCTTTAAAAATCAATTAAATATATTTTTCAGCAACTGTTTTCTTTAAATTAATTCTAACTCTAGAAAATTTCTAATTTTTTTATAAGATAGTATTCTATAAATGATAAATTCTCAACTTTTTGTGTTATTATTATACTCCGCTGAAAATGATAGTTCAGCAGCCCGCCCACTCCAATTAATATATATTTCCCAAGCTACTCCTTTCCTTTTTTAAGAGGTTCTTACATATAAATATAAGAAAATTTACTTTCTTTTGCATTCGTATCGAGTCTAGGCTCGGTAGACGAATCGAGTTCTGCCACGTCGATACTATCCGCTGCCACAAACCGCGAACTTTTCGGCTTACTTGTGGTAATTTCGCCACCCTTAACATCACTAACTTTAGCATCTTTATTGAGTTTACTTATTTTGATTGCTCGTAAATCGTCTTTACTATCTTTGCTCGCTTTGCTCTCTTTGCTTTTACTTCTTGTCTTACCGCCATCTTTCTTCTTATCTTTATCCTTCTTTTTGTCAGGTGGGGCTGATTCACTTTTATCCCTGTTTTTTTTGTTGTTAGTTCCTTTCTGAGCAACAGTTTCGTTGCTATTGTTAGAATTCTTATTAAAGTCGTAATAATGAGATTGTTGTTCTGTTGCGCTAGATGAGGGTAAAGAATCGGAAGTAAAATCTGCAGTTTCACTAGAAGCACCCTCCTGAGGATCCGTATTAGAATGAATATGTGAATCTTCTATATCGGCATTAATACTTGATATTTGAGAAAGAATAGTTTGATCAGGACTATTGCTAATATCTCCCATATCTTCGATATCTTCAATTTAAAAATATAATCATTGATATCTAAAGAAAATTTAAAAAAATAAAATACCTCTTTAACCCTTCAATGCTTCGATAATAGAAATGATGTAGGTTCTGGTGGGGTCTAATAGATTGCAATTTTAAATATATATCTCCATTTAATTTTTGGCTATAAGATGGAACCAACCTTACACTTTATAAAATACTAATTTATTTTAAGTTATATTGCTTAGATGAAATATGATGAGGATAATTATAAGTTGTAGAATTAAGAAAGCTTACTTTTATTAAACTTCAAATATTAAATTTAAAAAAATATTATAATTTTAAATTTTAATCTTTATTCTTCAAAAACAAGATTTATACTAATAAATTCAAACATTAAAAAAATAAAGGATATTGAAATATGTTAATTTTGATACGCAAAATATTTATAGCATAAAGCATTAATATGCTCCAAAGAAACATAAAAAAAAATTCCATATTTGTGAAAAATATTTAGTTTCCTTATTCTTATTTCTATGACAAGTACCACACCTTTCACTTGAGTGGATAACATTCCCATTTTTCTCTTTACCTAATATATTGCAAATAGGTTCCTTAGAATGTCATGGCATTCTGATACTTCAATTTTTTACACTTCCAAATATGACCTAATTAGTTCCATTGACAAATTTTTTTATGAAATTACTTCTTGTAATGAATATTTTTAGGTGGCTATATTATTCGAATTAATTGTTAGTTTAGAAGTGTGCAAAAAATTGTTGGGGGCCATCGTTTTGACCTTCTTAATTGATGTTGGGGGCCATCGATTTGACTTTCTAAATTGAATAACTCATTTCTTTCTTTCTTTCTTTCTTTCTTTCTTTCTTTCTTTCTTTCTTTCTTTCTTTCTTTCTTTCTTTCTTAATATGTTATAATTTCAGGCTAGCCTGGGTAATTTGTATCAACATTTTTATTATGTTGGAAAGTTAATAGCATTATGCCATTTTTGCTTTCTTTGCAACATATAATGTTAGTTTTTAGATATTCACCTCAAATATATGAAAAAGATATATCATTTTATATATTTTTATTATATCAACTATTAGAATGTGCAAATATCATAGTAAATCTTATCCTCTCTTATCTAACAAGTTGGTCTAGGACCTGTCCATATCAAGCGCAGGTGAATTATACAGCGAGATTTGGAAAATAGGGGTTCAAACCTATCTACCATCTATGGGAAAAAACTCCAGGCTTATATAATATTATATTGGCTAAAATCTTAATCGAGCCTTACAAATCGACTCAAATAGGGCCGTTTAACAACATTACCTAGTAAGACATCATTATTAAATCAAATTTCGTTTCATTATTTTTATAATATAAATAGTAATAATGCATCTAAGAATTTTTACTTATCGTCGGTAAATCTGATCTGGAGTCATCTTCTGTATAATAATTTTAATAAATTTAGGATGAAATATTTATCGCATATATTAGTAAAATTTTCTTTTTCCAATCCCCTTCTTTCCCCATTTTTGCCATTTCCTTTTTTGTTAAATTTTAAAAATCACTCGTTTTATGAATGACAATATAGCGATCAAAATATTTTGATATTTTCAAAGTGAGACCATTTTGTTTGGTAATTAAATTTCTTTTATTGAGCAATGAACAGAGCAATATTAAATAATTTTAAATCGCAGGTTTTGCAATGCTCATCACTCAATAATTTATATCTTATCATGCGTTCAAATGTGATGCTTAAAAAATTGAACAATTTTGGCATTTAACATTGAATGCCTAATCACTAGAACACTCTATTTAGGGTGAAGCCTTACCTCTCATTCACAGTTAACTTAAATTCGTGGGAAATTATACAAAATATACTGTATTTTGTATTCTCCGCCGCGATTTTAGACTAACTGGGAATTCAGGGTAACTTTTATTCAAAGTTAGCATGTATTCGAGGCAAAATATACAATATATGCTCTATTTTTGTGTATTTTTCCATAACTTCGCCACGAATTCGCGCTAACTATGAATGCAGGGTTAGGCCTCGTTTAAAATATGTGTCCATTGCTAGAGTGACGCGACATGCCTCGCTGGGTATTTTCAAAAGCAAGTGACCCATTGCTTGTTTTTGGAAATTACCCATAGATGCGGGTGAGCGATACGCGCTTACTATAAACAAAATATATTTTATTTTTTTAAATACCTGTAAACCCTTTTTCGACAGTATCTTGAGATTGAGTATCATCCTCGGTAGATATCAATTCATCCCTTTTTGAGTCAAATTTATTTTCTAAGAAAAATAAGATAATTACGAAATTATTTTTTCAAAAATTAAAATATTATTTTCTAAAAAACCACGTTTGTTTAATTCATTTATATAATCCGAGGACGATTTTTAAAACTTTTAAAATCCGATTTAAACGGCAATGTATTCCAGCATGTTTAGAATAAGGGAGACCAGGACTAGTCGACACAAGGGGCTTGTCAGTTTAACGGATTTTATTTAAAAGGACAAGCTAAAAAATAACGAATTAATTATATAATAGCATTGTAATAAAAAAATTTTAATAATATAAAATATCAATATGCTTTGTATATAATTGAATGTTATAATTTTAATAGTAAAAAATTATAGATATAAACCTAGGAGATATTTGTATCGTTGTCAATTAAATTTTAATAAATTAATTCTAATTCAATTGCATAGTTTTGATTGTGTCAAGCCATTTAAAGAGCTTTCTAGTTCCCATGCTTCAGTGTGTATTTGAAAAACTTTGTTTGTGGATCTCAGAGACCTGCAGAGGTACCATTTGCACGGCCCGGCCCGGCTCGGATATTTTTTAAAAAAATTTTTTACGGCCCGGCCCGGCCCGGATTTAAAAATTTAAGGCGCGGCCCGGCTCGGATATTTTTAAAAAAAAATTTTACGGCCCGGCCCGGATTTAAAAATTTCAGGCCCGGCTCGGAATTTTTTAAAATTATATTCGACCTGGTATATACAAAAATTCACCTATGAGGTATTTTACCATATTATTCAGCGAGTATTATCGCTTATTATTTAAAAAATACATGTAAAAAGCTAATATTTTGAGAATATTATATTGAATTTATAAAAATTATAAAACTGTTATTTATAAAAATGGATATTTTGAGCATATACTATATTTTATATTGCATTTATAAAAATAAAACTAATATTCATAAAAATGGTAATAATATTTTGAGCATATACTATATTTTATATTGCATTTAAAAAAATAAAACTAATATTTAATTTATAAAAATGGAAAATATTTTGAGAATATAATATATTGTATTTAATTTACTATTTAATTTATAAAATAAAAATAAATCGCTATTTAAAAAAATGCATGTATAATAAATAGTATTTTGAAAATATAATCTAATTGCACAATATTAATATAATTTATTTTATAATATAAATTTTTAACAAAAGAAGATAACTGTATTATATAATATTGTAAAAAAAAATAATGAAAAATGTTGGATTAAAAACTTTCATGACTCAAGGTAAATATAATAAATGCAATAAATATTTGACAGTTTGCAAAGTAAAAAACCAGCATGATTGTCGAAACCCTATACTCAAGAAAGATATTAAAAATTCACAAATTATCATGAAGAAAGAGAAGCATATCTACCTTTTCAGGTTGAAGATTACTTCTTCTTTCTTCAAGAATTCTCCCAGTAGTGGAAAAATTCCGCTCGCTCACAACTTGCACTTGAAGCAGGAATTGCCAATTTTGCTAAAATTGAAAATTCGCTTTGATGAGCCGCCCACCACTCTAACAAATTATCCACCTTAAATGTTTCATCTATTTTTTTATTTATGTAATTACAATATTCATCATCGGATATTGACATATTACCAGAATTACCATCGCCCCATTTGTCATAAAACGATTCAGTTTGTTTAACAACAGTCGTAATTTGACTGGTCGATGGTATCTCATTTACTTCCTGAGCCTCTTGTAATTTAATATAATCTTTTATATAGTTTTCCGTCATCTTGCGATTATGTCCCTTACTACATACGTAATTGCTTGAATTTGGGACAGAGAAAAAGAGAAATAAAATGATACTTGTGTAAAACAAATTTTTCAATTAAAAAATGCTTTATATTAAGTAAAATCAATTTTATTTCTCCTTTTTCGCTTTGAAAGGTATTACAAACTTCAAGAAGTGATATTCCTTTATCTGATTGTTTTGGTAAAATATATAAAAATTTAGATATGAATTATAAAAAAATATATTAATAATACTTGAACATTGGGGCTTATTTAAGATATTCCTTTATTTGATTATTTTGGTAAAATATTTTGTAAAAAATTAGATATGAATTATAAAAAAATATATTAATACTTTGAATAAATTTGCAGGAAATTAATAATTAGATCGATCTCTGGGTGTTAGGTAGTGTTAACCATCACCCAATATTATATTAATCATAACTATAATATAATATAATCTTATAATCTTATAACCATTAACTCATAATGTAAAAATTTTTATAAAAAATATAAAGCCCGGCCCGGATATATTTTAAAAAAAAATTTTTAGGCACGGCCTGGCCCGGATATATTTAAAAATAAATTTTTAGGCCCGGCTTGGCCCGCCAGTTTTAAGGCCGGGCCTGGTTTAGGACCGGGCCTGCAGGTCTCTGGTGGATCTAAATAACCTTCAACTACTCAGAAACCCAAAAAAAATTTTAACGAAGCTAAAAATACATTTTTACAAATTATAAATTATCGAATCATTATTATAATTAAAAATTTATACTAAAAATTGTAAAATACCATGACTTAACTAAAAATAATTTTACAAAATCTAAAAATATCCAGTTAACGCGATTATCTCAATATAATTATGACTCAACTATGACATCTGCCCCCTTTTCTCCACCTTTGGAGACTCCAATAGTTGTTTATACTCCTCCTCTCCTACCCGTAACTCGGGCACATCATCTGACACTTATTAGCGACGGCTTCGCGACTCCCTTTTTTCCTCCCCCACAGGTATTTTCAAATCTATGTATAGTGATGTAGATTTAGGAACCCACTCGTTCGAACTACGATAATTAGCAAAGACATTGAGCCCCTAGCCAGCGAATGGAGGGCCTTGGCCAAAGAAGGAAAACCCGAGGCAATAAAAGTCCCAACGCGCAAGAGGTCCGTGAGTCGAACAATGGAAGAGTGGAGGAAAGCCTAGGATGTGAATCGGTGCTATGGATGTGAAGGCTGGACATATCAGAAGATGATGTCCGAGGGAGCGTTATGAACCTCAAGGAACGGCGCTTGTGGAGGAGGAAAAAAGGGAGTCGCAAAGCCGTCGCAAGGAAATGTCTGATGAAATGCCCGAGTTACGGGTAGGAGAGGAGGAGTATAAACAACTATTGGAGTCTCCAAAGGTGGGGAAAAAGGAGGAGATGTCATAGTTGAGTCATCATTATTTTGAGATAATAGTGTTAACTAGTTGTTTTTAGATTTTGTAAAATCATTTTTAGTTAAGTCATTGTATTTTACAATTTTTAGTATAAATTTTTAATTATAATTATGATGCGGGTTTGTAATTTTAAAAGAAGATATTTTTAGCTTGTTAATTTTTAATTACTTTTTTAAAATTACGCTGCAAATGGTATATTATATATGTTAGGGTCAATGTGTTATTTTCGGTAATGTACACATTACCTGATTATTTTAGGCAATGTGTTACGGTGGTAGGCAGGGTGAATTAGTTATTTAGGCAATGTACACATTGCCTGGTTTTTTAAGCAATGTATTATTTTTGTAATATTATATTATTAAAATTATTTTATTTATTATTAATAATTTTCTAAGATTATTATTTTACTTAATTTGTAATTTTTTTATATAATTTGTTTTAAATATAATATTTTTATAAAATGATTTTTGATCGCTAATTTTTAATATTTTTAATATTTTTTAATATTATTTTTTATGTATTTTTTACTGATATATCTTTTAATCGCTAATTTTTAATATTATTTTTTAATATTATTTTTTACATATTTTTTCCTGATATATTATTTTGATCGCTAAATATTATTTTAAAATAATTTTTAAGATATTTTTAAATATTTTCTAAGATTATTTTTTACGTATATTTTCCAGATATATCTTATGATCGTTAATTTTTTAAAAATATAAACATGATATATTAAAATTTCAGTGAAGATGTACCATAGAAAAGTTACAATTGCCATAATCGTTATTTTTGAACTTTTTTGAATTTTTTAAAATTAAATAGGTAAAAATATATATTATAAAGATATTAAATTAAAATTTTAGTAAAGATGTACCATAGAAAAGTGACAATTGTCATAATCTATATTTTTAAACTTTATTGAGTTTTTTTTAAATAAATAGGTAAAAATATATATTTCAAACTTTTTAAATTAAAATTTCAGTGAAGATGTACCATAGAAAAGTGACAATTGTCATAATCGTTATTTTTGAACCTTTTTGAATTTTTTTAAAATAAATAGGTAAAAATATATATTGTAAACAAGTTAAATTAAAATATCAATGAAAATGTACCATAGAAAAGTAACTAAACGGGGGGGGGGGGGGGGGGGGTAAAAATCCCTACTCCTTTTACCAAATCTAATTTGGTAAATATTATTTAAAAATTATAAAGTATTTACCCATATCAAAAAACTAAAAATGTGTAAAAATGTCATAAAAATAATAAGAAAATATTAAAAATACCGACCTCATAAAATTTGTGAGAAATTTTAAAAAAAAGTAAACCCAAATAAAATTTAAAATATAAACTGGCCAAAGGCCTTCAAAGAGGGAGTCTAACATTATTCAATTAAATATGTAAAAAAATTACCCAAAGGTTTTCACCTCTCGCAAAAATCTTAGATATACTGATAGTGTTTTGCATATAATCTTAGTTATTGTTTAGAATATTCCAAAAAACTTGTAATTTTAGATCCTTCATGAAGTGAATAAATATCTAAAATATATTTACTTTTAGATTTGAAATATAATGTCAGATATTATAGTTAGTTGATATATAAAATAATCGATGCAGGATTATTTATTTCAATATATTTAGCAGTAAACATTTTAGAAAAAGTAAATTAATTTAAAAAATGCTTTAATTATACATCTGCGAGCTATTATACATTATGTTAAAAAACATCTCCGACTGCTGTGAAGAGTAAAGTTTAATTATAATAGTGGAATTTTTTATTATTTTAAATCATTATTACAATCATAATAAATCTCACCGAAATTTTTATATCTCTCGTTTTTATAAAATCAATTAACGATTTGCACAAAAATAACTCATCATTAATTTTGATTATGATAATTAAAAGGGAATTTAGGAATTTTGTTTAAATTTAACATGTTTACAATATATTTTTACCTATTTACTTTTAAAAAACTCAAAAAAGTTTAATAATATAGATTATGACAATTGTCACTTTTCTATGGTACATCTTCACTGAAATTTTAATTTAACTTGTTTACAATATATATTTTTACCTATTTACTTTAAAAAAATTCAAAAAAGTACAAAAATAGAGATTATAACAATTGTCACTTTTCTATGGTACATCTTCATTGAAATTTTAATTCAACTTGTTTTCAATGTATTTTTTTACATTTGCTTTAAAAAAATTCAAAAAAGTTCAACAATAACGATTATGACAATTGTCACTTTTCTATGGTACATCTTCACTGAAATTTTAATTTAACTTGTTTACAATACAATATATATTTTTTAGATTATGACAATTGTCACTTATGGTACATCTTTACTGCAATTTTAATTTAACATGTTTACAATATATATTTTTACCCATTTGCTTTAAAAAAGTTCAAAAATAACGAATATGACAATTGTCACTTTTTATAGTATAACTTCACTCAAATTTTAATATAACATGTTTACAAAACATATTTTTACCTAAAAATAGCGATCAAAAGATATATCAGAAAAAAAGTACATATAAAATTAATATATTAAAAATCCTATAAAAATAATATATATTCAAAATTATTTACGATCAAAAGATGACCAGAAAAAAAGTACGTAAAAATTAATATATAAAAATATTTACGATCAAAGATGTATCAGATTTAAAGTACCTAAAAAATTGAATGATAAACATAGGATGGAAAATCCTATGAGGTTGGAAAATAGGGATTTCAGGATTTCTATCTGCAATATTTGTCGAGGGATATAAAAAATTATTTAAAAAATTTATGTATAAAACAATTATCAATCAAAAAATTTATTAAAAATAATAATATAACAAATTAAAATAAATTATTTTAGATAAATATATTAAAAAATTTTTAAAAAAATATATTCATAAATATTTACTATCAAAAGATGTACCAGAAAAAAATACGTAAAAAATAAATATATAAAAATATTTACGATCAAAAGATGTATCAGAAAAAAGGTACCTAAGAAATTAACATATAAAAAATCATTTAAAAAATTTATGTTTAAAACAATAAAAACATTGACAATCTTCTTAAAAACATTATTTAAAAAATATATCTAATAAAATCTATAAATTATATAAATAATAAATTTATAAATAATAAATTCCTCTCAAATAAATATTAAATTAATATCAAATAAATAATAAATTGATCTTTAAAATAAATAATAAATTTATTAATTTGTAAAATAAAATATATTGCCTAAAAAACCAGGCAATGTACACTTTGCCTGGTTATTTAGGCAATGTATTCACCCTGCCTACCACCGTAACACATTGCCTAAAATAGTCAGGCAATGTGTACATTGCCGAAAATAACACATCGACGCTAACATGTATATAAATAAAACATTGTCCATGAAATAATCAAATAATAATATTAAGTATCCTATATAAGAATTAATAAACTAGTGGGTTTGGAGCTTGTTGGCGCAAAAATTCACTTATATTAGAATCAATCTTAAAATAAAATTATATAAAACGTTTAAAATATTTATAGATGTGTAATGTTAGGTAAGTGTTTGAGTTATTTCATAGTATTTCGTAAATTCAAATACATCAATTATTTTCGGATCTATAATAATTTTGAAAAAAATTTAGAGCCCTGGTCTCTTCTACTAACCCTATAAATTAGACAATTTTCGCCATTAATTTTGGTCTTTTTTTTGAATTTATATTAAAAATCTATATAAAAATCAATATAAAATATGAGTAGTTTATAAAGTTCATTGCAAAATTTGTTTAAAATTTACTGTGGGTAATCTATAAAAGCAGGAATACATTTCCAGCAAAATCAAATGCTTAAAATTTAAATCGTCCCCATTAAATAATTAATCGATTCCGAATCCCTAAGGCTAATGCGACTATATATATATATAACCAAATAAATTTCTTAGAGGATTCCATACCAAAATATTTTTTAAAGTAAAATTAAATCATATTTTTGCTCATAAAAAGGAGTTAAAGCTCAGTAATAATTGTCATGATTGTCTTATAAAACTAAAATATTATATATTTTAAAAAAATGGAGCATAGGCCCTGTTTGGAGTATAGTATGTTCTCCTTATTTAAATATTGAAGTTTTATAACTTTGCATATTCAAATTTAAAGATTTTGCTTTTTAGTATTTATTTTTTCGTACAGGATCCCGCCCATTCGAAAATTCTTATATTTAAATCACGCCCCATTGCGCCCTATCTAATCTTACAACTTCCTTAAAAACTATTAATACGCTCTATCTAATCGTATAATTAGTATAATTCCCATTGCACCCTATCTAATCATAACACTATACTTAGAAATTCCATTAACTTTACAAATTAACTGTGTGTAAAGGCTAGAGAAGGTAGAGAGTGATAAAATCTTCCGACCCTGCTATAGTTATATACAAATAAATCATTCCTTATAAGAAGAGATCAAGTTCTCGAGTTGAGTTGCTAATTTTTTTTATTTTAAACTAGGAGAGCAAATATAAGTATTAATCGCCAGCCGGACAAGTAATTTTATAATCCAATTAAATTTTATCTGCATTTTTTTTTATTTTGTTAATGACATGGTTACGGAAGGCAACGCTAGTATTTATAGAACACGTCTCTTTATAAATTTATAAATGATGCCATGCAATCGTTTAAAATTTTATGACCTATCCTTAAAAAAATACTTTTTGTATATTTTTATATTCTTTTCATAGAATTAAGATTATTATTAATTTCATCATTTTAAAATAAAATAATTATTAAACAAATCGGAAATCATCGAAAGTTGTCAAATCCAAAAAAAAATTAAATAATTTAAAAAATAATTGGAATCGCAAAAAAATAATTTAAAAAATAAGACCCGTTAATATCAGCACATAGGGGTAGCCGGGGGGGGGGGGGGCAAGGGGAAATTCCCCACTACCTTAGAAATTTATCACTTTTTGTGAATATCATTTTAAGCTAATAAAAATATCCTCCTTAGTCCTCTCCCCACCCCCTGTTCCCCCAAAATATATGCATATACCTTAAACTATTGATTATAATTCATACTTTTGGGAAAAAAGCTTATATATAAAAAAAGTGAATCCAAAAATGTTTATTAGGAAATAAAATATAAGCCAAAGATAAGTCTTAAGACAAAAGTGGAATGTGATATAATTATACTATTAATAGATTCCTAAAATTACTAAATAATATAATATCTCAAATATAATTTTTTATAAAGTGAGTAACTTTAACTTATTTTTCTTAATAAAATAAAAAATAATTATAAAATTATAAATTAAATTATAAATTAAGTAAAAATTAACTCAAAATACATGTAATATTATGTGTCGTAGATTTACAGTATATCTAATTTTATCTAATATCGTATGACAATCAAATAACCTTTACCAATAGAGAATTATATATTTTACAGAAACTAAAGAATATTGATAAGGACATCAGAAAATATATTTTAAAGAATGTAAATGAAAAATAATAATTCTATATTTCAGTAGAGTTAATATATAATAAGGTATATCCATTGTGGGATGAATAATAATATGTTTAATTTTCAGTAATATTTTAAATAAATAGATGGCGTTAAAGATTTAAATGCAAATATTAGTAAATTTTATTAAAATATTAAATGTAATATATTCTATAACTTTCAAATATGTCTGTAGAAGTGGCATTTTACCTAATATTTTGTAACCAATTCTATATAATAGAGAAATTTTATAAAGAAATTTCTTATACTTGTTGGAAAATTTTTACCAAGATTTTGTATTAATGTATATATATATATATGTAATTTATTATATTTTATATAAACTAATAAAAAAAAAATATTCCCTATATGTTCCATGTTCCAGGCTTATATTTTGATATAATCTATTAACCAATTTCTTATATTTTAAATAAAGATAATATTTTTTTTATTAAAATTAACATTATATCTTGCAAAAATATTGTACAACTATATATAAACTAAGAAAACACGGCCAAAGGCCAGGCAAAAGTGAGCCAAAGGCCCGCCCAAATTGAGGTCTGGGGGCGAAGCCCCCAACAAATTTTTAATTCCCCCCCCCCTTTCTTAGGAAAATTCTGGCTACGCCTATGTATCAGCAACTGTTTACGTGGCCCATAATAGCCCAAATATTTTAAGAACGGCATCTTTAATTCATATTATAAAAGTTATTCACTACATGTTACACTAGAGCAATCGATATATCCAAGACCTTAATGTAAATAACAAGTTAAAAGAAACAAGTCTCTCCCTTCTATAATTCATTTATATTTTCTCATACCTTTAGATTAATCATTAAATTTTGTATAATGTTATATATATTTACTTCTAATTGTATCGGGCTCTACATATGTTTCATTCAAGTTACCTGTAGAATTTCTGGAATTAGTTTCTTTTGAAGGGCTAGATTTGGAATCATCGCCTTCACTCTCGAACTGGAAAGAAGGTTTATGAGAGTTTCTACTCGAAAATCTAAAAAAAAAAATAAACGTGATTAAGATGTTTTAAAAATAAGGATTACAATTAAAATTAAGAAATATGTATTATATGTTTAACGATAATTTGCTTATAAAGGCAAGGTGTGTACTAAATATAAAATCTAGGAAATTGTATTCCCACATTTAAATACCTACTTATGTATTTCAAACATTTCTATATGATATATTTAGTGATTCCGAACATTACCGGTTTACATATATATTTAAATTGACTAAAATTATATCATATATTGTAATAATTAATCTTTCTTTCTTTCTTTCTTTCTTTCTTTCTTTCTTTCTTTCTTTCTTTCTTTCTTTCTTTCTTTCTTTCTTTCTTTCTTTCTTTCTTTCTTTCTTTTTTCTTTGTTTCATTCTTTCTTTCTTTCTTTCTTTCGAATAAATCGTATACCTCCGCTTAATAGGGTGAGGTTGTCCTATAACAATGGGCAGATTTAAACGGATATAATTCATGCAAACCTTGCTTTGCGGTTTAGCCGTAATTTTAAATGAAGGTGGTACATCGCCGCTAAAATAAAAGGTTAAATAAATTATATTTAAAAATTAAATTAATTTAATTGGTGCTAATAATTCAATTAAGGTAAAATATTTTTGTAAAATGTAGAAATTTCATAATTAGTATGTCTAAATAATTTGTTAAATTAAAGAAAATGTTCGATTTATAAAAGGCAATTTTTAAAAATATATATGTATATATAAATATATATATTTTAAAAAATTAGTTAGGGAATATGGCATAAATGTCATTTAGCAAGGGTTGTTGTAAATATTATTACGCATACCTCGAGGGTATTTTTGTGATCACGATATTTTCTTCTTTAGCGTTACGCACATTTTCAAAAACGCCAATCGGTCTTTCAACCCAATAAGGTATGTTTCGACTCATGTTACTTTTGGACAAAAATAATTAAATTTATATAAAATTATGAGCAATAATATACACTTTTGAGTTGAGTTTTGAAATATTGTTATGATTATAAAAATGTTTAACAAAATTTATAAAGTAGAAATATAATACAATATCCGTTAGGCAAAAGTTAGTGACGTATCTTAGATTTTGTTTTGGGAGGGGGAGGGGTCAATAAATAGGCCGCTCTATATTCTCTATATATCATTATATTATGATCAAAAATAAACCTAACACAATAGCAAAGATATTGAAGTTCTTTTCAGTCTTAAAATGACATAAAATGGTGTTGATGCATATTAATACAAAAGTTGTAGTATATAATTGAAAAGGATAAAAAAAATTTTAACTAACACTCCAAATGGTTCGTAGCCTTCTTTGAGCCCGTAATTGGTAAAATATTTTAAGGTTCTAACATCGTTTCCGAAATTGAGCTTGACTCGTTGATCAACTCCTAGGCTGAAGACCGGGATATAACCGCCTTAGAAATTAAAAATTTTAATCTGAAGATTATATTATTTTTAAATTACAGAGTAAGTTTATATTCTAAAGTATAACTTCAAATTTGCGAATACACAATTTGAAATGAGGTATTTCAAGATTAAAATAAAAAATGTGATAATTTAACAAATCAGGGTTAAATACTTTATATAGGAGAATTGTGTCTAAAGAAAAGAAAAATGGATAAAATTTTGCTCTTAGTGATAAGGTTTTTTAAAAAAAATGTAACGAATCTAAACATTTACGAATCTAAATTTTGCAAATCGAAATATTTTTTTAACATACATATCGTTGGGGGGGAGGGGGGTGTAATGAATTATTCTTCATAAAGACTTTTAGATTTTTGTTAAATTATGAAGGAATTCATCTCATCCAAAAAATTCGGAAGGAAATGGAAACCTTTAAATGAAATATGACAATCATCCATCTGTCCATGACCAACCACCCTTCCTTTATCTATAAACCATTATTCATTTTTTTAAATTAATTAATTTTATATTTTAATTTATAATTGAATCCTTAAAAAATATATATAGATAACCTTCCATGGTAGGATTGATGGATTCGAATGCCAGTTCATTGCCGTTGGTAGCTAGATCAGATATCGGTTCACCGTTGACCGTAAAAACTACATTCAGATCGTGTAAATCAACTAAACACCCGATCACATCGTCTGCCCTCCACACCTTCCCGCTATTAAAAGATTCCCCCGATCCGTCGTGCCATTTATGACCTGTGTGACAATCTAGGATGTAAGAAAGTTCATCCATGCCCAGAGGTTTCAAATGAGAGCAATTCGGGGAGGCCCATCCGCATTTAACGTAAGGTCCCGCATCAGGATTGGTAGTGTTTTTACTGAGAACCTCAATCTCGTAATACCTTTTTCATTGGTGGATGATATTTTTTGAGAATTAAAGATTTTTACATAATCATCCTACAAACTCTAAAACCATATTCTCGTTCATATTATTATTAAAACAATTCTGTTTAGATCAGTCTATTTAGATTGGACACCCTATTCTGTTTGGCTATAAGTGTGTACAAATCTAAATAGCTCTTTTCTTTTCATTCTGTTTATTTAAAGTGTGCTAAATATCGATTTTATTAGAAAGCATAGGGTTATTATTGTTTTTTTAATTATTATTAGATAATTAAATATTAATTGGTTTTTTTTTTCCTTAACGCGTAGAATTATGTTGTTTTATTATTATTATTATTATTTTTTGATGATTATGTTTTAGTTGTAGAAAAGATATATTTATATATAGAAAAAAAAAAGAAATAAATTCATTATTACGATTTTATATTTTTTAAGAAAAAAGATAGAAATAAAAATTATTATTTGCATTTGATATTGTTTTAAAAGAAATAAAATATAAATTAAAGGAAAATTAAAAATATTGTTTTAAAAGAAAGAAAAATATAAGTTAAAATATAATAAAAAAAGAAACAAGGTGAAAACTTAAGCTATATAGATGGTTAAACAGATTTATGTTTAGAAATAATACGAACCGAGGCATGGCCTAAGATCCTAAAATAGAAGAACTACATTTTACTAAAACTTGGGTGACTATTAAAAGTGGTGAGGCAAATGGTCATTTTTAGAAAAGTATCTATAATTTTTATGTAAAATGTTTTCTTAAATAATCTTTATTTTTGGTATGAGCAATGTCTACATGAATAGCTTTAAGGCAATTTGCTTCCGTATATCTTACAGACTAGTATGGGGCAGGCTTTGGTTTAAATAGTTAAAATAATACTTGAGGGGATAGGAGAAGGACCCGGTGATTCATTTCAAAAGTGAATAAATGTATTTCTAAAATAATTAAAAGAGTATAATTTTACCATTTGCCATGAGCGACCGCATAGGTTTTTTCGGCTCTAAAGGTACGGTATTCAAAGTTTTTGGTGGAATTGGTGTTCATGAATATATCTTTTATATAAAAAAATATATATTTAGAAGTTTAAAGAAAACTATAGATTTATATTTTATAAAATAATTAGTTTTTAACTTTTTTCCTTGCCCTCTGGAGGAATTTCTATGCTACCGCCATAAGCAATTATGGTTTTAATCGATTCTTGAGCGATTTCTCTATTGGACAATAAATCATTTTTTTAAAGCTTATACACATTATAATAAAAAAAAAATTATTTAAAAGTAGTTTCTAAAATTGATCTCCCAACATACCTTTAAAGAGACTTTAGATCAGAGTTAGAAGGAGAAAAAAAATTTCAAATATTTCAAGATTTTTTTTATGCCCAAATTTGTGAGCAAAAAATCATTAAAGTTCATAAAATTGTAGATTTTTTAAGAAGATCAAAATCATTTTTTTAAAAAAATTGTGATGTCGTAATTAGATTTTCTATGAATAAATTTAGGAAAAGTTTACTAATAAAAGATTTGATATTATAGGTAAAATTTGAGCAAAAAAACTTATTTAAAAATTCTCAAAAAAATCTTCAGAGATCAAGATCTTTGAAGAGTTATTATTTTAAAAAGCATTTCAAACTCTGTTTTAATTAATAACCACCATATCCCAGCTTAGTGAACTCCTCTAATTTCCTTGATGTATAAAAAAATATATAATTTTTCCATTATAAATTTATTTAAATTCAATTATTATTTTTTTTCTGTCTTACATATCTGTGTTATAAGATTATTATAAATTATATATATACAAAAAAAGAAAACATAATTAATATTAAATTATAAATACTAATACTCGTTTGCTTGTTTGATAAATTTTGGGATGTGTTTATATGCCAGTAAAAATGGGGTCCTCTTCAATTTGTCATCCTAAGCCCAAAAAAAAATAAATATTTAAAATTTATAACTTTCCAATCTATTTTAAAAAAAAAATTATTAAGAAAATATATATATAATTATAGGTAACCGAAACCCAACTGTTATTTTTGATTTTGTAAGGAGAAGCAAAATTTTTAACAAGTGTTTGTTTCACTGTTAAACGGCCCGGGCCGATTTTTAACAAAGGCCCGAAGATTTTAGCAAAAATAATATTATGTAAGATTCGAGATTCATATAATAATACCTAGACTGACGATGCATTCATTAAAAGTGCACATCAATGAAAACAGCTGGGGACGCCATTTTGATTACCCATATCATTATTAAAAATTTTAAACGAGAGGCCAATTTATTCCTATGTCTGACGCAAACTTTATTAAAGCATTGCCTGAATCGAGATAATATGGAAGCAAGTTATCAATTTAATAGTAGTTTTTATCATGAGAATAATTACTATATGGGTTACCAAAATGACGGGTCCAGCTGATTTGCGTTCAAGACGCTTATGCGTTATTATGAATGTTCTGCCATCTAAGTGCAAAATCATCAGGCTTACATAATATTATAATGGCTAAAATCTTAATCTTAGCCTGTTTATAAAAATCGACACAGTTTAACAACACTATCTTTTACTATGTAAGGTCCGTAACTCCAACCATTTGATATTCTGTCTTGGGCCCATATATTATGCAAGTTTTCGGCTAGGGCCAGAGTTAAATTATCTATTATGGGGTTATCTGGAATCCCAGTCAAATCTAGCGGTGCTGGCTTGAAAGAATTTGACATCTGATAACTTATTTATATTATATAAAAAATTAATTTTATTACATAGTCTTGCTTTTCCCCAGAACCTTATCAAAAAAAAATAGAGTGTCTTTTATCCTGTTTATTTAAATTGAAAACAAATAGCACCATGAATTTTTCCAATTTTATTTATAAAAAATGAACACCAAATACGTATTTTTTTTGATGATATTTTTGTTAAAGATTATTTCTTTTCACCTGTTTTTATACAGCTTTCTAAACGACCAAGTTTTTTAAAAAAAATTGGTCTCAATAAATAATTTGATGATCAACTTAGAGGTTTAATAAATTTTTAGGTTAAAAACTTGGCTAATATTGATGGCCAAAGTTAAGTGATTAAACAACCGTATAATTATATATTTGGGTTAACTTATAATTATATTTTGTTGCACCTTTTATCAATATTTTATAACAAAAATATATATTGTTAACTTTTAAAAAGAAATTTATTTATTATTATTTAAATTTTTATAATGATAAAGGAAATTTTCAATTGATTACTTGATAGGTAGTCTTTGTATTTTAATTTTGGTGTTGGGATTCTTCAATATTATGTTGTATCCAAGAGCCATTATGTACCTTATATTATATTAATTAGATTTATGAAATATCATTATCAACAGAGACTTACCATGGGCCTAAATTTTTTGATCAAGCCCTACTGAGAAAATTTTTTTAGGCCAGACCAGGCCCGGCCTTAATTCAATATTAAAAAAATCCTCAAACCCATATTAAGTTTCAAAAAATTTCCCCAAGCCTATATCCAATAATTTAAATTGTATTAAATAAAAAAAACAATATTTAAGTGTATTTATTTAGGCAATCTTTTTGTTTGCAATACTGAAATTTTTTATTATTATAGGAAAAATATTGCGATATTTTTTTAATTTAGAAAATGTTTTAAATATAAAGAAATTTTTAAGGCCCGCTAAAAAATATTGTACTAGGCCCATACCCGGCTCAATGAAGGTCTCTGGTTCACATACACATATGTTACTTAAACAATATAGATTTTAATATATTAAATAGGCTGGGAGGTTTTTAATTTTGTAGACTAAATAGTTCATATACAAAAAAAACGTATTTAATTCATCATAAAAATTGAACTCTCCTTCGCTCCATTATTATATTAATTAAACTTATTTTTAAATTAAACCCATTTTAAGATAAATTGAAAAATTTATAATGCATAATACAGAATATATTTAAAAAAAAAAAAATTAACATTACTTGAAAGTATCAAGCGCTTGTTGTAAATCGTAAGTTTTTTCGATGGCAGGTAAATTTTCATAAGATATCAAATAAGGATGCGTTTTCTGCGAGTCACTCCTTTCGGTCCCGTATATCCACGCCTGTTCTATCTTACTTTTTGCCCATAATTCGTGAAGATTTTCGGCTAGTTTTTTCTTGATATCCTCTAATTGTACTGGAAATATTATCTTTCATTATATAGAGAAAAAATTTTTTTTAACATTTATTTTTCTCCAAGCCCAATAACCAAGCAAGGAGGATAGTGCATCAAAATGATATAGGGGTATAACTTATGGGAGTGTATCACTCCTCACTGTAGTAATTGGAAGAGTATATTACATCACTCCTCTTAAACGTTTTTTATCGTATATTGGTAATAAATATTATTAATTTAAGTATTATATAAAAATTTTATGTTTATACCTTAATTTTTGTTCTTATTTCTTAAATTCTATTAGGGACTATTTTTCTTAATTATGAATTTTTTTTCGTGATTATTATCTGTAAAATACGCTTAAATGTGTATACTTAATTATTCCTATTTTTTTATCTTTAAAATTCACTATTTAGAGCAGTTACTAATAATTTTAAAAGAAAAAAAAGTAGAATCAGGACACAGTCTAATATTCAGTATCCAGCGCTGGTCAAAGGCATGGGTGCTGTAGCCATTTTCCCAGAGAGTCAAGGAAATTTGCTACTTTAAGGATGCCATAATTAGAGGGAAACTTTTTTTTTTTAAAAAATACATTTTTTCGACCGAAATAAGGTTTTTGGATTTATAAATTAATAACTATTTTAAATATATATTTATAGCCGATTATCACACAGGAAAGGCATAATAGTTTATCGATTGTTTCAATAGAGGAAGAATGACATCATAAACAATTTGAATATGGGAAAGATAGATAGTAAACAAAATAAAAGTTGTACCAGCCTTGCTATCATCACAACTCTTAAAAAATAAAATATTCATTAAATTAAAAATATTAAAAATACTTTAGCTATAGGAATTATGTTGGGCACAAATGGTTTATCGCACATGTTCCTAGGGTAAGGTCCGTTAAATAATCCCTTTTTAATGTTTCCAAAGTCATGGATTGGAACAATTTTTATCTTATCACCCCAGGATCTGCATTCGGAGAGTGAGGCATACAGGGGAGGTGGTCCATGCTTTAGTTTCCCTTGATCGTCCCCAAACATGAATCTCGCGCTGAATCGTTCAAAGTTTATGAAAAGAGTCAATTAGTTGGGAAAAAAAATGATAACAATATTAAGCGGCAATGTGTTATTTTTTTTTTCAATTTTAATTTATATTATGAGCGCGCTCCTTTTTTTTAATTTAAAAATCTGATTTTATCGGAGATATATTCCATCGTGTTTAGGATACCTATCTTATGAATTACATACATACAATGTTGCCGCTAACCTTTGAATCATTTATAATTTATATAAAATTGTATTAAGTTCAAAATTTCGTGGCAAAACTGTTTGAAATTAATAGGGTAGGTATTCCCAAACATGACGGAATACATTTACAGCAAAATCAGATCTGCAAATTTTTTAAAAAAAAACGAGCTCAAAAATTGATTTATAGTTCAAATAATAACACACTGCAGTTAACATATAATACGCATGCATGGAGCAAATAGGAGAAAGAAGTTAGAAAATAAAATTCTGTCTTTATATATATATATCAAACCTAATCTTGGATGTGAGACTAACCATAGGGAAAAACATGCCTTGAGAGAATGCGAAGTTTCTAAATTCTCCCATCACCTTTTGCCCATTTACAGTGAATTTTATGTGCGGAACCGTTAAATCTAGCAAGCAACCAACAATATCTCCTTTCTTTAAGGATCCAGCTTTGAATCCAGGATCAACCGTTTGGGATTTATTGAGATTGTATTTTTGACCTCCTAAATAAAAGTATTTCTCACTTCTTAAAATCAAAGTATTCATTTCATTTAATGTAGAGAAGAAAAAAAATCTCTTGATGTATGTCAATTTCCCAGCTTATTAATTGATGCCAAAGATGTTTTTTTTAGATATGTTCATGTTCACTGATTCAACTTTTAATAATATTAATTATTTTATTTAAATATCTTTAAATTTACATAAATGAAGCTTAGATGTTTATAGCATATGATACTTATTATATTTTTTTACCGGTCCATAGATGATTTCCATCAAATCCGTAAGAAAAATAATCTCCACCTACCCCTGGTGAGCCCCAATTGGGTCCAGAACCAGGGAATAACGATGGGAATGAATTGTTACCCCAGCCTATTCTCAAATGGTTACCGTCCAAAATTTCTTCATCTCCTTCATCTTCTTCGTAAGCTGAATCTGGGCTTAGAGTATCGAATTCAGATGGAACATGATCTATCAATACTTCGTAATACCATCTGGTGTACATAGAACAATTTGGAATCACTCCTACTTCTATATTAGCTCTCATGCTTGTAAAAAGAAATATGAAGAAAAAATGGGCGTAAGCAATATGCTTATAATATTATATAAACTGACCCCTACTATATAATAGAAATCTAAATTCACCCTCGAGAGGTGAAATGGAAATAAATCGATGGTAATGTTGGGCATAATTAACCCCCTCTTTTAAAAATTATTATATGTCTCATTCAAATTTTGAGTGTCCAAAATAGGGCAAAATTAACTTAAATATTTTATTTCCTATTTTTATTATAAAAATATGTTTAAAACATGCAAAACATCCAACTAACATTTATATATAAATATTATAGTATATAGCTTGATTTCTAGTTATTTTAATTATAAAAGTTAAATATGCGATTCTACATTTAAAAATTCGTATTTTAAAAACTATTCAATAAAAATTCATGAAACTTTCTAGTAATGTAGTTTAGCATAGAATAGGCAGCTACTGAACAAAAGAACATTTCAAAATTTCTACAAGTTTCTCCTTTTTTTGGCATTACTATTAACAAAGTATAATTAGGATGCAATTATACTCCACAAGGTTAAGTAATCATTGTAATTATAGAACGTTCAAAATTTATAAAAAGTGTAAGATACAAAGTTTCATGTGTGTTTAATAATAATATTTCCATTTTACTAACTCTTATTACCCAGTGTTAATTCATGACAATGGTTAATATTTTTAAATTACAAAAAAAATAAATAGTTATATACAAAGTTAAATTTCAATTATACTTAATAACATACTGTATAAAAAATAATAATTAATATGAATAGTGTATATCATTCAACAATAAAAATTTTAACCCTGTACCTTACAACGTAATGAATCAATTTAGTTTGCAGCAATATGTTTTTTGGAGGAATCAAATGATCATATATCAAGCGCTGATTATTTCTGACTGCTATGCCGTTACCTACGCATAGAGAGCACAGGACATTCAATATTTTAGGATCCCTGCCTTGTTTGTAGAGCATCGATATGATTACTTTGATATGATCCACCGTTATCATATTCAAAACTTCTGGGCTATCCACCAATATGTATTGGAGAACATCCAAAGCCCCTTAATTCATTTCAATTTTTTTTTAGATAATAAAATAATGCACTATTTGTTCAAAAATTCAATCATTTGTAATTTAGTGGGTTCTGGGTAAGCTATAAAATGGAATTATCTATTTTAAAAGTATCGATATCTAGCTAGATTTTAAAAATATCGTTATCTAGATATACTTCTTAAATTGCTGGTATATAGATATATCTAAAAGTATCGATATCTAGCTAGATTTTAAAAATATCGTTATCTAGATATACTTCTTAAATTGCTGGTATATAGATATATCTAAAAGTATCGTTACCTAGATTTACTTCTTAAATTGCTGGTATATAGGTATATCTAAAAGTATCGTTTTACCTCTTTTACCAATTAAAAATATATATTTAATTTTATTTTTAAATTGATCACTCTAATTTAATTATCTAGCTAGCTATACTTCTTAAATTATCGGTATGTAGATACATTTTAAAAGTATCGTTTTGCAAACTCTATTCCCGATAAAAAATATTTCTTTCTTTTTTGTGATTTAGATACAAGACTTTAATTTGAATACCTTTAGACGCCTGTTGATTTTCTAGTTGATCGAACAGCCAATTCAACCTATTGCCCTGAGCGAATTGGGCGCAGTTGGCTCTGTTACCTCTTATTATCGCCGCTAAAAGTGTGTACAGCTGGTTTGATATATAATCGATTCTTTCCGCCTCCCTTTCGTCCATTAAGCTTATTATCCTGTTTTTAACATCGTGAGAACTAAATCTGTCTATAGCCTCGAGCACCACCGAAATTATACCTTCCTCTTGAAAAAGATCTTGCCTATTTTTGAGAGCTTTTAACCTAATTTGTCGTTTTTCGTTATCTTTAAAGTTAAAAAAAAAGAAGATATTATTTGAAATAGATTCCGGAGTAGAAATTCAAAAATTTTGTAATTAGGAAATAAAATTTTACCTAAATCATCGGAAGGGGTAGCAAAATAATCAATTAAATCGTCCCAAAATTTTTGCATTTCGTTCAAATTTAAATTTATCGATTTTTGGCTGAAGACCAATAGGTAAATATCACTAAAATCATATTTTTATATATATATTAGATTTGTTTAAAAATTTAGAAAAGTAATAGAATAATATGTATAATTTATAAAATAATAATTATAAAATAAAGATAAAATAAGATGGGGTTTTGTTTTAAACTTTAGAAATTTTTCGAATATAGAAGTGCTTTTCCTTATAACGCGTGCCGATCTGGCTTCTTCTTCCAGTGCCATCGTGAAAGTGAATCCATCATCCATATGGCCTTCCTCCAGCATCACGGCCTTTTTCTCTTCCACTCTTCCGATACCCTTTTTCTTGGTTTCGTAAATCTTATCATTTGTGAAATATAATAAGTTTCAATATAGTATAGAAGATATTTTATTTTTATTATCATACATTATGGTACAATTATACCAACCATCTTTAGTAATTTATAAATACCTTTGATATTTAAGTGTGTTTCTACAGTAAATATCAGCGTCGTTTCCCCTCTCCTTATAAAAATTTCCAGGTTATGTGGTTAAATGATCCTCAATTTATTTTTAATATTTGTTTAATTATAAAATTTTTAAGATTGTTTATCATGGATATAATATAATAATTTCTCGGTGAAGAAAAGGTATATAATAATAGCCGATATGTCGCTGTTTTATATGTTTAACATTAAAAAAAATAGAAAGATATATTATTGATAATTACAAAAAGTAGAATTTAAAAACTTCATAAGATAACCAGAGACCGGTGTGCACGTGTTGAATGAAAACCATAACATCACCATATTTGATAACAGGTGTTCCCATTGACTCTTCCTCTTTGTCCTCGTCCAAATTGGTGACCTTTTTGTCATCCTTGGCTGGTCTCAAGCAAAACAGGGTGTATTTGTGGCTAGCAGATACTTTTGGCACTAGACTAAGATTCCATTCTTTGGGAGGTTCAGTCTTACTACCTATCGTTTTTTATGGTTTATTTATGAAGAATGATCTAAAGTCACATATTTTTTAAAAAAAAACCTTACATAATAATACAATTATATGTGAATAGTGATTATAAGGTTATAAGAAGGAAAAAAAAAATGTGAATCATCATTGTTTATTCGTTTTAATATGTGTAGGAATATAGTAAATAACATGAGGCGAACATTTTAAAATTACTATTTCTTTAAACAAATATACCTAAGATTATCCAAACAAATAGATTATTGAAATAGTAAAATAATATATTTCACCTTTAAAATCTTTTTCAAATTCTCCACCAATCAATATAGCGTCACCCCTATTCATATTCGCTGGTAATAAAGCTAAATAATCGCCAGAGGTCAAGTGTTTTAGTCTAAGTGGTGATGCCCAACCCATTAGACCCCCGTTATATTTCGTCTTGAGATATTCCAATTGCCAGAGAGAACGAGCTTGATGGCAAGCTTCGCCGGACTCGTACATAACGCATTTAACTTGTTCAATCGGGGCGGATGCTTTATTAATAGAGCTAATAGGGTTGACCTTGAGCGAGTTGCCAAAATTGCTAAAATTACCAAGACTGCTGGTATTATGAAAGGCGGCAAACGTAGAATTGGCTTGAGAGGAGGGAGAGTACGCATAAGATGATGAATTTCTGGCGGAGTCAGAATTAGAATCCAGATTTTTGGAAAGCCGAGAATTTCGGCGAATGCCATTATCCAATTGGGAGTCATTTGAATTAGATACCGTTAGGCATTCATCTTGGCCATGGAACACACGCAAAACCTGTCCACCGAATACATAACCTAATAACGGGGAGGTTGGAGGGGGTTAAATTATAAGTATAAAAAAAAATATAGTATTTTAGAGGTGTAATGAAATAACTTTTATTAGAGTAATTTATCCATATATAGTTAGTATACATTATCATACATATCCATTTTTCAATCTTAATTATGCGATATAAATATACCTACCCTATAAATAAATTTCTTAAAGATTTCCTTCATAAATCTTAAGTTTAAAACATTATAATAACCATTATATAGTGAGTATAGTATATCAAAAAAAATATTTTAGTTCTCTGAATTTCTAACCCACGTATTTGTTGCGTATATTGCCGCTCGAGTAGGGCCCAATGCTCCATATCGTTTGGGAGAACGATGCGATAACTTGAGAGTCCTCTCTTTTATTTTTAACGGTATGCTTTTTCAACAAAAAAAAAGTGAAATAATATTTTAAAGATTATTTTGATTGCTCTAAAAATATCTAAAATAATAAAGTTTAAAAAAAAATTTAATTTTAAAAATGTCAATTAAAAAAACCTTTTTTTTGTATGTAAGTCGAACTCAAGAAACTAAGGTAGTTTAGTTCCGGTTGATTAAAATAAGAAACTTTTAGAAGTCTAGAAGTAAATATATAGAGCAGACATTAGAAGCATGCTTACCAGATAACGTTCGGACGAAACACTTATTAAAATGAGATCGTCTCCAATTCTGACCTTTTCGCCTTCAGATCTTTGCTTGGAAGCTGGGTGAACAGTCCACCAACTAGATTCTCCTATATAATATAAATAAGATTATTTTTTCTAATTTAGTTTCAGCAGCTTGCGTAATGGGTGGAAGCAAGAATATAAAGTTTTAATAATGCATTATGTCATATTGAGATATGGAACCCATGTAGATGCGAAAACTCTCAATTTTAAATCATTTTCCGATAGCGATTTAAATAAATTTAATTAATTAAATCCAATTTAAACCGGAAGTGTATAACCAGACCTAAATTAAGAGTATTGTTGTTGTAAAGTCTATAGCAAAATTGTTTTGAAATTTACAGTGTAGGCACTCTAAAACCTGCCGGAATACATTTCCGGTCAAACCAGATTTGTAAATTACAAAAATTGTCATTCATGTAAATGATTTATTGTTACCGAATCACCATGAATTTCATATCTCAATCGGTTACATGTCAATACTGCGAAAATTTTAGCGCGAAATGTATTATCGCGAATGTCGATTACCGCGAAAAGATATTATAGCGAATGCATTATCGCGAATATAATAGAGCGAATGCATTACCGCGAATGCATTATAGCGAATATAATACACCGAAAATATTATAGCTAATGTATTAGCGCGAATGTAATACCGCGAAAATGTTATCGCGAATGTATTATAGCGAATACATTACAGCGAATGAATTATCGCGAATGTATTATCGCGAATATATTACCGCAAATGCATTATAGCGAATGTATTATAGCGAATGTATTATAGCGAATGTATTATAGCGAATGATTATCGCGAATCCATTATAGCGAATGCATTATAGCGAATGAATTATCGCGAATGCATTATAGCGAATGCATTATAGCGAATGCATTATAGCGAATGCATTATAGCGAATGCATTATAGCGAATGCATTATAGCGAATGCATTATCATATCGCGAATGGAGTTTCATGAAAGTTACAATTTTATAGTCATTTTAATAATTATTATATGGTCATTTTATTATTAAAAAAACCTCTCATTTGTATATATGTGAATATAGTTATTTTAGTAATTTGTTTTTCCTTAAAAATATATATATATCTATATTATCATTAATCATAATTAAAATTAGACATAAATTTGATATAAAAAATAAATTTTTTATTTTTATAGGCAAAATATATTTAAAAATAATTTTAAAATGGCGTAAAATTATTTGTGACCCAGACAAAATGTTTTTAAGATTATTTTATCCCTTTTTTTTATTCAAGGGTGTTCTGAGAATTTATATTACAGCAACTGGCTTGTTTTTTAAGAATAGTAAAGATTCGAAAATTTTTGTCATTTTATTTTACATATTATTAAAATATTTTTATTTTTTATAGAAACAAATTACTCAATATATCATTTAAATAATTATGATTAAAAGTTATAAAGGTTTAGATCTAGAGATATATAATAACTTTGTTTACAGGCTTGATAAAAAGGTGCCTCCTACCTACTACTATAGGTGCGTAGAGAGAGATACTCACAAGTGTATGGCCAGGCTCACATGCCGAAATAATGAAAAAATTCCAAATAAATTCGAGCACAATCATATTCCGGATATTGCTCATTCGGCCAAAGAAGTTGTGCACGGTGGTGGATGATTGTGAGAGCTTCTTGTACGGTGTATTATCCTTTTAATAAGGCTGGAGTTAGGAATCTTCATTGCGATGGATTCATCTAGATTTGACGATATCTCCGAGATAATCATACTGGGAGTATCGATAGTTGTTTTCGCTTTATGCTTAATTTCGTTAACAATTTTTCGTGACTCAGTTTGAGCAATATCCAGAATATGATTGTGCTCGAATTTATTTGGAATTTTTTCATTATTTCGGCATGTGAGCCTGGCCATACACTTGTGAGTATCTCTCTCTACGCACCTATAGTAGTAGGTAGGAGGCACCTTTTTATCAAGCCTGTAAACAAAGTTATTATATATCTCTAGATCTAAACCTTTATAACTTTTAATCATAATTATTTAAATGATATATTGAGTAATTTGTTTCTATAAAAAATAAAAATATTTTAATAATATGTAAAATAAAATGACAAAAATTTTCGAATCTTTACTATTCTTAGCTTATTTATTACATTACGTTCAGATGGCTTTAATTCTATACTTTTTATGTAAGTCTTAATTTTATCTTTTTGTTAATTGACATAATTTATTTTATTCTTTTTGACCAAACCTTTTTACTCTATAGCTAGTCCATACTCCCTCTCTATAATGTCTAATATAAATATGTACATTTTTAATCACTTTTTGGTTTTAGTCCTTTTCCTATTTTGTTTTTATTACAAGATACAATTTAATTTTCAATACAAAATTAAAGATAAGTAGTAAATTTAAATAGTGACACACTGCCAATTGATCTTCAAGATCCTTGTAAAATATTATTAATTAAAAGTATTTTTTACAATAGTTTTACAGTTCTATTTTCTTTTCAGTTTTATTTTTTCTTTTTTAATTTTAGTTCAGGATACTGTATAAGGTAATATTTAAAATATGTTAAGTATTAAATGTGTACATTTTCTATTTTACTTTTGGTTTTAGTCTTGTTCTATTTTATTTTTAATACAAGATACAATATAATTTAATACTAAATTAAAGATAAAATGTAGTAAATTTAATAGTGACGCACTGCTAATTTATTTTCTAGATATTTGTAAAGTATTATTAATTAAAAGTATTTTACAAATAATTTAAAAGTAATTTTATAGCTTTATTCTTTTCTTTTTTCAGTTTTATTTTCCAGTTTAATTTTAGTTCAGGATACTGTATAATATCAAATACTTAATCTATGTATATTTCTATTTCCCAGTTACTCCTAAGACTTAAATTGTAAATTGTGACATTGCCAATATGACCCTCCATAATCATAACTTACTTAATCGGGCATGGGCTTTTATCTGTCCCTTTTACTTCCCATGGGCGTTTAAGTGATTGGCTTTGCCACTTACGCGTACAGGTAACTGCGGCCTGCCCAAAAATCGTGGATGGTCCTCTTAATTATTTTCCCATTTTTTATCCCAGTTTGATGGGTTTTTTCATAAGAGAACCAAGCGTTGCTCTGTTGTATATATAACTTTTGCTATATGTATGACGTTTAGGGCTAGTGCGCTTAATATCACATATCACGTAAAAAACAAGCCAGTTGCTGTAATATAAATTCTCAGAACACCCTTGAATAAAAAAAAGGGATAAAATAATCTTAAAAACATTTTGTCTGGGTCATAAATAATTTTACGCCATTTTAAAATTATTTTTAAATATATTTTGCCTATAAAAATAAAAAATTTATTTTTTATATCAAATTTATGTCTAATTTTAATTATGATTAATGATAATATAGATATATATATATTTTTAAGGAAAAACAAATTACTAAAATAACTATATTCACATATATACAAATGAGAGGTTTTCTTAATAATAAAATGACCATATAATAATTATTAAAATGAGCACATAAAAATATATAAGTTAAATAATAATTATTCAAATGACCACATAAAAATATATAAAAAAAATAAATATTCACGTGACCACATAAAAAATATTTTAAAAAATAAATAAATAAAAAAAAGATCAAAAATCTTCCCGTGATTCAGGTAGTTACCCCTTTATCAACGCCAAAAAAATTATACTTTTATAGCTATTTTTTACAGTACTGACAAAATTGAATTTAACATATTTCAATGTCATAATTAGTAATAAAATAAATAATATAAATGTCGTAAATTAATATACCTGTGTACTTCGGTCTGCATTTTTTAGCTCTGATTATTTAAAGCCCTGCCCTAAATTTTCAAATTTCGTTATTTTGAATATTTCTCTGTATTTTATAAATTGTTTTATACGGAATTAAAGATAAGTAAATAATATTAAAGCATAATTAATATGTTTTTCACTATAATATTAAACGGCATAAAAATATGGATTTGTGGCCTTCTGTCTCTCTTAAAGTTGAAATTGTTTTAAACCGTATCATGAATAATAAACCAATTTGCACAGTGAGATTTAGAAATAATTAAATAGACAGAATATGAAATTAAAAAATCTTCTTTTCCTATTTCAGAAAGTCTCATAATCGTTTAAAAATATTTATTGTAGGCATTCCCTTTCAGGCAGAATAATATGATTTGAAAATAACTTACAAAATATTAAATATGAACTAAATTCACATATCATCTATTGATACCAACAAAATATATAATTAAATATATTTTTTATCATTTTAAGATTTATATTTTTTTTTTTCCCCCAAAAGATAAAATACAAATTTATTATTTTGAAACATAAATATGCTTGTTTTTTAGGAAGTTTAAGTCAAACTTCCGTCATTTTTTATATTTTATTTGAAAAAAATCATCATTTGAGTATTAGGAGTTGTAACGGAAAGGTATAAATTATATTAAACTAAATAAATCGATGTATAAATTTATATAAGTATGACGCTTTTCTATAAATCTTCTTAATTTAATAATATCTATACACATATGACATGTCTTATCAGCGTCGTTAATTATAGTATTATCTTTGATATTATGTACATATGTTGGAAGCTCTTTTACAATTATAAACAGGTTTGAAATGATCATATTATTTTCGCATCGCGTCCCGTCTTTTATTTCTTGAAATTCTAAATTATAGTTGAGATCCATATACCATTTCTTGATTTCTGTAAAAAAAGCTGTTGGATTTTGTATGCCTAATTCTTTCTTTAATAAGAGAAATGCGAGGTATATGGTAGATCCTGGATTATATCCTATATCGAAAAAATAAGCCTTTTCTTTACAAATAGTGGGTAAAGCTTCGGACCGATAAACCCGTGCACAAATCTTAGTGATTGTCAATAAGCTCACGTGTCTTATATGACTGTCTTCGTTAGCCAATAGGCGGCCAATCAAAATTTTCCAATAGTTAAAATGTAATCTCCAAGGTATTAAATTTTCAGGATTGAGACTAAATAACCCATGGGAGCTAAGGAAAACATAGCTCAGCAAGGTTAACATTTCGGCATTCGAGTTGTTTTCTGATGAAATACTGTTAATTAATTCGAAGTAATCGTCGTGTATATTGCTTTTTTCATTCAATCCACTAATAATAGCGTGCATATTCAGGAATAGATGGTCGTATAACTTACAGGCCAAACAAAACATATAGAGAGAAATAGTGGGTCTTGAGAGAAAATTATTGAGGCGCGTTTCGCTCATAATTAAAACAATGCGTTCCGTAACTTGTAGAAGGTCATTACAATTTAACAATCCATATAAGTTAATCGATGGAATGACAAATAAAAGAAGTGACGCCATAGAAAGACAAATTTCGCCGTAGTGATTGTTGCCAGCCAGGTTCCATGATCGACGACCCAACTAACGTATTATTAATGAAATTAAATGCTTCGGTAATGATAGGATGTATACTATCAAGATCATAAATCTTTCCAACTTTATCAATCTCGTTATACAGGGCTACCTCGGAAAAACTGGTCAACACCGAGGTGTGAGTAAAATCTGGTTTGCATATATCTTTGAATTCCGGTAAATAGGGTAACAGGGGTTTGTACTGTGGGAACCTTCGACAGATTTCGTCTATGCAGAAATCGATGGCACCCATAAAAATGAAGGAATGGTATTCGCGAGAAATGTCATGTGAAATAAATTTGGTGGGATCGAACGGAAAACTTTTTATAAAGAATAAACGACATGGCTGAGAAATGTAAGCGAAAAATGCGGGTCTGGCTTGTGGAATTTTAAGCCACGAATCGTCGAAAGGGTGTGAAAATTGTGAAAAGATTAAACAGGAGTTGGCATTTATTATTTTTAAATTTAACAATGTTTAAATTTAAAAAAGATAAGATTTTATGTTTTAAAGCTATAAAATTAATAATTTTGACGATTACAAAAGATTTAATAAGATAGAGGTCTCAATCCAATGTTCCCCTTCATCTAATCTTATTTAAAAAATTTAAAAAATTATCAACATATTTTTTTAGCGCTGGAAAGGGTTAATCATATCAGTAACTAGGGGCTAGTAGAATTAGGTCGAATTAATTATATTATGCTTAAAAATATGATATAATAAGTATTCATTGGCTATTATAGCTTTAAATTCTATTTTTTTCCCTTTAACTTTCACCTTTTCTGGTAATTGATAATCAAAAGAATTAGAAAAAAAATTAAAAATTCATGGGGCTTGTTGGGGCAAAAATTCACTTTTACTAGAATCAATCTTAAAATATAAAATATTAAAATATTTATTAATAGGGTCTTTTGTAAAAAACGACTTAATCTAATCGTTAAAAAAATTGAGTATACCAAATTCCACATATTTTTTAATAAAATACGAATTTCATAAATAACAAGTGACGTGTTTTAGAGGTAAATAATTTTCAAACGCTACTTTAAAAAAATATAGACAATTAAGCTGGTTCTCTGGTTTTTTGGAACTTAATAAATGGGTTAAATATAATTTTGTCAAATATAAATCACTATTGCATTGTGATAATGTTAGTTGTAATGCATTCGCGATATTGCATTCGCGATATTGCATTCGCTATGATGCATTCGCGATAATGCATTCGCTGTAATGTATTCACTCTAATACATTCGCTATGATACATTCGCGATAATACATTCGCTGTAATGCATTCGCTATAATGTTTTCGCGGTAATAATGCATTCGCGCTAATATATTCGCTATAATACATGATGCATTCGCGATAATTCGCGGTATTACATTCGCTGTAATGCATTCGCTATAATGTTTTCGCGGTAATGCATTCGCTATAATGCATTCGCGCTAATATATTTGCTATAATACATTCGCTATGATGCATTCGCAATAATGCATTCGCGGTATTACATTCGCTGTAATGCATTCGCTATAATATTTTCGCGGTAATGCATTCGCGCTAATATATTCGCTATGATACATTCGCTATAATGCATTCACGGTAATGCATTCACGGTAATGCATTCGCTATAATATCTTTTCGCGGTAATCGACATTCGCGATAATGCATTCGCGATAATACATTTCGCGGTAAAAGTTTTGCGGTATTGACGTGATACGATCTCAATCAACGATGTATATATATCCTACTAGATTGACGATTCATTAATTAAAAATATCCATACATAGAATTCAGTTGTAGCGCCATTTTACGTTTTGCGCTTCGACTAATTGTTTGAATACACATTTATGTCATTTAATAAACATACAAACCACAAAATGATGCTACAGCTGACTCCTATGTATGGACACTTAGGAAATGAATCGCCAATCTAGTAGTATATAAACATCATTGATCCTAATACGTTGCAGGAAATTGATTTTAATTCAATTAATGAATGTCTTAAAAAAAATTATAACCTGTACATCTGGATTTGTCTTTAAGACCGACGTCAAAGGCTAACTTATCCATTGAAGATGTTGAGGAGAGGCATGATAAATACTCAAAATTGTATTTGTAAAAATATTTAAAAAAATTCTAGTAAAAAAATAAAATTTCTTTCCAAAAATATATATATATGTCAAATATTTAAAAAAAAATTTAAAGAAACTCATTTTTGTTTTACCATTTTGCTGTGGGAATGCTTTAACAAAACGGCGTGACCGTATAACAGGGTCCGGTGGGCTTGAGATCCCTTATATATAGCATATATCGAAAATAAGAAGTTCAAAATAGTAAAGTTTTATAAAGATTCTTTCTTCTTCTTTCTTTCTTTCTTTCTTCCTTCCTTCCTTCCTTCCTTCCTTCCTTCCTTCCTTCCTTCCTTCCTTCCTTCCTTCCTTCCTTCCTTCCTTCCTTCCTTCCTTCCTTCCTTCCTTCCTTCCTTCCTTCCTTCCTTCCTTCCTTCCTTCCTTCCTTCCTTCCTTCCTTCCTTCCTTCCTTCCTTCCTTCCTTCCTTCCTTCCTTCCTTCCTTCCTTCCTTCCTTCCTTCCTTCCTTCCTTCCTCTCCTTCCTTCCTTCCTTCCTTCCTTCCTTCCTTCCTTCCTTTTCCTTCCTTCCTTCCTTCAAAAAAATTGCAATATTTTTCTAATCTAAATTTTAAACATGGATCAATTTAAAAAAAAAAAATATGTAATAGAAAGTTGAAAACTTTATGTTGCCTTTTATTTATATCTTAGGTAGGTCTTTTTTTTTGACCTTCAACCCTGATTGAAGTTGCGAGTTTCAAATATTACGAATAGACTAATAATTCGAAAATCGAATTAGTCTATTCAATAATCGAAATTCGAAATTGGAATCAAATATTTATAAACCAAATTTGATCGAGAAAATTGAATTCGCTAAAAACTATTCGTTGATTTTTATGAAATTCTATCTTTAAAATATCTACAATTATAAAACCGTTTTATCTATTTCTTCCTTAGAAGACAGAAGCTCTTGTAAGGCCCTGACGGACAAGGCCTGTTCAATGGTGAAAGCGCATACCGACATATCCACAGGCTTTGACTTTAATATTTTTTTTAAAAAAATAATTTTTATTTATATTTTTTATTTAAGGCTCTATATCATTTGAGGCGGCAAAATAAATGAAATAATTAATATAAATAATTTTTTAATAGGATTGCCAAATATATATATAAGTGCATCTAACGAATAGTGTTGCTAAACGGCTCGTTTTAATCCTATTTTTAAAAACGGCTAACTCAATATTTTATCCAGTTAAAATATTACGCAATCCTGAAGATTTTTCACAGAGATGGCACAAAGGTTTAGACATCTATTAGGGAAAATCAGTTTTAGGCAATATTTTTCTAACAAAAATATTAAGATAGCCGTTTTTTATAAATTGGCTCTCAAATCGAGCCGTTTAACAATACTATTCAATATAGTTTTTTTATTAAAAAAAGGATCAATCAATTTCAAATAAACATTTCTTACAAACCTGCTATATAAATTTCGGAGTAATTGATATTTATAATAAAAATAAAAAAAATTAACATTAAATTTATAATGTTATTAATATTCATAACTTATTTGGCTGATGTATGGTCTATTAAATTTTTTCAGAGGGGCAAAATATTCTACAAATTAGAATTTATCGAAAAATATACAAATTATTAAAGGGTTTCAAAAACTGAATATACTCCTATTTTATTAATTATAGTTATAACCAGGGATTCAAACCGAACCCGGAAAAGAAAACCAAGATTATATTAATTAGAGGAAAATGAAAGTGAACAAGTCAAAGTAAAAATTATCATTTTGGATATTGTTAATTTAAAGAAATACGTCTAAATAATATTTTTTTTAAATTGATACATGACTATGTTTTGTATTTAACTATTTTTTTTTACCTATAAATAAAATGAAATATTTATCTTTTATACCTATTCTATGTCTAGTTTTTCAATTATGATTTAAATATAAAAAAATTTTTTTTATCAATTCAAAAATTCTTAAACCCGAACTGAACCCGGAACCAAACCCGGGTTCAAAAATATTTCCCTGAACCTAACCCACCTATATTTTTAACCTTAAACCGAACCCGCACCGAATCCTAAAATTCCTAAATTAAATTTATATTTTTTGGCTTCTGATAGAAAGAAAGAAAGAAAGAAAGAAAGAAAGAAAGAAAGAAAGAAAGAAAGAAAGAAAGAAAGAAAGAAAGAAAGAAAGAAAGAAAGAAAGAAAGAAAGAAAGAAAGAAAGAAAGAAAGAAAGAAAGAAAGAAAGAAAGAAAGAAAGAAAGAAAGAAAGAAAGAAAGAAAGAAAGAAAGAAAGAAAGAAAGAAAGAAAGAAAGAAAGAAAGAAAGAAAGAAAGAAAGAAAGAAAGAAGAAAGAAAGAAAGAAAGAAAGAAAGAAAGAAAGAAAGAAAGAAAGAAAGAAAGAAAGAAAGAAAGAAAGAAAGAAAGAAAGAAAGAAAGAAAGAAAGAAAGAAAGAAAGAAAGAAAGAAAGAAAGAAAGAAAGAAAAATTTATATTCCCGATCGCCGTATATATATATACGCGGGATATAAAAATTTAGTACGAACTAACTAGTTAATTAATTTTTTGAATATTTTATGACCATTTATTTTAAATTAGAAACTTAATGATCTCCTTTTTCGTTTTTTTTTTCTTGCATTGGAGTATTTTATAAATATTTTAGCGTATAATTATTTTTTCGTTTTTGATTACTTTCTTACTTTTCCGATATTCGTTATTTTAATACTGGGTACAACTTCTTACTATTTTATAACTATCTAGCTAGTTTGTATAGCAGATTAATTATATGTATAAGGTGATCAACTCTTTATGAGGGTCATTACATTCTTATCTTGACTTAACACCGTTAGGTTGGCCCTAAGCCATATATTCTATCATTTTAATTACCATCGTATATTCCCCAAAATTTGAGTAATTACCTTATGAAGATTGAGTTTAGCTATATAATTAATTATACTATAGATAAAAAAAAATAATAATATATTAAAATCTCTAAAAATCTGTAATTAAGGGTTTTAATAAAAACGAGTTTCAAAAAATTTTAGAATTTATATAATTGATTATTTATTAATCCATAATAATAATTATTCCAATTTAACTAAAATTTAATTAAAACTCTCAATTACGATGATACGATATTGATAAATTTTTTATAATTTTTATATATCTTTTCCATAATATTTTGCAAGACAGCTGTTAGGTCATTTTCCTATCATATCAAGAAAATAAGATAACCATTTACTATAATCATTTTTTTATAATGGTTTTCGAAAATAGCAAATATTCAGCCTTTTTAAACACTCTTACACCTTAAAAAAAAATATGTATGTTAGCGTCAATGTATCGGCAATGTGTTATTTTTTCAAATTTAAATAATTTTTTGAGACCGTTTTTTTGGATTTTATTGGAAATGTATTCCAGTATGTTTAGAATATCTATCTTTAGATAATTTTGCTGTTAATCTTCGAGTCAATTATAATTTATATAAAAAAATCTATGGAAAACTAATATAAATTAAATTCAAAAGTTCATAGCAAAATTGTATAAAATTCATAGAGTAGGTATTCCAAACATGGTGGAATACATTTCTGGTAAAATCAACTTTTAAATTTTAAAAAATGTAAATGGTTTAAAGTAGAAAAAATAACACATTGCCGGAAAAACAAATTGCCGCTAACATATATACTTTATTATAATTAAGACAATACATATATATGTTCCTAAAACTAGGATCTAAGGAATATAGGAAAAACCTCGAATCGACGGAGCTAGATGAGAATGCTGAGATAGTTAGGTAATAAATATGAAGTGCCTATTAAAAAAAATAAAGATAGGCAAAGGCAGGAATTTGGTCGAGATTTGGTTTGGATATCATAATAAATGAAATGGGATTGCTAGAATAAATTTGTAAAGGAATAAAATTGGGTAGCATCTTCTCAGACTACGTAATGAAATGAGATAACCGAATAATTCTAATTTTAATAGGGATCCCGTTAATAAATATGGATTCTGAAGTCGACGCTTCTAAGTGAGCTTTAGCCCTCATTCATAGATAGTGCGAATTCGCGGCGATATCGACATAATATGCTGTATTTTTGTATTCTTAGCCGCAAACTCGCGTTAACAGTGAATGAGGGGTTAGAGAGTCATGAATGAAAAATAAAATGTAGGTTTAATAAAAATGCTAAATAAATTATCAGATGTCTATAATTCTGATCATATTGATAATTTAAGGTTGAGGTTCAGGAACTACGTTATGTAAAAGCAACAGCGTTCTTGCTACTCTAGGAAAATACGTGTGTATCTGGTGAAATGTGCTTTAAGATATTATAAATAACAGATGTGTTAAATATTATATTCTTTATATAATGTCCAAGTTCACATTTAATTTAAATAATTATAAAAAAAATAAGCAATATTTCTCTCAATTTTAAATATGATAAAATAAAATTTAACTTTTTGAAAGAGGGATAAATTATCAAGGGATTCTGCAAATTTAATTAAATTCTATCAATAGGGCCCAAAGTTATGCATATTCAAAGTTGGACAAATAAAAACTCGAACTTTCCAACATCCAAAAATTCATCTTTTTATAAACAAAAAAACTTTACATTTACGAGGACTATAATTTAAAAAAGAATGGTTTTTAGTAACGATGACTTAAGTTTATCTAAAATTAAACGTAATATAACTATTAATTTATACTATTTTACCTATTAAATACATCCAATAATATAATTTTAATAATTTGTTTGTATTATAAGATAAGAAATCAAAAAATGATTAATAAGATTATATTAAATTTTTTTTATAATACCATAAAATCTTTAAAATATATATAATTTACTAGCGCCATCTATTTCAAATAAATTACTTCTAATTATATATTAAAGAATTAGTGCGCCTTCAGTGAAGTCTTTATCTACAGTGTTAAACAATATACATGAAACGAATTATTCGTTATTTGATATTCGATTCGATATTTCATGAATATGAATACATATAGGAAAAATTTATTATCTGCCGAATAATTTTTTATCTATTATTCGTATTATTTGCAAATATTCATATTATTAAAAATTTCTATTCGAAATTATTCAAAATTATTTTTAAGTATTTAAAAAAGTTTCTTGCTAAACTTTTCATTTCGTATCGATAAATAAATCACTTTTTTCTTTTTTTTAAAATTTTAAATATAATTTTCGATTGGGAATCAAATGTTCGGCGAATCAAATCATGATTCGTAAGAATAAAAAAATACAAATCAAATACGAATAATGCAAATATTTGATTCGTATTATTATTGTAGTACGCAAACATTATATTATTTTATTAAAAAATTTTTTTTCTAGGCTTTTGGTTTGATCCTGATTAAATTATAAAAATTCGGTATATATATTTTGGAATGTTAACACGTGGTATGGATTTGATTTACGGTGAACTAACAAAATATGTCGTATTTTCGTATTCTTAGCAGCGAATTCGCGCTAACTATGAATAAAGGGGGGGGGGAGGTTAAACTAGAAATTCCAAGATTCATGCTTTCGCAATGCGGCCCATTCCTGTCTATGGAGAAAAATTTTTTTTAAATAAAATTTAATATATATGTTAGCGTCAATGCGGTTTTTTCTATCAATGTGTTTTTTTTTTCAAATCATTTTTTGCAAGCTATTAAAATCCAAATTTAAATTAACATATACAAATATATAACAGGAGCATAATCAGTTATTATTATATTTATTCCCGTCAATCTGTTTTTTTCAGGTAATGTGTTAGTTTTTTTTTACTTTAAATCATTTTTTTTAACGTACTATTTAAAATATAAAAATATGATTTTACCGGCCAGCATGTTTATAAAACTAACTCTGTAATTATCAGAAAATTTTGTTATGATCTTTTGAACTTAATATAATTATATTCGTTTTTTCATAGACTTTTTTATATAAATTATAACTAACTCAAACGTTAACGGCAAAATTGCCTGAGATAGAATACGTTTCCGATAAAATCATATTTTTAATTTTTAAAAGCGGGCTCAAAAATGATTTAAAGCTGAAATGAAAAAAAACACATTGACGGAAACGACACATTGATGTATACACATATAAATATAGTTTTAAATTTAAACTGATCCTTAGATAGACTGGGGCTTATCGCGAATACTTATGTTTAAACATTTGGCAGTTTAAGTCAAACCCCATAAACTTGTAAACACTACGTAAAATAACTATAATAATTTAAGATATGGTGTGCACCGCAAGATGAAGCCTGTAAGATGAAGCCTGTAAGATGAAGCCTTCTTACTTTTTAAAATATTAAATTTAAAAAACTTTACTAAACAAGGCATTTAATTTTCATTAAAATTTTTTTATTTATTCAGAAAATTGTGCATACTTTGTCTCCTAAATTTTCTAGGTAACAATTTCTATTCCCAAAACCCTCGGCCGCTAGACATAGCCTCTCGTTTTGTCCAGTGTTTGAAACTTGAATACAGCATAGCGTAACCATATCATTCTAGTTAATAAAAATGATAAATAAATAAAATATTTTTATATGTATGTAATGATTTATTCTTATTAAATTCCTATAAAAAAAAATTGCGCCCCACTCTAATTTCTAATATCACTGAAATCATATTATTATCATTTTTTTTAAAAAAATTAAATTATGATATTCAAAGATAAAAGCTAATATTTCAAGCACAAGGAGACGCGTTTTTTTTGTATACACTAAAAAAAATATTCAACATCTAACAAGAACTTGTGTATTCTCACTTTAAAAAAAAGAAGAAGATATGTTAAAAATAGGTTAATATCTCTTCCTCTATGGCCCGTGGCCTTAGTAGCGGGCTAGTATGTTTATATTTAACAAGGGATAGTGAACGATCTGACAAACATGCCCTGAATCCTTCACAAACTAAATAAAAAATAAGTTTCAACTAACGTTAGAATCTTGGAAATAAATTACAAGTTACCCATCTAGCCCCGGTCTAACAATTAATGGAGGCCCCCTAAAAAACTATCTTACACGGGGTCCCGAGATGGTGCTTTTTACGTTATTGGTCTACATTGAAATAAAAATTGACAATATGCACTTTAAATTCTTCGAAATTAAATTAATCAATGGAACGAGGTTAACATTTAATATGCATATTGTTTTTATATTCAGATATTAATTTAAATTTGATACTTATTTTTTAAATAAATTTTTTTTTTCAACATAGCTAACACATTTAATAAACTCACATCCAATATACCTTAAAATTCGATTAGTGAATTGTAATAATAAAAATATGCATATTCGATATTCGTATTCGATAAAAAACATTATTCAATTTGCTTCGCCAAATATTCGATTCGGTTCAAAAATTAAATTATTTAAAAATATTTTCAAAAATGAAAAAATGTATTATTAAAATTTAAAGAAGTGATTTATGGATATTGAAAAAACGTTTAAAAAAAATTATAAGTTCCGCAAGGAACATGTTAAATAATTAAGAATAATCTAAAATAATCATCAATAATTTTGAATATTTATGAATAATTATAAATAATTTTGAATATTTTTTAAATAATTTCGAATATTTGAATATGAATATGTACAAATTATTTCGAATAATAAAGAATAAATTTTGTATAATTAAAAAAATTCGCCAGATAATATCTTCCCTTATTCATAATCAAATAATTTTGTTCGTATTCATTAAATACGAATCAAATCGAATATCGAATAACAAATAATTCGTTTTAGATATATCTTAACTCCATTGTCTCCGTAATTAATAACAAAAAGCAACAATTTTTATGGTTTTTTAAAATATTAAAAAAAATTTTTTAAAAAGTTAGAAATGATTTATCATTAGTGTCATTGAAGCAAATAGGTACATATTTATATACTACTAGATTGGCGACTCATTCATTAAATGCTTTTAAGTGTCCATGCATAGGAATCCGCTGTACCGCCATTTTGAGATCGATTAAATGCATTAATGTGCATTCACATCATAATAATAAAGAAAAATTAGTCGACGTACAAACCACAAAATGGCGCTACAGCTGACTCCTATGTATTGACACTTTTAATTAATGAATCGTTAATCAAGTAGTATAATACATCATTGCATTGAAGTCACTTGAGGAGATAAGAATGGTTAGCTCTTTTATGACGCCTAAAGAGTAGCGATGGTTATTGTATTAAAAATAATAAAATTTTAATCATTTTGGGGATGATCGAATGGAGCAGTCATACACATCACAAATGAATTTGAAAACATACAGAGTACGCAAAAAAAAATGCAATTGGATAGATTTAGATGTACATGTTATAAACATTTTAATATATTAACTAACCAGCTATATCATTATAAGCTAAACCTCCACGTCAGATATCATCCCAAAAACGACTATAGTTACCAACAAAAGGGTATAATTCCTGCTCCTCTGAAAAAAAAGTCTAAATTATTACTCTCCAAATTTATAGCTTAAAACGTTTCAGATGCTGTCAGATCAAATTCCCCGCTCCAGTTATTCAAACTCCGTTCAGTTTATATGGTGAGAAAATATTTAGAAAAACTATATCAAATTAAATAATTTTTATAGAATCAAAATATTTAGTTTGATTTAATGCCAAAATATCACAAACTGAGGGCTACTGCTAAACAGCGCCAATCATTATTTTCTAGTAATAATTAAATATTTTGATTCCCTTATCCCCCTCCACCCCCACCCCTCACCTTAGGAAAAAGGGTACCCATGCCACAACTCTTATTTAGAATCAAACCGTTTTAAATGGCTATGGTCTACCTATAACCAAAAAAAAATAAACTTTTCATAAGTTTTTTAAAATAAACTTTTTATAAGTTTTTTAAATTATTCAAACAATTTTAATTTATTTTTCCATGATTTTTTTTTAAAAAATATTTAAATTACCGTTCTTAAGAATGAGACATCTTCCGTTTCCGACCCCAGGTTTTCACTGATATTCTCCATTTGTAAAATTATTTTTTGTCTTTTTTTTTGAGAGCGCTATAAAAAATAGGAAACGCGAAGGATTATTAACAGCTTCTCCCGAGATTTAATGATATTTTTTATTTTATTTTTTCTAATGTTTATAATTTGAAAGAATCCAAATTTTAATTTTTTTTTAAAAAAAAAAAAATTATTTATAAATTTATATTTTTTCCAATGTTAATTTATTATTTATTTTTAAAATTCATCAACCAAAAACATATGGCTTATGTAATATTATTATGTATTTTTTTTTTTCATCTTCGGTAAAAACAAAAAAGTAATTTATTGGTTATTGAATATTGAATATTGATTCATTTCTTTAATGATGTGAATGATTTTATCTTTTTTTTAGAAATATTTTAATCAATAATGAAAATATAATAATAATATAAAAAATTAAGTATTTTAAATTTCATTTTGATTTTCTAAAATAATATTAAAGATTTAAAGAATAATTTAATTATTATTTTCTCATCTTTGTGTGTATAAGTTGCATGTTCGAAAACTAAATATTTTATATCTGATATTCTTTTTTAACAGTCTTCTTTACAATTAGAGCCATAAATACAAGTGAAACTTTGGGAACTAAACCTCCCGGAATTGATGCCAAGACAATAAAGGAATTTTTGCAGGTTTATAAAAATGAGCTAATGTTCCAAAAGTTAATGATATAAAAAAAATTTACATTTTTTTTAATTCTTATTCAAAAAATTGATATGATAGCAAACTGTATTATTAGTCTTGAAAGTTTGTATAAAAGTAATTTTGCCTTGGCTAATGTTAAAAAAAATTAAATTCTATACTCAATACTATTTAATTATTTTAATCATTGATTAAAAACTCGTTAAAGAATAAGTTTCTTGTTTGAAACATTAGTATAATCAGAAACTTCTACACCGACTCCATCCTTAAGCCAATAACAATACTATTATACCCCCCCCCCAAGTGCCCTTCTACCCCGAAGAAAACTCTATCCCCCTTCAATTCCGATGACGATCTTGCGTTATAACCACCCGCCCCCCAATAGAAGTCCCTAAGTATAAAGCTACACCCACTTTATCACAATCACGCTGATTAAAATCTAACCCTTTCTCCCTACTGGAACTGGAATAATTCTATCTTATAAAATATGGTGCATGATGTGTATAGTATTATCGCAAAGAAGAAAAAAATCAAATATCTTGAATATATTATAATATAATATTACAGACAAATAAAAATTATTAATATTTTTTTGATTCGATTTTAAAAAATTAATCCCAGAATATAGAATTTCAAAAAAAATTTTTAAATTTACTAATTTATAAAATAGTCAACAACAAAATAATTTATACAAGATTATTATTGCAAGAAAAGATGATCGTTTTCGAAATATTTCTTTCCCAATTTCTACAATTTTTTCAAGTATTTCATTCTTTCTCTCCAACAATAAATGTTAAATAATATTACAAGAATAGACTCGATTTTGGATAATTTCAGGCAATTAGTTTTTTTTTGTAAATAATTTTGGCAATTATTTTACATAATTGAATATGATGAATTTGTAAAAAAATACGGAATAAGTGATTGAAAAAAATAAGCGAAATAAAAAAAATTGTCACATGTAGTATTGTTAAACTGCTCGATTTATGGCTAACTCAATATTTTAGCCAAAAATAATGTTTAAGCCTCGATATTTCGTTAACAGATGTTCAAACCTTTAAGCCACCTAAGAGAAAAATCTTAAGGCTTGCATAATATTTTTCCTAATAATATATTGAGTTAACCGTTATCGGGCTCAAAATGAGCCGTTTATCAACACTAGTCACAAAAATTTCGTCTGAACGAAAAATAAAGAAGTTTTAAATATCTAGTTTGTGACTTTTGCTTATCCTGCGTTCACAGTTTTCGCGAATAATTCGCGGCTTAAATATACAAAATATGTAAAAAAATATAATAATTTTACATTTATTTTTGAAAACTTCACAGCGAATTCATGCTAATTGTGAATGCAGGGTGTCATAAATTTTTCAGTTTCGCCAACTTTAAGAAAAAAATAACCAAAAAAATATGGAAAACTTATATCAATAAAGTGCATATTGATGAATTTTAACTTAATCCATTTGGTAGATTGTTTTTAAAAAGAAGCATTTTTGATACAATATGATAAAATTTCCACAATTGGCATCATGCCAAAACATAACTTTTAGAAGAACTGAATATTTGGAATGCATCAACATTTCTGATTATTGCTGAATAATTCATCAGTAAATTTTGCGATTCACATGAAATATATAACATTACGCCTTATGTTGCTAGTAAATATTGGATCTGATTCAAAAATCGTTGAGGTGTTTTTTTCTCCGATTTACAATATTCTTCGTATCTTATGATTTTACATTCCTTGTAGATATGTTCTTTTCTTTCTGTTTATTAGACAAAAAAAAAATTAAGTTAAAATTTTGAATGGAGTTTTTTATATGAATCTGAATCTCATGTAGGCTTAAGTGTGAAGTTCCAAACATTTTAATGCACTGATGTTGAAGTTTTAAAATATTTTAGCTTAATGTTCAAAACCTTTTGATAGACAGTTTGAATAAAATTGCTATTAGCAAAAGAAATTTTTTTTGAAAGGCATCAGGATACTTTCAAATGAGAATAATAGAAGTAAAAATTATAGTAAAAAATTTATTATTTTTTGCTTTTCTGAATCATTAAATTAAATTCCGTAATTTATATTTAAATGATTTTTTATTATATTAAAATATGAGACTCTATATTTTTGTTTGTGGCTCTGATATTTTATAATTTTGTATTGGTAGCCTTAATAAATAGTTAAATAGACCTATAGCATCTTTCGAAATTAGAATCAAAATAATAGGCTAGTGAAAATGGAAACGATTATAATATAAAAATTTTTTTTAGCTCAGTTAGGGACTAGGGTTAAGCGATTAAAATACACTTCTGAACTTGGAAATAGAAAAGGACAAACTACATACGGGGGCTTATTTACAGGGTAGAAGTTCCTTGTGACATACTACGCTCATATTATAGCGACTTTTGGAAACGTTTGGTTTTTTAAATAATTTATAACATTAATTTTAAATTTATTAAAAATTAATATTGTTCAATTTTTTAGATTTTTCCTTCCAAGCACTTTTAGATGAAAGAAAGAATTTCCTAGATCATTTTATGGAAATGAGAAAATAAAATTACAAAGGGGATTTACTCAATTAAAATTAAATTATGTACCCTATTATATTTTCTAATTTAAGTATCTACCTACAGGTAGAGATTGTAGGATGAATTATAAGTCTTAAAAAGGGTAGGAGGCATGTATGGGAGGGGGAGGCGGGATAGGCCATATATAATTTAGTAGTTTTATAGCCAATTTAAATAAGGTTTATTATGTATAGATTATTTATTGAATCCGATTTAAAAGGTTTTCTTTTTTCCCAGTATTTGAGTCTTTCTACTCCATCCAATAAATTACATTAATATATTTAAACTTATTTTATAATCTATTATAACTTCAGAGCCAAACAATGCTCTAATTCATTATTTGACTAATTTTTTTGTAAACTATCTAGATTTTGCTAGCTTATAAGAAATAAATTTTTACGAGTTTTAAAATACGATAAAAATTTGATTTTTTATAATGATAATAATATATTTTTTTATATATTTCATTTATATATACAAAATGGATTGAATCATTAAAGAAACTAAATTGTATACTAGTCTTGAATTATACATACTGGCTTTAGCTTTCGAATTAGTGCTTTCTAAAATTTGGCAAACCTTATATTTAGACCTACGTCTTAATTTGAAATTAAGATTCATGTCAAAATTTTGAAAGTGTAACTCGATTCAAAATATTATGATTTTAATTATTTTATGTATTAAAATAATATCGTAAAATTCATGAATATTTTTAAATTGACGAAAAAGAAACCTTAATATATTTATACATAAGAGAGTTTTGGATCTCGAGTTAAAATTCAACATTCAAGACTTCGCCTATGACGTGCCGTTAAAGTTTTTATTTCTTTAAATAACTGATTTCTGTTTATGGTTAGAAAACCCGATCGATGAATTATTATACTAGTCAGGCATTACATGGTGCTACCATATAATCAGTACTTCTATAATTTGTGTTTTATCATGATCAGGGTTGCCATGTCTCCCCCCATCAGCGGAAAACTCCCGCAATTTTTTAACTCTCCCGCAAAACTACCGCAATTGGAAATCTCCTACAAAAATCTACCGCAATTTTTTAATTTCTCACGCAATTTTTTTAAAAAGTATTTTAACGTTTTTAATATATAAATAATGATTTTGAGAGACATTAATTGATTATTTTTATATATTTAAAATAAATTTTAAATATTTAAAAAATGTCTAGTTTGTAAATTTCTTTCTATCCTGTTTTATTTTTATCCAATAATAAATCAAAATCATTTCATTCATATAAGTCAGTACAGGAGAGTATATCAACATCGATTGCAATACAAAAATATTCTCAAAAATAATAAATAATACAGATGCAACTACATTTGCGGAAATCGTAAACATCTATCATGTAGTTTAACATTCACAGAGCTATATCATCACAATGTGGGTCAAATCTTTTTCTCATGATATTTAACGACTCCATAAGTGCAAACCTTACTTGTGGCAGAGCAAAAATGAGCAAGGCTATCACAAGTGTTTTAGTACCTGAATACTAGAGGTCAATTCTAGAAAATTTGATAGATGGGCATCCATATGCAATTCTAACAGATGCATCTAATAAGGAAAATATTAAAACATTTCCCTCGATCCTTCGCTATTTCAACATGAATAAGAATATTCAAAAAAACTGTCAAAATTTTTTCCTCGGATAGTGAAAAATCCAACGATGTAGCTAGCCACATAATGGTAAATATAGCTGATTCAGAGTTTTCAATGATTTGCATGTCAGCTTTCTGCTCTGATAATGCTTCTGTATAATTTGGCAAAAACCAAAATTACTGAATTGAGGCAGCACAATAAGGAATTAATACTAATTGGCTGTATATGCCATATACTACATAATTTTTGCAAGAAGGCAATGAATGTACTATCAGTGGATGTCGAAATAATTGTGATGAAATGTTTTATCGAATTTAGTTCATCAACTAAAAGAGTTAATGGATTAAAAGAGTTAGTAAAGTGGTCTGACTTGGAATGGTATGAGTTGTTGCGATATATACCTATCAGGTGGTTGTCATTAATACCTGTCATCGATAGAATTTAAATTTTACAAACCCTTAAAAAAATACTAAATAAAGATTTTAAAAGCTGTCTTAAAATTTTGAAAAAATTTTTCGAGTATGAAATAGCATAAGCATATTTGGGATTCATTTCACATGTAGGAAATCTATTTCATGCAGTTAATATTCAGTTGCAATTAGAATATTCTTTATTAAAAAAGCACAAAATCATGCTATAGCTCTGTTCATCTCTACAGTTAAAAATTGATAATAAATTTTATGGCGCTATTGCTAAAATATTATATTAAAATGTTCAAATAATACTCAAATTAATACATTTTTAAATGAAGCAGATATTTTTATCACGACAATTTTAGAATATTTACAATCAAAATTTGATTTTAATAACTCTATTTATAAATGTTTAAATATTATGACCTTGGAACAGAAACCATCAATTGATGATTTTTATAATTTAATAAATATATTAAAAATACCGAAAGACATTGATGTCTTGTTTGAGGAGATTGCAATTCTCTCTATTTTTTATGATTCGCCAAAATACTTAAAGTTAGATGGTCTAAAAGCAGCGGAGAAATGGGTAGAATTTTTTCGTAATAACGATAAATCCCATGCTTAGAATATATACGCGAGTATGTCTTCTCCTTACCTTATTATAATGCCTCATACGAGCGCATTTTAGCCTGATGAGGACTACCTGGAAAAAGGAGAGATATCGGATTGCTTTAACAACATTAGAGGCAGAGCTAATGGTTAAACAAATATATAATATGTCATGCCAGGAATCTAATAAATATCTCAATAACGACGGTAAACATAGTTCTATTATTTCAATCTCAAATAAAATATAATTAAGTTTTAGCAATGGCGCCATAAAATTTATTGTCAATTTATAACTGTAAAGATGAACACATCTGCAGCATAATTTTGTGAATCTTTGTTAAGATTCTTCTGATTGCAACCACATTAACAGCATGTAGTAGATTTCCTACATGTAAAATCATTCCTAAATATACCTCTGCCATTCATTATTGAAAAAAATTTCATAATGTTAGGACAGCTTTTATAATCTTTATTTAAGAAATATATTTTTAAAGTATTAAATTTCAAAATTCTATCGATAGCGGGTATTAGGAACATATCGCAACCAACATTGTGCTGACTCAATTCTGTAAATACACTTTGTTTTTACCAAATTCACTGAGGCATTATCAGATCAGAAAGCTGACATGCAATTTATTGATAATCTCGAATCTGCTATATTTACCATTATATGGTTAGCTATGTCATTAGATTTTTCACTATTTGAGGGGAAAATATTTAATAGTTTTATGAAACTACCGTAATTTTGTTGAAATAGCGATGCATCTTAGAATTGCATGTGTATGGCCATCTTTCAAATCGTCAAGAATTGACTTGCTGGATTTAGGTCCTAAAACATTGATGATAGCCTTGCTCATTTTTGTTCTACAAGTAAAGTTATTATTTATATTAGAGTCGTTAAATATTATGGGGAAAAGATTCTACCAACATTGTGATAATATGTATCTCTGTGAATGTTGCACTACAAAAAAACTATTAAAATTGCCGCAACTGTAGTTTCATCTGTATTATTTCTTATTTTTGGAGTATCTTATTATGTATTTAAACGTGATACGTGATAATTTAGCGCCTATCCCTATAATGTTATACATACAAACACACGGTAGATTTCCAATTGCGGTTTTGCGGGACATTCACATAAAATATATTTTTAATTGTAAAATTAAAATGATTTTTTTAAATAAAATTTTATCTTGTTTACATTCTTTTATATTTAAAAAAGATCGTTGGTTTTTTTTATAAATTAATATATTCTAATAAATCAAGACGTATTTTATTTTTTAAAATAGTTACCTGCTTTGTATTTATATAAACTTATTATAAAAATAATAGGCGGATAATTAAGTGACCCGCAAAAAATATTTTTTAGCAATTTTTATATTTCTACCGCAATTTTCGTATTTCTCCCGCATAATACCAAATTTCTCCCGCATAATACCAAATTTCTCCCGCAATTTGAAAATTTTGACCTGGCAACCCTGATTATGATGCTAATTTCGGGATTTTTTTTCCTTTGTCAACAATTCATTTTTTTCTATCTACCATACGTGTTAAAGCACTAAAATTTTATCAATACGCATTAATACTTTAAAGCATTAATACCTCCTGAAATTTAATTGACTTAACGCTAAAGGCTAATTACCATCATTTTTATTTGGCTTATTATTAAGATAGTTTTTTATGTTTGGCTAAATTAACTGAAGGATTAATATGAGGCACTGAAGAAAATCAAATATTTAAACTTGTAATCTCACAGTACTGGCCCAATGTCAATTTTTTTATATATTTTATGATTTAAAAAAATCTCTTCACTACATGCTGATTTGGCTTTGGCTTAAAGCCTAACATCATAATTTTAATTTTTTTTATATAAAGAGCTAATTGAGTGAAATAACAGTTTTCTTAATCTTGCATAGGATCATTGTGCTATGAACGTATTATTTTTTTCTTTTATTAGTTAAATCTTAATAAGCTTTATCCTGGGTGACGAATTTCTAAAGTATTTAATAATAATGAAATTAATTATTATTCTTCATTATATAATTAAATGTTAGATACAAATAAAATTAAACTATAAATGACGTTAGCTAAATAACATGTAACAAGTTAATAATTGTAGATTCTTTTCAAAAATAATATAACATTTTCTTTTTTAAAAAAAGTTTTACTGTTAGTGTTGTTAATGGCTCGATTTGAGACGATTTTTAAAAACGGCTAAATCATTATTTTATCCAGAAAAATATTATGAAAGCCCTGAAGATTTTTGGACATCTATTAGCGAAATCTCGAGGCTTAGGCAATATTTTGCTGGCTAAATATTGAGTTAGCCGTTTTTAAAAATCGGCTTAAATCGGGCCGTTTAACAACATTACTTACTGTAATCATTATTTTATCTCATAAGTTACTCGAATAGTACTAATATTTATGAATTAATCTTAAAATATGTATTAAATATCTTTTTTAAGGAATTGTAAAATATTTACATCACCGTTTTTCTACGAAAAATAAAAAGGTCTATATATAAACACCTGCTTTAAACGAAAATATAATATTTGTTTTTTAATATATATCTTTAATTAGTAAATGCAAAATTTGTGAAATTTGTTTTTTTAATAAAGTATTACTTATTCAAAAAAAAACATTTTAATATTGACATTTTTCTATTTATCGCAGCTTGCATAAAATATCATATGAAATATTATTTGAAATTATTCGAAAGTATTTTATTTTTTCTTGATTACAATTTATATCAATGATAGATGATAGAAAGGTGATATATTTAGCCAAGTTAAAAAAATTTGAAAAGAATCAGTTTGTTGTTGCAAAGGAATATAATACATATGTTAGCCCTGAATTTATATTAAAGGAAATCAAAATATTATTACAATTAAAGTGATATTTTTAATACATTATTATAGCATATTTTTAAAAAGGCATGAGAATATTATAAATTATATTGGATCAAATATTTACAGAGATAGAATAATATTATTTTATAATTATATGCCTAACCAAAAGTTTAAAGTTGTTAAATTATTTGAAGCAATGCTTGATTATTATCTCATAGGATTTTTATTTAGATTTAGACCTGGACAAAATAATCACCTATTTTAGAAACTTATTTTCTGCCTTAGATTTTATTCATTGGAAAGGAATTATACATTGTGATATAAAGCCTGAAAATTTTATATGCAATATTAGAGAAAAAAGGTATTTATATTATATTATAATTTTAATATTATCTATTTTAAAGTTACAAATTGATAGATTTTGAAAATTCTGCAGAATTACCCAATAGCTCTATGGAAAAGTATTTTAATTTGTTTTTATTATAACATAAATTAGTCATATAATAGGCACTTATGGATATATAGCCCCTGAAGTATTGATTTTGCCCTCTTGTAACACTGTCTATAGAGATATGTGGAGTGCAGGGATTATTTTATTGTCTATTTTATCAGGATGCTATCCATTTTTCAATATTAACTTTTTAAAATATCAAAAGTTATCAAGCAACAAAAGATGTACAAACATGATAGGGGATTCATTGATACAAATGATTGTTTTATTTGGGATTGAGGATATCAGCAATCTTGCTAAAAAGATTGGCTTTACAATCAATATTGATGAACCTGATAAATATGCAAAACAAAATCTAAAAGATTTATGTAAAATTTTGAGGCATAGTGCAAACTCTATAAAAACACTTCATGATAATATATTTGTGGATGATTCAGCAATTTATAATATTATGAGCGAATTATTGAACATCGATTATTCTAAGCGTCCTTCAGCATATGATGTTTTGAAACATTTAACTTGAACAATAAATTATTTCAAAAAATATTATACAAATTTGTTATATACTCAATCAATATCACTGAAAGTGCAAATCATATTTCTTCAATACTTATTTTGATTACAATCTATACACATACTTAATCTGCATTAAGTAAAATTATTTAAAAAATTTATCAATATGTTAACATGTTGAAATTAAACTAAGTTATAATCTGTGAAGGTTTGCCTTGTAACAAGAAAAAAATTTGGGCTTCAATTCTTTTTCTATGAGCTAAGTTGGCAGCATGGGTAAAAAATTTGATTTTTTTAATCCTAGACCTCCTTTCCCCTACTCACCTCCCATCCCCATTTCATTTTAATGATGATCTTGCATTAAAACCGCCTTCCCCCTTTCATAGTCAAAAGTCTTAATAATAACAATTTTATTGCCTTTTTATAAATGCAAATTTATTAAAAAGATTTTTTTTTAATAGTAAGCATGCACCCCTTCCAATGAAAATCGGAATCTTCGAGAACAGAAGAACGAAAACCAATGTCAGCCAAGAACGAGGACCTATAAATGATAACACTTGTGCCCGTGAATCGACTGTCAAAAAAAGTATCTCCAAACGTTCAATTTAGAAAATACATTATAAATTCATATTCGATACATTATTAATGTTTGTATTTAATATTTTGTATCTTGAGACACAATGACTCATTTGTTTTCAGAATATGAACATAGAATTACTATAATTTTAAAATAAAGTTGCTATTATTGTGTTAATATAAATATTAAGTTATTTTTTTATTACACCATTAAATAAGCGAGATATAAAATTTTAATGTTATAAATATGAATATTTAAATAAATAGCTTTAATTAATAGAAAGAAATTTGTTTGGAATGGGGTAAACTAAATAATTTCAAATGCCTAATGGGTTTGATTTTTCTGAAGTGGAAATGAGTGAACTCAGCTATTAAGGTGGAATATTTATCAGCAAAAAAAATATATATGTTAATGAAAAATTGGCATGATTGAGGTTCGAAATACAGGTCTATATAGTTTGTTTTTTAAAATTTTTATAGTATTTATTATGTAATTGTTTTTTTAACACTCATGTGATATGTTATGTCATATTTATTTATATATATATAAAGATAATAAATTCAAAATATATAATAAAAATCTATTGGCGTTTGCGATTTTTTAAGAAAGTAATATTTATTCATCTCCTGATATTTATTTAAATGAAATGAGATGGACTGGGATACAATAAAAAAATATATTAATCGCTTTATACCCGGTATATATCTACAATCAGAACAATTAAGTGATTTCTATTCATCTCTCTTAAAATATAGATCTGGAATAAAGAAACATTACAACATTTGGAAATTTATTAATTTCTTTTATAAAATCAAGGGAGAAGAACATATTTTAATTATACATTGCAATCATTTTATATATATAAATAAACATTGAAAATAAAATTTTTAGTAGCTTTAAATCGTGTTTTTTTCTTCTTATTCTTCTCAATATAAATTTAATTTATTAGAGATTTATATGGTACTTTGTATGAAAAATAATTATACCTTGCTATTCAAATATGCGTAAAGACGATTAGTTCGATTATAAACTTATTAAAATAATATCAAGCTAAACAAATAGAGTTGGTTTGACAAGAAAATATTTTATTTATGAATTTAAATTAGTCTTTGTTGTGATACTTAAATAAGATTTTGTAAAGAATTTACATATTTAATGTGAGTTGTATAATTTAGATTTTGCAGAAATTATAATTAGGATATGTTATTATAAAAAATTTGTAGATTTATTATTTTATAGACAATCAGAAGGTATTTATTTTATATTAGATTTTATAAATTGGAAATGAATTTTATGCGCAGGATGATTTATATTATAACATTAATTTTTTTTAACTTTTAATTTGTTAGATTATTTTTAACTTTGATCTTTTTTTGTACTTTTACTTCTTATTATTTTAATTTATGATTTTATGTTTGAATTTGTTGTATTACGAAATAGGTGGTCATATGTGATTTATTACTAAAGTATTTAGTTTTACATATAATTATTTTTATTTCAATTATTAATCTTATTAAACCCAATGGCACAACTATTTTACACCATTTTAATCTTTTATAATAAACAAAACTCTGATATGGCCTTTACCTAACTATGTTATGGAAAATATACCTTGACAACCATTTTGTCATTAAGGGAAAATTATAATATACTAGGGCATCGACCTAAAGCTGCCTAGCTCGGGAGGAGTGTAGCCTGGAAATTACACATGGTACGGAATAAGAAATTGGCAGGAATCACAGTGAACAGGAAATATCGATGGATTACATATCACGAGACATCAGAGTTTTAAAAAAAAAGAAAAATATAATATAGGTGTGCGGCTGAGTAAATTTAAAAAAATATTATTAATATATGGACCGCCATAATAAAATTAAGTGCATTTTCAGTAGCTAATTTTATTAATCAGGAAATAGGTCATAAATAACAAATTATATTACTGATTTAAAATATTTCCTGTTCCCATTTTCTATTGGGTTTTTATAAGCCATATCATTAAAATATTTCTAAATTAGCCATATCATTAAAATTTTTACTAAATAGTATATATAAAATGTGATATAACTCATCTATGATGAGATAATTGCTCTTTTATATGGAATTCTTAAAATACTTTTTTAGGATTGTTAGGAAAACTTGATGATGCTTCTGATCATGTATAATATCTATATTTATTACAAGTCAAAACATTGATAATTATAAATTAAATTACTGATTAGAAATATTTTTTTTATTCCCGTATTTTCTATTGAGTTTCTAAGAGCCATGTGGTTATAATATTTTTATTTATTTTTTATTAAAATTTCTTTATTATTATTTTTTAATATTAAAAATGTCGTCACTAGAAGGTGTGACGTTGTGAGGAAGAATCGGAAAATTATAATATGGATAAGTAATATTGAATCAGACAGGATGTAGACCAAAGTAGTATTTTACTCACACATCTTGATAGCTTTTATTTTTTTGTGGCGTTTTAGCGATTGAGTCTTCAATTATTAAAATCGGCTATGTCTCAAGCGTTTCAGCAGAGCATACGATAAAATATAAATTATTAAGCTCTTTTAATTTTAAAATCACCTGTTTTACGAACGATAGATAATATGTTTGTTAGGTATCCTAAATTTAATTTTTTTGTAATATGGGCCTGCCCAAAATGAGCGAACGTGTATTACTATAGAGGCCCTATCCTCCATAATAATTATGCCGATTTTTTTCCTCAGGATACCAACAAACTTTATAACCCAGATATAATTATTAAAGGTGTAGAACTCACCCAATCCAATAATAATATTAGCATAAGGAATAGTTATGAGTATTTTTGAGAAAGCGAGAACTGAAAAAAAGAGGTACTGTATCCAATACAAATTATTAGTTATTTTATTATAAAAATTATTTTTTATTGTTGATCCTTGAGCAAGGATCTTATTTAATAGGAATATTTTATTTCATTTAGTTAATTTATGATTTGTTACCAATTAATTAGTTAGAAGATATAAAAATTATATTTTGGTTTTTATAATTATTTAGTTAAATATACCTATTTAACCTATTTATACCTTGATTCTCATAGTGTAATGGTTAACCAATTTATAATTTTCTTACAACTTTAAATACTTTAATCCGCCTTCATTTACTATAATCCTAATCAAATTTAAGTTCTACTCTTAGACATAGATCAAAACAATATATGAAATTGTATTTTAAATAATATAATAAATTTAACTTATTCTTCTTGACTTGTTTATTTAGAATAAATGACTTCCTTTACACTTCCTTTCCACACAATAGCCTTTCAGGTATATTCTCAGCAGTTATTCGTCAAGTGTTCATAGATAAGTCTTAGTACAATTTTGTAAGTTTTCCTATCAGAAGAAGCACGTTGTATTAATTCCCAAGATAAACCTATTTCCGATAATGAATTTAATCTCCCAAACCAACTATTTTTATAGGATAGGAAAGGTTTGAGAGATGACTTATCCAGAGGGGTAATAAAAAGATCTTATTAAACTAGGTTGTTTGGTGCTTGTCTGAGAATATGCCCTAATACTTCGATTTTTCTATATAATATATATTAAAAATAAACCTGAAATTTATGAAACTATCATATGTTTCTTACGTATAAGTTCCACACATAAAATGGCTGCTACTCAATTCAATTTTTGCCACTTCAAATTTGGTTTTAGCATTACGATCGGCAGTCTATAGTATTAATGTCATTGGTTATGACACAGCCGTTGACGCATCTTTAAAAAAAAATTTTTTTAAAAAAGGCTTCGGCTATAGCTTATGAAATGTGTTTAATGGTGGGAAAAAGTATATCATCGGTAAAATCATATTGAAGCAAACATATATAATTAAAAGCTTAAATGGCAAATTTTTAAAAGCAATAATAGTGGAATATATGACTTGTTATTCACAAATCAAATCTATAGTTAAGATGTAAATCGTGACTTTAAATCAGAGTCTCGAATCTTTCAATATATAGGTTTGGTTCAGGTTCCATAAAAAAAGTATAAAGGTTTAGATTTGGTTCAAGAACCTACTAAGGTATGTTGTTTAATGGATACTGAAAATATGACTAAATTTTGAATTGTGAAAATTTTTTAAAACTTTAATTTAAGACTTTAAAGTTTTCAAACTCTTGAAACAAGCTTTGCTCGATCACTTCACATTTTGATTAGTTCAATATCGCCTTATGCGATATTTAACATTATCCTACACATTTAATATTATTATATCATTCATTCATTACTTTGGGAAAATTTTAAATTTACGAGGCGATACCTTTATATAATTATCATAAATATTGAAGAAATAAGTATCTATTATTATTATTTAATACTTTTACCCCTTTTAATAATTGTTTACATGATTTTTCATTTTATACAATGGTATGGTTTTGAATTATTTATCAATAATTAATGAAAATAAAAATAAATTCATGGAACACTGTTGCTTCATGGAAATGGGTTGCAAATGATGATAATTGTGGAATCTGTCGTATGCCTTTTGAAAATACCTGCCCCAATTGTAAAATTCCTGGAGATAATTGCCCTTTAATATGGGGAAAATGTAATCATTGTTTTCATATGCACTGTATAATGAAATGGCTCAATTCTCAACAAACAAATCCACATTGCCCTATGTGTAGACAAACTTGGGAATTCACTCAATAATGCAAACTAATAAAAATAATAATTTTGAAAAAATTAAATTTCTTGGTGAAGGGCAGTTTGCCACAGTATACCAAGCAAAAGATTTAATATCACAAAAAATTGTTGCTATCAAAAAACTTAAAATGGGCCTTAGATCTGATACAGTAGATGGCATAAACAGAACTGCCTTAAAAGAAATTAAATACTTACAAGAACTTAATCATCCAAATCTCATTACATTATTAGATGTATTATCTGAAAATACAGTTATATCCCTAGTTTTTGATTTTATGGATACTGACCTTGAAGTAATTATCAAAGATAATACACTTGTTTTATCACAAGCTGACATAAAGGCCTATATTATCATGGCTTTACGAGGATTAGAATATTTGCATAAAAACTGGATACTTCACAGGGATATTAAACCTAACAATTTGTTGGTTGATAGAAAAGGAATATTAAAGTTGGCAGATTTAGGCCTTGCTAAATATTTTGGTTCTCCTAACAGAATTTACACAAATCAAGTTGTCACAAGGTGGTATCGTTCTCCTGAATTATTATTTGGAGCAAAAAATTATGGTACCTGCATTGATATATGGGCAATGGGGTGTGTCTTAGCTGAACTCTTATTGAGAATTCCTATATTCCCTGGTGAATCAGACCTAGATCAATTGTCCAAAATATTTGAGGCTTTAGGCACTCCAAACACTTTAATTACCTCCAAAGATTCTATTAATAGTCAATATTCATTGGATAGAGAAAATTCATGGTCAGGAGTGGAAAATTTGCCAGATTATATTAGCTTTAAAAATTTTCCTGGAACAGCCCTTAGGGATATATTCACAGCAGCAGACAGTAATTTACTTGAATTACTAAAATTTATGTTTGCCTATGATCCATTAACAAGATGGGATTGCACTCAATGCCTAAAATGTAACTATTTTTATATGCCACCTATACCAACTCCCAGCTCCAAATTACCTATACCTAAACATATTTTACAGCCTTCAGATAATACTAATGGATTTAATAAAATTGTAGGAGCAGGAACTAAACGTAAAAATGAAGAGCTTATTGGTAAAAGGCCAGCCAAAAGATTGTTTGTTGATTAAATATTTTTATCCTCTGTATGTGTTATATATTTAAATATGTAATTATTTTTTATTTATATTATATTAATAAAAAATATGTCAATCACATTTTATATTGACCTCCAGGGAGCAGGGTGCCAAACTGTTAGTTAAATGGTTCAATTTCCATTTAGGTTTTAGTTTAGAATTAGAAAATCTTCCTGGTTTAATAAATTATTTGTTCATATTTTTTAAATTAAATTATAACATATTTTATTAATTGGCTTATAATAATTTATTAAAAAATATTTAAAAAACTTAAGGAAACATAAATCAAATAAAAAAATTTTAAATCTTAAAAAATTTATAGAAAATAAGTTGATTTAATTTATTTTATTTTATTATGAAATATGAATAGAAACAAAAACAAGTCATCTAAAATATAATCACATAATTTATTTTAAAATTATGTCAATTATTTTAAAAATATAATATGGAAAACCATTATAAACTGGATAACAGTTGCCTAGAATGTTTAAGTTATCTCCCTCTAAATATTTCTTATCACTTTGGTTATTGTTTAGAAATTTATAATGGATTATTTTGATTTGTAATTCAATTTGGTTAGACACCCAGGAAGATATCAAGCACCATAGCCTTAGACCTTCCCCTACCCCCAAAAAACAAATTTGTTTCTAATAGCTTATAAAAAATACCCCCTCCCATAATAAGTGAATATTTCTGGATCTGAATCTGATAATATAACACTAAAGTTGGGCTATAGAAAATATTTTTTTTATAGAACTCTGTACTTATGAAATTTATTTTCAAAGTTTTGATATTTTATTTCACAAATCCTTATTTACTTAATAGTTAATAGTTATTATATATTGGTAGGGTTGGGAATCTTGCTGCACTGGCGGATTTGTTAGATATAATTTTTAGAAAAAAAATTATCCTTACCCCACATTAGTTAGCGAGAATTCGCGGCGAAGAATACAAAAATAGAGCATAATTTGTATATATCTCCTCAAATCCGCGCTGACAGTGAATGAGAGGTTATGCTCCATACCAGAGCTGAAAAAATGAATACATAATTATTATTTTTAAATGGTTGCTAGTTGCGATTCTCGGGAAAAGCATATTTAAAGATTAAATAATATTAACGGGAAAGTTCTACAAAAGGTGGTCTTAAAGCCTTCTAATAAAATTAATGGGGTAGGGAAAGTTTTCCCCTTTAGGAAAATTCTTCCTACATCTATGTTAATTTTATTTGCCTATCAATAATATACAAGGCTACGCCTAGCCAATTTAAGTGCCCTTTAGTCAACTTATTAGCCAATATATCTAACTAAGATGAATCAATCATCGTGTGACAGCCGTTTTGAGTTAGCTGTATATAACTTTAGTTAACAATAATTGAGATTAAGACAAGAATATTGGGCTAATATCATGGCGTAGGGACTATGAAATTGCTTATGTTCCCAACTAAACTGTTGCTTATTTTAATCTTTCATAGTTTTTTATTCTTTAAAAAAAAATAGGAAACTTCTTTATTTAATACACTAAGAATCTATGCATAGCTTTGCAATCAATCAAGAACCTATGAGAAAAACTAGACACTGGAGATCCCAACGAGGGATACAGACGCTCTCCTCATAAATCTTTCGATCTAACCTCCTAAGCATTCACTCCTCCCTTGAATGATCTCAAACCATTTTTAAAAAATATTTATTAATTTCTTATCCTTTTTAGGCACTTATTAAGAAATATATTTTTAGTTATCGTTTTTTTAGAAATAATTTTTTTTTATATAGAAGTCAATTTTTGTCCGAAGATGTAAATATGAATATTTTTCTTAGATCTTTTTATTTAATTATCATATCCTATTTAATTTGGGCTCTTAATAATTCAGGTAACTCCCTAATTTGACCAAAATTTTGATGAGTACCAATCAAATTCCTAATAACTACTATTAGAAAATGATAAATTTGGCAACTTTCTACTTTAAAAAGTGGGCAAATTTTTAATTTTTTATCCGTTTGCGTAAGACCTTTATAAATTTGGCATTTGTTTTTTGTTGCATTCATTCATTTATAATATATAAATTTTATCATCTTACTAAAAACTATTCATTTCAAATAACAAAATTTATAAAGTAAATAAACATAACAAGTTATTGTAAATTAAAAAAAATGAGGTTATTAAATTTAAATTATCATACTCAAAGCTCTAAAATATTTGATATTTTTAAGCTAACTGTTCGCAATATTCTTGAATCCAATTAAAAAATTATCAAACGCCATCAACGAACATATTGTACTACCAAATAAGCTAACAAAAATAACATCTTACTTTATTTCATAAATTAATTACCAAGCCACAAAATGGCGTTGCAGCTGACTCCTATGTATCGACATTTTAAAATGCATTTAATAAATCAATCCTTAATTTAGTAGAATACATCATCGATCCCAATACCACGAATATAAATTAGTATTTTTTTTTAAGTATGTATCATACATAATTTCACTTCTGAATTTGGTGCTTAATAAAAAATTATTTGAAAATGGTTGAACATAGTCTCACTTTTTTTGCCAAACTAAAAATATAACAGAAGGCAAAATGTTTAAGAAAAAGGTCTTTATAAATTGTTTAAATTTGACTAATATCTTAGTCCCAACGGTTCCCAAATTAGACAGGTTTGATTGTATTTTTTTTATATTCTTTAGGGAATTTAGCTGTATTTTTTTTTATATTCATTAATGAATATCGCTAGCTTCAGTGTTGTTAAACGGCTCGGTTTAGCCAATTTTAAATTAAAATTAGCCAAAATAATATTACGTAAGCCTCGATATTTCTTTCATAGATGTCCATACTTTCTCACATCTATAAGCAAAATCTTCAGGTTTGAATAATATTTTTTGGCTCTAAAATATTGGACAATTCTTTGAAAAAAATTAAAACATTTAACAACACCAGCTAACTCACTAATTTATAAAAAATATATATTAGCCAGAACTATATGAAATTGACTTTGGTCATTAGTCGCACTCGTATAAATATTATTTAAGAAAATCTATGTAAATTTATTTATAATTAGGGCTGTTGTGCTGTCTGTTAAATAATAGAGATTAAACCTTTCGGTGAAAATTTTATATTAACATTTTTATTTATATCATTTTAACGTTACATTTTTTTTAATATCAATTTGTATTTCAGATAATTGGTTATTTATTTATTGTTAAAAAAAAAGATATAAAAAGGAAAATTGTTTTTGGTTAAAACAGTGATAATAAAATGTAATTTATAAAAAAATAAAATAAAATTGTGATTTATTCGAACAATAATATATAAGAGAATTCTGTCTAAATACATCATGGTAATAATATATAATAGAGGATTCTATTTAAATATTTCACTGCCAATCCATAATTTTTTCTAGGTAATATAAGGATATTCATATAAACCCTATCCCATATTTAGATAGATTTTTTATATATCATCTATCTTTGTACCAAAGTCATTAATAAGATCAATAATTTATAGACAGAAAAATAAGCAACTATGAGCAAACTTAAAAAAAAAACTTTAGGGTGTTTAAGATGATATCCGGTACATCACTAATGATAAGTGTTAACATCTCATCTAATATATGATTAATTAGTATTGTTAAACGACTCGATTTGAGCTGATTTTTTGAAATAGCTAATTCAATATTTTAGCCAGAAAAATATTGTCTAAGCCGAGATTTCAAATTTTCAGATAGCGTGAGATTTTTCTGGATAAAATATTGAGTTAACCGTTTTTAAAAATAGGGCTCCAATAAAGCCATTTAACAACACTAGGTAAAATGTATACAGCTGACTCGTTATACTTTTATTTTTTTAAAAAGTCTTTTTTTTGTTGTAAAATAAAAATAATATCATATTTTTACATATCCCATCTTTTAAAATAATTAGATTATTTTTAAAACATCATAAATAAATTTATTTAGATTCCTTAAAAAAATTTGACATTTTTTTTAAAGGTATTTTAGCATATTATTAATCTTAGCTTATCTAGCACATTATGAAATAAACATTCTAGTATATTTTATAAATAAAATGTGTAATATATTAATTCAAATATACATTTTTAATTCAAAAAACTAACCCTACTCTATTTTAATCAATTCTTAAAAGCAGACGATACAAATGGAAAAATGGCATTTATATTCGTTTTGATTAACCATATTTTAATTGATATAAAAAAAAATCTTCTATATCCGCCAAGTTTTCTGAAACTTTTTTTCGTTAACGATGGCGCCAATGTCATGATTAGGAAGAAATATGGTGTGAACGTGCTTTTGCGCACTCTATCCAATTATTATACCCTGACATTGTATAAAGCATGGTTTAGAACTAGCAGTGTCGGATGCTATAATTGGTGTTACTGTCGTTAATCACTTTAAAGCCTTTATTGAAATGCTATGTAGTTTTATAGCCGACCTAACAAAAATCAAAAGGCTTTGGATGAAATTACATCTGAATTGGTCATTCAATTACGAAAGATTAGAAAGGCACTTGTAAGTAAGAATATTGAAGGATTAATTTGTTAAACACATATACCCAGAATTTATCGGGTATATTTTATTAAATAATTTTAAAAATAAGCAATTTAAATCATAATACAATAAATCATATTCCATCAATACACGTAAAAATTCATATTCTCATCTCGCCTATTTTCCATGCTATCTTCGAAACTCCATTGTCTTGTGACACTACAATTTTTAACAATTCATCACATACAATACAACAGCTACCTGATATACGAAATGTAATATTAGTTCTGTAAAAGCTGTTTGAAATAATACCATTTCATATAAATTACATTAAATTATATAAAAATATGAAATGAATTATATAATAATTGAAATATATTGCAAAATATATATTAAATATGAGTAATTGCAACAAGAGCGAGGACTTGGACTACATTTACCTTATGCCTGATGATATACACCGTGATTCGGAATTAAAATTATATATTTTTCCCGTACTCATTTGTATATTTAAAATATATGTAGACGCACTTGGCACAGAGCCATGATTTTATGGCCGAGGAAGAGTTTAATGAGTTTTTTACAAGTTAAATACCAGAAATATTGAATACCTTAAAGAAAATGGTTTCATTAATATAAAAACCATTTTTTAACACCGAAAAAAAAAGAAAATGTACAAGGTGTTCTTAAATTTTTGGTATACACACTGCATCAAGTAAGCAACAATTTTAAATCTTACCTTATGCTATATTTATCAGAGATTTGGCCTAACACCGGGTATTATATTTTTAATCAGGCTCGGCCGACATTTTAAAAAATTTTATGCCTGGCCAAATAAAATTCGTTATTATTTCCCCAAATTTATTTTTCAAAATACTTTAATCCTTCGTTGCATAAGTGGGACTATGCAGACCTAAGTCATTTTAACTGTAGCATCACTAGAGGGGAAGGGCGGAAGGTCTCGAGCCTCATAAAAAATTTGAAGAGCCACATCAAAATTTTGAAATGTATATAAGGTAATTTTATATTTATTATCTAAAAAAAAAATTTAGGATAATGTTTAAAAAAAGATAATTTTAGACAATGTAAATTTGGCTAAAAAAAGGTTATTTAAAAAAAATTCATTGAGCCCTCTGAGATAAGTTTATTGAAGCCCCTGCATTTAAAAAAAGTTATAATTACAATTCTTAAATATTTTTGCATGAATCTTATGGTAGATTAACATTTTTAGGTTAATTAAATGTGTTCAAAATTAATTTATTTTGTTCGTGAGTTATAAGGGTTTTTTAAAGATCCCACCTGGTCATCAGTGTAACTGTTTTTTTTATTTGTTTTGGCCATTGATATATTAAGCTTAAATAAATACTATTTCATTCGTTTTTATTATATTCATTAAAAATTATATTATATTAAAATTAGAAACTTAGATAAGGGCCATTCCATATCCATCACTTTACAATCCGACCATTTGAAAATATTTTGCATATAGGTAAATCAGAGACCTGCAGGGGTACCATTTGCACGGCCTGGCTCTGATTTTTTTTTCAAAATTTTTTTCCGCCCCGGATTTTATATTTTTATACCGGCCCGGGTATTTTTTTTCTTAAAAAGTTTAGGTCCCTAACCAGCTTTTAATTTCAATATAGTGTAAAAATATATTTTATATTTTTTCAATTTATATGTTAGAAGAAAAATAAAATTACCCTTAGGGTATATTTTATTTTTTAGAATTGAATTTTTTTATTCGATGATTTCATTCTTCATCTTGCGACTCTTAGATTTACTAATTTACTATGAATTATTTTACATTGTAATATTTATTTTTCAAGGCACATATGCTCATAATCAGTCCGTCCTTTTTTGAAGGAAATCGAATCCTCTCAAATTTAAACCATTTACTGAGGTCAATTCTTTTTTGATTTGATGCTAGAACTTGGTACCATCTGATATTTTCGAGAGCCATCTTAAACTTATTAAAATTAGCTTTTATATTTTTAAGTTATTTTGATAAAATGATTGATACATTTGGGTTGATTTTAAACATTTCGTTTATTAGATGTTGCCATGCGAATTAATGTTTAGTACATAATATTAATTTCATTCATACATTATAATGGGAAAATCGAAAAAGAAGGAACATAAAGATATTAAAAATTCTATTAAACAATCTATTCAATATAATACTATTCAAAAACCAAAACCAGTAACAACTAATTTGAAAAAGTTGTCTCATTCATTGAATAAAAAAAAATCTATAATAGATGAAATTTTTGATGATAATAAATTTCAGTTACTTGTGCGAAATATTGTTATAGGTATCAACGATACTAAATTGCCACAAACATCGCAGTCCAAAAAAGTATATTCTTCTACTTTAAATTTTATTTTTTTTAGATAATTAAAGCAGGTTTTTCAAATGATGACTTGGAAAAAACAATAGATTTATTCAAAAAACTATAAGTTTAGCCTAAGTGTATACATATTACTAGTCGGAACATGAAACAAATTAAAGAACTTAAAAAAAATTTTATTAATAAAAGACGCTTAGAATCTATTAACATTAAGCATTTACAAACACAGAAAAAAAGGGCATTAATTAAAAGTTCACTTGATATTCAAATTAAAGATTATGCCAATGTTAATACAAATAATAAGCCAGCAGGTCATATAGTATTTAGTGATCCTGAAGAACCTGATTTTAACTATGAATACAAAAAATTAGACATTAAAAATAAAAATTTACAATTATTTCAAAATGATGAAACTGACACCAACAATAAATCTAATATATATAATGGGTTTAATATCAAGCCTCAATTTGAAGGTAAGAAAGGTGAAAAATTATTAAAACTGAGCCTTAGGTAACTCATTAAAAATCATTCATTTTAATAGATATTAATAGTATAGGGAATGATAAAAGATTTGTATTGGGTGAAAAATTTGCTTCTAGTGATAGTGAAGAAGAAGAATTAGGTGATACTTCTCATGATGATAAAGTAAATGTTTCTAAGATTTCTTTTCACAAAACATTAAACAATAATAAAAATATCACTCAGGATGATCTTAAATCAGAGTTAGAAACTTATAATAAAACCTTAAATTCTTTGTTATCGGAAGAGCCATCCAGTCATCACACCAATAATGTAAAGACAAAAATAAATAAATTTTCAAATAGTTCTATTAGTAGATCAGGATTTCAATTAATTCAGAGGTATGACCCTAATAATCCTGATCATTGCACAAAATATGATATAAAAATAAATCCTATTTCTAATAATAAAGGTAATGCTATTGAAGATAGTAAACTAAAAAACAAATCAAAACATATCCTTGACAACAATGTTACTAAAGTAGAAAAAGATGCAAAATGTAGTTTTGAAGTACTCAAAGATTTTAAAACTGCCTTTACTCAAGATAATGAAGATCATAGCAAAAGTTTGAAAGGCAAGGATGTAAAGGCTATGGTTTTTAAATTTTTCCAAGATGAAAATGATAATTTAGACAAATTACTTATCAATAATAAAAAAATTAATTTTGAATCTATAAGTACAGAAAAGATTTCAGATATTGATACTGAATGTGGAAGATTTAATTTAGATTATTTAGAAGATATTGTAGACAATGAATTTAGAGAGATACTCAAAGAGGAAGGAAAGAATGACCCTACATTCCTTACCCAATTTTTGTCTTTTGATTATAGCAGAGGCAATCAAAATTTTAGTGCAGAACCTGAACTATCTACTATAGGTATACTATTTTTCTAGTTACAATTATCAATACCATTCCATTTGTTGCACAGGCTTATTCAAGTTGACACTAAGGGCCTGGGCTAAATTTCAATATATTTTGGGCAGGGCTCATTTAGGCATTATAAATATTTTTTAAATAAATAGCATAGAAATAGATATCAAAATAAAATTATATAAACTGCAATAAGCACAAAGTAATTAGTGATTTTTATCTCTTGACTTCATAAAAAATTTTGTCCAGACAGGCTAAATAACTTGAATTTGCAACCCCCCACTTTCAATACTATTTTTAAAGCAAGTGGGAAATTCTTAATGACAGTTAACCCTAAATTTTAGCCAAAGTTTATCACCTCAGCCTTGAGTCTGATAAATTTAATTCTGTATTTTTAAAATTATATACTGGAATTAATACTTAAACATTTTATTGTGTAGTTTTATTTTTAAGTTAATCTAATTAGTTAAATTATCAGTTCTATTCATTTTTAACATTGTTTTTTGATTAAATCTCAAATTTGTTTCATATACATTATTTACTAATTTTAATAATTTGCTATTTCTCGTTAAATTTCAGATTATAAATAAAATAAACCATTTGCTGTTGGAGCTTTTAATTACAGATCATCATAAAATTCATCTCTTTTTTCAATGTATAAAAAGCTAAAGAACATATCCAAAGTGACCAATCATCATCGACTGGCCAAAACTTCTTCATCGACCCTTCCATTTTCGAAGACCCCAATTCCACCTTAATGCTGGCAGTTTCAAATTTTTGTCAAAAGGATAAATCTTTCAAGGATCCCCAAGTATGGGAATCAAGGAGGAAAGAGTTGTCTCGCCTGTTCAGAACAAAAAGGAAAAGATTCTTACGACATACCAAGCCTCAATTTTACTCTAGACGTCGCAAAAATTAAATCAAATTATACACCTGCCTCACTTTAATGTCAATTTAATTATTTATATTTTTGCTCAATAACGATTCTAATAAATGATGATATACCTTTAAATTGCTTCGGATAAGAATTGAAATTATTTTATTTATTTTCCGATTTAGAAAATATGGTAACTTATATCTAATGTTGTTATAGTGACTAGTTAAATTTTTGCAAAAAATAAGTGTAACTAGTTAATTTAATAAAGAAATTACTAGCTATTTAGCCACAAAATTATTACTTTTTAAAATGTGATAAATATTCATAAGGTCAAACCATGTCAGCTCCATCACAATTCTCCTCGTCTCATATGATTTGGGTGAAATTTTATATGCAAATTAAGGTGCACAACTAAACCAGTTTTCAAATTTTAGCATCCTAGCTCTTATATTTTTGGAGATATCAAGGACCAAAGAATAAAGAATGACCTATTTTTACACTTACCGATTGTCGTTATAAAAAACTAGTGTTGTTAAACGGCTCGTTTTGAGCCGATTTTTAAAAACGGCTAATTCAATATTAATAATATTACGCAAGCCTGAAGATTTTGATTGTAGAAGGAACAAAGGTTTGGACATATATTAGCGAAATCATGAGGCTTAGCAAATATTTTTCCGGCTAAAATATTGAGTTAGCCGTTTTTATAAATCGGCTCAAAACGAGCCGTTTAACAACACTATAAAAAACTATAGAATTATAATAATAAATATCAAAATATACATTATATTAAAAAAAAAAATTTTTTAATGTTCGGTCCAAAGTTCATAATACTTGTAAAAAATGTTGGTTTCCCAATTTTTATAATTTTAGTTGCATGGAATAAAAACATCAAAAATAAATAAGGTATACTTTTTTTTCATAATTACTCAGTCTGTAAGTGGCTCTACATGCAATTAATTGTTCTAATATGATTTAAAATTTATTTAGTTTTATTTATTAATTCATCAACAAATTTAATTATAATACGTATAATTAACAAGAATTTAAAACTGTAAATGGACCTATAAAACAAGATATAGAAAGTGTAAAATTATGATAAAGAAAAAAAATATAAATATAATTTATTATAAATAAAGAGGAAAGAAATTAGAATAAAAGAGTCAAGATGGAAATGAGTTGATAAAACAATGAAAATTTGGATTGCAAGTCGGAAACAAACTTTTGGTGCCTATGTTTTGAACGAAATTAGTCTCAGTTTTTTTAATTAGGTCTTGGGCTTGACCAAAAGTTGTAAGAGTGGCGTGATGACCGGAACGAAGCAATAATTATGTATTTGTCACATTACAATTATTCTGTAGCTAATAAATCTTTGTTTATATTTGATAGAAGTCGATGCAAGCAAAAAAAATTGAGATTGGGTGTTTTGAAAAATATTTTTGGGCAATATTATTTCTTTTTAATATAAATTAAAATATTGCAAAAGTATGGTGTAGAATCTTTGCTATAAGGATATCATAAAAACATTTTAGATAATATTAGAACAATTAATTACAGAATGGAACTAACCGGACTGTCACATTAAAATATATTTTGATGCAAAAATCCTTATACATTTTTTTTAATAAATATTTTAATTGAATAAAAATCGGTAAGTATAAAAATAAGTCACCTTTCATAGTACGATTTTTGATTCTCTCCAAAAAAATATAAGTGCTATGATGCTAAAATAATTTAAACACTTCTTTAGTTGCGTGTGCCTTCATTTGTATACAAAATTTTATCTAAATCTTAAGGGTAGGGGTCCAGCGGAAATCATGTGTTTCTCGATCGATTTGAGATAAGAATGACTACATTTTATTCACTTTTTTTAAAAAAAATATATAAATAACTCAATTACCCTTTTTAAGAATGTAACTTGTAACTATTTACTATTAACCATCCATTATTTGTATTAATATAATTAATTTTCCGAAAATTTAAGGAATCGAAATAAAGGCACAAATTGCAATATAATTAGTTTTTATTAGAAAATAAATTACTACAATCGCTATAGGGCGTTTAGTTTACTATAATTCATTCATTCATTACTAGCTTAAACCAACTCATCAGGTTCGTTACTGAAACGGATCATACATAATAACTTTTTTTAAATAAAAAAAATGTATTAACGACGACGTCTCCCTTAAAGATTAATTACAATAATTATTGCACTACACAATCATATTTATAAATTTTTTTATCACGCGCAGCGCCATTCTTAGGACATGGTTACAAAAAAAACGCGAAGAAAATATATTAATCTATCTTGGCTATCCTGAATTCCTTTTTCTCTACTGAAACGTACAGAATCCGTCTCATTTCTTCAGCATTTATATCGTCATCATTCCTATCTGAAAAATATGGAGCGATTTTTTTTTGTTAAATATAAGATTTTTTTTTTACTATTTACTAATTAATTATTCGATTTTTTTTAAACCCATGATTAGTGTTGTTAAGAGGTTCGACTTAGTCCAAATTATATAACACAAGTCTTAGTTTTTATTAATAGATGTTCAAGCCTTTCTGCCAAATATGATTAAAAACTCTTTTTTCAAAAAATAAACCAGTTTAACAACACTAGTTAGACCTCCCTCATTTCTCAATGGCTCGAGCAATAAAATAATAATCAGTATCTTACAACGTAAATATTTTTAAAAACCTTTAAGAGGTTGCGAAGTTAAAATTTTTTATTTAAATCAATACACGGAAAAATCATAATAATATTTAATCATTTTTTTGTATTTTATAAAACATTTTATATTTAAAAAAAAAAACTTGTTCAAAATATTCAGTTTTTTTTTGCAATTCAAAATTTTGAAGTATAACCTTGCATTCACAGTTAATGCGAATTAGTGGCAAAATATACAAAAAACAGCTTATAAAACTTAGTCGAGGCGATCACCCCTCCCCGTTGCCTATTTAAGGAAGTTGTGAGACTTCTGTTACCGATGGTTTGGGGTAAACCCGTGGGGATAGCTAAAAACTCATTTTATATACTTCGTCATGAATTCGTGCTAACTTGGACCCAAGGTAATTCTCACAGAATAAAAAATAAAAAAAAACCTTTATACTGTTTCCGTTGAAATGAGTATTCCTTGCCAGTGAGACCGCATTTAAATAAATGATCTTCATCACCTCCAGAATGGCCTATATTTTCTATCGACAAAACTTTGAAAAAATGATTTGAACTGGGGCTAATAAAAATAAAAAAGAATTTACGTAAGAACTTTGAGACAATTTATGATTGTGTATCAGGGACTTATTTTATATTTAAAAAAAACAATTTCCATTAACTACATATTATTTATTAAAATGATATTCGTCTAAAATCCGTGTATCCATTTGACTAAGTTCTAGGACAATCATCGATCACCCTAAATTAAATTACTCAAAGTCCTTTGGACATATAAAAATTTACTCCTGCAACCAGCGCTGATAATAATATTTTTGATTATTCTTATAACCACTAGTATACACGATTGATAGATTAAGCTTTCCTTATTCAAAAAAAATTTCCATATAACAAATTATCGATTTTAAATATAAAAATAATTCATCTTGAATACGTAAAAATTCATATATATTGTATCGATAAAAAATATAGTTAATAAAAATAGTAATGAATCTTGTTATTAATTTTTTTTTATTATTTTTATATGTCTAGCGGTAATGTGTTACTTTTTTTTCAACTTTAAATTATTTTTTGAGAGCGTTATTTTTTTAAATTTGAAAATCTGATTTTACCGGAAATGTATTTCATCATGTTTGGAATACTTGTCTTATGAATTCCAGGCAATTTTGCCATGAAATTATGAACTTATATGTTCGATTTATTTTATATAAATTCTAAATGACTCAAAGGTTAATGGCAAAATTGTCTACAATTCTTAAGAAATGTATTTCAAAGATGCTGGAAAACATTTCCCGTAAAATCAGTAACCCTAGAGGATATCCATGATCGTGAAATGTATTTTTATTTAAAAAAACCTTCGTAAACTTATATTGAATATTTATTTTTTCGAACCTTTGGTCCCTTTCTCGATCGATGTTGGAATACGACTTATTTTCGAAGCAACTATAATCCAACGTTCTGGGTTCGATTAAAAGCTCAATGTCGCCACCTTTAAAAAATGACACTTTGCGGGGGTCATCTAATTTTTTTTTAAGTGAATATAGGATATTGAATTGTCATTTATACAATACTTTATCCGCTAAAATACTTTCAAACTTAATAAATTTATATTTATAATGGATGTGAAATATCTGGAAAAATAAATAAATTGGGATAAGTTTATAATCGATCACGCTTATATCTCCTAGAAAATTTTTAAAGTAAATTTGAAATTAATATTAATAGATGCTAGGTAAGCCCCCCCCTCCAAATCTTACCTTCAGCCACATCGTGGCAACGTCTTTTGGCGCCTAATGAAGGTTCACGTATCCTCAGCGGGGTTTAAAAATCACCTTAAGAAGTTGATGTCAGGAAGGGCATCCGATTGTAAAAGATGATTAAATTAGATGAAAAACTAGCCAACCTGGGTGAACCTGGAAATCGCCATTAAACGGAGAAGAAGATGCTAAGGAACTTGAAAATCTCTAAAAATGGAGGAAAATATTTATATTCCCAAATTTGGTTATCAAATTGACCATTTTGAAAACCAAGCGATGATAATATTTCCTCTGTTTTTTAGTAAATTTTTTTTAAAAAACTCAGCTTAAATACACTTCCCTAGCACCTATTAATATTAATTTCAAGTTTACTTATAAAATTTCCGGGATATAATCAAAATTCCCAATTTTCAGCGATTTAGAATGGGAACCACTGGGTTATATTCAATTGAAGAAACTAGAGGGAATATTATTTTTTACTTATTCTGTAAATGAAAAATGATTTTAAAAAAGTTTAGTAAAAATAATTTTTACTCCCTTTTTAAAAAATTATTATAAGTTTTATGGTAAGCAGGAAACAATATTGATAACTTATACGGTCGAAAATATAAAAAACTTGAGTATAATAGTATATTGTTTTTATAATGATAGATTAGTAATATTTACAGCTCATAAATGATGAACCGTAATTAAAAATTAATCTTTAAAAATTTTTGATTTATATATTTGTTAAGGAGGAGAAATCTTAGTTTCTTAACCGACTTTATGAGATGTTACAAACAGCTATGAATAATTTACGGTATACCCATAAAAAAAGGCTAGGACTAAACCAATTATCATACGATATATGGCTAAGTAATTCGGGAAGGGGGGGGGGGGGTAGTAGTCATTTGCCTCCATCCATTTTTCAGGAGGGTATGATCTTAGACGAGGTAAGGAAAAAATATAAGGGGAAGGTAAATCTAAATATGTTGCCTCCGATATTTACTTTCATAAAGATGCTGATAAACCTGGTAGCTGTTAAAGTAGCGAGCTACTTGTAGCGCGCTAACTTTTGTAGCTATAGCTAATAACGGCTACTTTTTTTGTAATTATTTAAATTTTTAGCGCGATAAACATTTTTTGAAGCTACTTAGCTACTTTTAAAAAATATAATGAAGGTAAGTATAAACATGAAAATTTAAATATAATATCATAATTAATTATAATTTTTAGGATTTATTATTTCATTTTAAAATTGAAATATATTTTCAATTTGTATTTTCATTTGTATTATAAACCTAAATCATGGGTTAATAATTTAAAATGTGATCGCCTTTGAATATCCAAATAGTTGAAAGTGATTCAGACAATTAATTAATAAAATGTAATACAAATTTCCCATTCCCTAGATTTGATTAAAATAAATATAAAAACCAAAACTGGCTTCAAATTTATTTGTTTAAAATGTAAAAAAAAATATTTCCTCAAATCAATCCAGTTATAACCTCAAGAAACACCAAAAGGTAAATTGTCATTATTACATTCTAATAGTGTTTATTTCATAAGATGTTCATACCATATAGCTTTAAGGAAATGGGCAAACATTAAAATAATTTTGGTATAGGCGATTCTACATCCAAAAAGACTAATTTAAATCAAACCAAATTAATTAATAATCCGAATGGCAATATTTCTCAGAAATTGGCTGATAAAGTTATTGTTGATTTTATTGATACAGTTCAGCCAATGTCCTTGGTTGATAATCCATCTATTACCATGATGATTAAAACTCTATCTTCTGGTACAACAATTTTATGACGTCAGACACTAATGAATAAAATAGCAGATAACTTTAAAGTGATGAAAGATGCTCTAATAGTAGAGTTATCAGAGATATCATATATATGTACCACGGCAGATAGTTAGACACATAACACTAGGTAAAAACTTATAAAATGCAACAAATTACCATAAATATTTATTTTTATTACATAAATTTTTTTATAATCAAAACTAACTATATTTTAATATTTATAAATGTTGATTTTTTTATATTTACTATACAATAACATTATAAGCAAAAAATAAAACTAATTTGTTTCTAAAATTTTTTTTATAAAAAGTAGCTTAAAAAGTAGCTAAAGCTACTTTTGAAAAATAATAGCTAATAGCGAGCTACTTTTTTTGACAAATAGCGATAGCGGTAGCGCGCTACTCATAAAAGTAACGATTAACAACTCTGCCTGGTAAAATAGTTAATAAATATAGTGAGGAGAAATGTAAACAAAAAAAATACTTTAAGGCATCTTAGTATGAAAAATATATTTATTTATTTTTTGCATATTTAAACATATGGATGTCTGTCAATTTCATGTCTTGATAAATGTTAAAAGTTAATTTTTTTAAAAAAAAGAGGTAAAGAATGATAAGATGCTGCGGAGCCTAAATATGATCCTTTTATTTTTTTATAGTATGTTTTTACCAGAAATTAAGGCGCGAAAAATCGGGAAAATATTGGCGATGTGATTGGTAGACGCCCCGGGTGGTAGTTTTATATCCACTCTACTTTCTCCCGAGGATAAATAGCGACTCAAACTTTTCAAATCGTGATGATAACGAATCGGAGCGCCATCTTTATCATGCCCATTCTCGCTTTCGGGCTCTTGATTTTCTTTAGTGTCTCCGTCCCCAAAATACAGTTTTACGAACTGGTCGTAATATTGGATACGAGCCCGGTCGGCTTCAAATTTGTTCAACGCAGCGGTGAATCTTTCGTCGTAGTCAGTTATGTTTTCGAAACCAGTCGGATCGGATAGTTTTTCCAGGGCTTTGCGAACGATGTATAGCAAACCAGCGAGCTGCTTTGAGTCTAAAAAATTATTGGGGGTCACCGACTTAAAATTATTCATTGAATCGTCCCCGGAAACATGCTCGTTCAAATTTATATTGGCGAAGTCATTTGACAAATTGTTGGCTAGAACGGAGACGCATTTGACGGCATAAGGCGCCATGTGATTCCACACGGATCCCGAAGAATCGTGCAAAATGGCGGGCAGGTCTAATTTGGCCAAATGATGCAACGCTAATTCGCCTTGGGTCAGATGGTCAAAGAGTCGAGCTTGCTTGCAAGCTGGCATTGGTAGGGTTTCGGTAAACCTGATAAAAATGTGTGTGAGAGAAACCGATAATAGATTTAAATCTAGATATTATATGGAAATAATTTATTGAGAAAAAAAAGGCAGAAATATAAAAAAAAATGGCAAATAAATTTTTATATTTTTATAACCATAATCGGGTCCATATATTATCCGTCAGCTGTTGATCGTACTCACTTAATTCTTCCGAATTAATGTCTTCATTTATATCCTCTTTATTTTATACAAAAGAATACAATTATTTATAATATAATTTATATAGCTTTGTTTAATCACATGATGTCCGTTTTTTTAGTAATTTAGTAATGTCCTCTATCTTCTGACTAAACCAATTTTTAGCCATTTAAACCGTTTTTTTAGTAGGCTAAAAAAAATGGCAAAGCTTATTTTTTTTTATACTTTTAAACAATTCTATGTCATTCACTTTTAACCTCGAATTTCTTGGAAATTTAACGCAATTTTAAAAGAACCCGGAAGTAAATTAACTCGCGCACCACCCCCACTGATCCATAAATTTTTTTTGGAACGCGCCATTAAATTGAGATGAATCACCTGATTTTAGTAAAATAGCTAATTAATTAAAATCGATATGATTTTTATTTGATTAGTAAATTAATCAAAATGGAAAATAAAAAAAACATTTATTTTTTTTAAATGGCCAATATTTTTATAAATTTTAAATAGTATGGAAAAGGAGAATCTGGCCGGAAGGGGACTCAGGATCACGTGGTGTTGGGTTCGCATTTATTTTTTATTCGAAAACAAATTAAAGTGCAGAATATCCTATCCCTCCCCCAGGAAAGTCTATTTTGTGTACCTATTTTTCTATTTTGTAAATAAAAACTGGTTTCAAAATTAAAAATTGAAAAAAAATGAGATTGAACAACGGTTATTTTGAGATTGGGGAGAAGGGGTATGAGATTACCATCTTTAGATTTGAGGTCGGAAGCTGCTTTGGAATATTTATCGTATCCAATATTCATTCGATCACTTAGACGACATTTGCTTTTATCTAATATATATATTATTTTTTTAAAAAAATATACGTTATACCTATTTTAGAAAATATAAAATAATTAGGGTTTTTCAAACATTTAACAATTGTCTCAGACCAAACAAGAAACCATTTATGAACAACTCATAGAATCCGGGGTAATATGAACCAGGAGAATGTTCGGGGTCGGTTTCGATTATGTTTCTATTAGCCAAATATCGACTAAATAAGAGTTTCAAAATTCCTGAACCCTAAATTATGGTTTCACAGTTTCCTATTTTTTCCTTTTCTGTTATGTTATATATTTTGCTAGGTTTAACAAAAATTTTACGAGCATTTGAAAGTTTTTTTTGTAGCACAAAATTTTGAGCAAATTTATTTTGAAAATCAACAAAATTGCAGTTTTTTTCATGATTCGCTTCGAATTCGCGCTAACTATGAATGAGGGGTTAAAATAAAATGTAAGGAAAATAATTTGACAAAAAATTTTTTCAAAAAACCTTTATCATCCCAAATCAAATCGGCCGGCGAATACCAGCGGAGGAAGTCTCTTATATCGTCATCACAAGTGGGATTAGCCGCCTTGAAAGCTCTCATATCGGAGGCCAGGGTCCGGCTCTGAAATTGTGCCCTCTCGCTGACATTTTTCGATTCATTTTTGTCAGAGCTCGCGCTCGTGAGATGGAGTAGGAGGGATTGATGTTGCATTAAATGATCTTCGGTCATGAAAGGTGGTTCCTGCAAAATTGGAAAAAAAATTTTTCCTTTAATTCTTAAAAATTTTCTTTTCAATTTATTGGCCTTTTTGTTTTATTGTTTTGCCGTTTTCAAACAATTTACGCATGTTTTACTCTGAGACTTTCTCGACAAATATGATAGAAAACCTGAAATCCCTATTTCCCAACCTCATAGGATTTTCCATCCTAAGTCAATCATTCTTTTCATCCTGTCCCCGTTCATCTTATTTTTTGAAAATCTCTGTTTAGACAAGTCTATTCAGATTTTGACACCCCCCTATTTTGTTTTGTTTAAAATTGTATGCATCATAAATAGTCTAAATTTCTCTTTACTCTGTTTAGAAGGATGCTGCTATAAAGAGAGCTAAAAAAAAATAATTTTTTATAATCAAAACTAACTATATTTAAATATTTATAAATGTTGATTTTTATGTATTATATACTATAGGACATGGCGTCAAATTTTTTGTGATTAATCCCAAAGGTTTAACATTTTTTAAACATATTTTATTTTACACATAATAAATAAAATATTGCTAATGGTTTTAAAACTCGTATTAACTTTTTATTTTATTTCTATATTATATGACTTATTGAATTTTTTTTAATAATAAATTATGGTGGCAGCGGTAAACGTTTTTTCTGGGCTTCTATATCAGTGAAGTATAAATTATTTGAATATAATTAAATGCATAAAAGGTCATTAAAAACTGACGCTGTAAAAAAAAGGTCGTTACAAACGGCGTTACTTTTTTTGAGAAAAAGGAACGCAATTACTTGTTCTAAAGTAACGATAAAGCAAAACGTTACTCATAACTTTAAATTTTTCCTTAAAAAAATATGGGAAAAATATATAATTTATTATATGTACATTCTGTTCATTTTTTAAAAAAAAAATTTTATAAATAAATTAAGCCGAGTTTTTAATTCACAGATCAACCACCAAATACATTTTTGTTGCGGAATTTTATACAGCCAAAGATTGTCAATCTAAATTAATTGGAATTTTGATAGAAACATGTTCAAGTTATCATCCCAGGTTGAGAGTTTGTTTAATGTGAAATAAAATTGCTTAAAGATGCGTTTTATTTTTTAAAAAAATACTGATTTAATTATGTTAGATTTGTGAACCAGAAACATTTTATTTTAGAACGAGTATTCACAGCACTGCTTTAAAGCATCACAGAAAAATGTACCCTATAAATAATTTCAATGCTAGAGAATTCATAAAATCCCTGACGTCTTAAGTGTTAATTTTATCGATGCGGATTGTTTTATAAAAAAAAATTAGAAGAAAAAAGCAACCTGAGTTATTGGGACGTACAAGTAATCTGTTCCGTTGAAAAGTTTTACGTTCCCTTCTAGCGTATGGGACCTTCCTTCAGGTACCTCCCTCGCGGTCAAATCACCGAATTTTGACAAATTTTCGGAATTTTGGGATTTCGATTTTCTGTCATTTTCTGATTCCGATTTCTTCCTGATGAGGGAAGGGCTATTATCATTCTGGCATTCGAAAAAGGTATCCCCCTCGCTATCTTCGTTAGTCAGCTGGTCTAGTTTGAGGCTTGAATATTGTTGTTGTTGCTTTTTTATCTTTATGCATCTGTTCAGCATCTGTATAATATTTATTCCAATTTTTTAATCCGATGTATTTCTTAACTTTTCATATGTAATAAAAAAAAGAGGTAAAATAAGTATATTTCAAGAAAAATAATTAATCCTCGAGAAAAATTGATTTCATTTCTAAAAAAAGGAAAAAAATTAACTTGCAATTTTTGATGCAGTAGACAGTATTTGTAATCAGGTTTAGCATCTTCTATTCTTTCGTCAACGTTTATTTTTATTGAATATTTAAGAAAAAATGTTTTTAAGTAAAATAAATCGCGAAAATAATTCTACAGCGTATATTTAGAAGAAAATTTTTAATTCTTATTATAAATTTCATGTCAAATAAGTTTCCTAGAACACAATTCATATCTATAATCATTATTCGAAAAAATGATATTAAATAATCGCTTCTATAGTTTTCGTTATAGAGGTAAATCGAAAATATTACAAAGTGATGGGTATGCAATTGTCCCATCTGTATCTAAGTTCGAGCACGAATTCTTTCCAAAATTCCTTCAAAGCCCCTAATATCGAATCGAGAATATCCTCCCCGACTGCACCCTTCGGTGAAATGTCGTAAATCAATTTGCTCACAGCGATTCGATGTTGCTTACCATTTTCTATATTTGGCCCCATTTCACAATTTTCGACGATTGGGTCGTCTGCCATGAATACAGTGAATTTTTATTAATTCGACAAAAAATAAAAGAAAATCACTAAATACAATTGAATAAAAAAATAAATGTCAAGATGGAGGTTTATGACACACTATTTTTATTTTATATTTTTTAAAAAAAAATGCGAGTTTGATGTACATCTTTTATTTTAAATTTAAAAAGAAATTTTATTAATTACATAAATTATGATTGTCGAAATATGGGAGAGAAAAAAATATCACCCCCTCCCCCGCCCCCTCCTAAAAAAAGATAAAATTAACCCTGAGTGGTCATATTATGTCCGTTTCAAAAATTTTGTAATTTTTTTTCAAAATAATTATGACCACTTAATTTTATTTTTTCCTAATGTTTATTCACTCCCTTTTTTCTAACATTCTATGCAATAATAAGAAATGCTCAATTTCCACAAAATAAATATGGCTCGTATGTATAAATGTGTATAGATGACGATATAATATATATAATTTTTTCAATGCGATAGCAAGACTTTTTTGTTTATCGCTTAAAGCCATTTTAAGGCGTGAATAATAATATTATGCTTTCTTTCTTTTCCTTATTCCTTCCTTCCTTCTATGCAGTAAAATTAAAACCTCGTTATATATAACTTTAAACACTGAGGGGGCATAAAATTTAATTAAATATAGCGAAGATTAAAACTATATCCGTAACCGAATTTTTTAAATTAAATCTGACGAACAGCTGTGCAAGCTGCTCTCAACATTGTAGTTAGGGTTGATGGAATCTAGCGCAAGATATGTATTTAATCAATCAGCAATAATCAGGATCTAATATTTCGAATTAGATTTCATTATATATTTGTAGGATGTAGGTTATTAACATTATCAGGTAAATTAGGGCAATTACTACTAGTGGCAAATGGCCATGTCATAAAGGATTAACCAATTATGGTAACTGGTTCCTATAGAATTATTAGTTTAGATCTGATGTTATTCGTAATGATGATGGGTATTGGTGGAGCCAATGTACGAAAAATTTATACCTAGATGTAATAGGTCCATGAATTGTAAGACTGTTATTTTTGTTGAATTTACTTGTTTTTTTTATCATATTTGTATATTTAAATAGTTATTTTTTTAATTTGTAATTTTGAATAGGATTTTACTTGTTTTGTATAGTTAAATATTTATTTTTAAATTTGTTTATTTGAACAGTAGTGTTATTGGAATTTTGGATTATTATTGTATGGTAATTTAATATTTAGTTTTATATTTTATTATATTTATGTATATGATTATATTATGAACTTCGATTTATTTTAATTTTTGAATACCCATTCTTATAATATTTGGAAATTATATATAAACAAAAACTTATATAAAATAATAATTAACATTTTTTGATAATATTTGTGTAGTATTTTTTTGGAATTCATTTTAATAAAGTCGTAAAATTTTGTGTTGAATTATTTAATTAATTGTATTTGAAAATATTAATAAGTGGACAACTTTTACAATTTATATAAAATTATTTAAATTTTTATTTTTAGATATAAATTATTCAACATACTTCACCGTTACACTTCTAATAATCTCTGTAAATTCTCTGGGAATCTCTATCAATTTTCTATTAAACAATACAATAAATATATTACGATATCTCAAATCGTAACAATTTTGCCTGATAATATTACAGCCACAAATATTATTCAGACTATTGTGAAATATTATAGTGGCCCAGATCATTGATAGTCACATATATTTCTTACTAAAGATTTCTCCCATCAATCCTATCTAGAATCGTAAGGGGAGTTCGCAGAGAAGTTCATTTATTCTTGTCAAATTCAATTCAACAATTTATAATCATTAGAAAAATTATTCAACTTTTTTTTCAAAAATTGAAAAAATAATTTTGGTAATTTTGATTTTTTAAAATGGCTTATATTTTTTTATTCTATAAAGTTTGAAAAAGTTTGCGAATCGTAATTTATGGACATAGCCTAAAAAAAGTTTTTAATTTTTCCATTTTTATAAAAAATAAATAAACAATTTTTTGAAATATTATAATAATGTAAAATAAACAATATATAATAATATAGAATCATAAATAAACAAAAATAAAATAAAAATATCAGATTGGGATAAATAAATGTATCGGCCCAATCCGATATTTGTCGAAAACGCTAAATATCGGTGCCGATCCGATCGATATTTAATATCGGCACAGCCATGCGAACTTACCCATCTATACCAATCATTTAATTCCCACAAAATAAAATTATGAAAAATTAAAAGAATATATAAAATATTTTACGCTCATAAACAAATGATGTTACACGCAAACTAACAAAATTTTTTTTTTAAATGATCAGAAATATATCATGTTGCATAAGATTATCAAACACTCGTTAAACCTGGTGGATCTAAGGGTTGCAAAAGTGATGGATGCATGTATTCGAGATCGAAAAAACTTTTATCGCTTCTAATATCGTGAGAGAAAGAATCTGTCCGTTTAATCAAGGAGTCGAAATTGGCCAACATGAATAGGGTGTGGGTCAATAAATCGGTTAGGGAGTGTGGAGGACTTAACTACAACAAAAAATTTTAAAAAAAGTAATACAAGATTTAATTACCTTCTTTCCATTTTATTACTTTCTAACACCCCCCCCCCTCTCTGCTCTTTCTATTGAAATCTAAATAATATGGCTATTGTTATATAATATTAAAAGAGGGACACTTTAAATTTGGTGCCTAGATCCACGGCATTAATGTCAGGATCGATGAGTGGAGAAAGCGTGTATAGCTTCTAATTATTTATTTTATTTTAAATAAATAAAAAAAATTAATAGAATTTGGAATATTAAAATATTAATATAGTATATATATAAATCAAATAAAACTAAAATTCATAAATAAAGTTTATCTCTCAATCAATCACTCTCGTGAATCGGTGGTTATACATTTTTTTTAAAAAAAAATAAATAAACAATATAAATATATATCCAACAGAAACGTTAACAAAAAAAAAAGGATAATTCTTAATTTTCTTTTAGCGGCAAATAAAGGTTAAGAAAATTTTCCCGTCATTTTCCTAATAATTATTCGTCTATATATTTTTTTTTAAAAAATGCAACAAACGCCTGATAAAAATAAGCGATCTTTTGAGTCTAAGATACTATGTGTGATGGCGTTTCTTTTTAGGTCGGGCATTTAACTATGTACGCGATGTGAACTTAATACTAAAGGGATTCTACCTTAATTTTCCACTGTAATGGGGAGCGGGAGAAATATTATAAAAGCTTACCATTTTGGATGATTTTATCTTGAGCAAACTGGGCCTTGAATCGGGAAATAATGTCCAGAAGATGGCGTCCATTAAAGCATCCGATATTATTTTCCGATTTTCTTTGTGGTGGCTTTTAGCGTTATGATCCTTGTTCTTCTCGTAGTGTTTCTTATGGGCTTTGGATTTATTATTTTATATTACTAGCATAGAAAAAAAGGTTTTTTTTGAATAGATGAGTCTCCATCGTTTATTTAGGTGTTCACAAACAGGTAAAAAAAACGCTGACACCGTAAATTGAAATATTTTTAAAGAGTTTTTTTATCAGGTAAATGTTATGAAAATCCATTTTTTAAAAAAAAATAATATATTACTCGAAGCATCTGTTATACTATTGGTAGGTGTCGCGATGTTGTTCCTCATGTTGGTCATTGCTATGTTGAGCGAACCGAGTTTAACATTATGGCTGCTGACCAATTTATCGAGGGCTTTTTGGTAATTTTCGGTGTTTTCGCGGAAGGTAGTCTTGAAAGCTGATTCTTTCCCCCTTTCCTCGTGGCTTAAAATATCCCCTCTCATGTAATCCAAACTGTGCAAAAAGGGCTCTTGAGATTTTGTCCCTTGTGAATGATGGTGTCGGTCTATGAGATCGGTTAGCCGTTTAAATTTGGAGCCTAATTAACAACAATTTTTTTTTACTTGTTTTTGTTTTGTAGTTTGCAATGTTCATATCTAGTTAAGTGTACTTTTGATACCATGATGAGTTAATCCATTAACTCCTAACCATAATTCGAGAGGGGAAATGGTAAGATTTAAATAAATAAAGTATATGTTTGAACCAAGGTTTATCACATAATCATCTCGTGTTCAGTTCTAATTCAGAAATTATCAATCATTATTTCAATTTATTTTTTTTTACCACTCCATTCGTTTTCACTTAATTTAAGATGGCCAATTAATTGAAAGACAAACTGACAAGTGTAAAATTAGGCCATCTTTTTTTTATTTTTTTCTCTTTCTCTTAATTAAAATGTAAAAGCTATTAGGTTAAAAAAAATTACAGGTCTAGGTTAGATGAAAGTTTATATATTACATATTATCAAAAGAGATTGACCAATTTCTTTTTTGGAATTTGTTTATATACCTAATAAACATCCCAAGACATCGTCATCAATTGGTACACCTTTCAAAGAAAAAATCAGCTTAGCAGTTGACTGTATTTTAACCGAATCAACGTTTTTTATTTCCCCTCCTTTTTCTTCATCTCTATCAGCTGACTTAAATAAAGTCATTAGGGTGTCGTAATATTCAACGAGGTTACAGTCGGTTTCGGTTTCCTTCAGCCGTAAGCCTATAGACATGTGAGAGTAGCGAAAGTCATCTTCGGAGTTGTAACTTAGAGGTAAATCAAGCCACTGAAGACCAAGATCTATTCGTTTAACCGGGTTTCGCAGGCTACCCATGGCCCATAGGATATCGTGTAAAGCGCAATTCGCGAGGTGATTTGGTCGGTACTCATCAGTAAAATTCCTATATCCATCTAGAACGAGATCATTCTCGGACAGCTGACGATGGTCTAATGGGAAAAGGTCATAATTTCTCTCTACGATCAACAAGCTGGGTTTATGCAAAATGGTCTGAATGGGCATTAAAACGAAAGAGTAACACAGACTCACGCTGATGTCAGTTAGCTTGCAAATAAAATTTTATGGATTTATATTTGCATATTTTGCCAAAACAAATTTAACCCCGCCCCCCCCCCACCACCCCCTCTTTTTCCAAATATTGAATAAATAAATAAATAAAAAATAAATGTTAAACTTTATCGGATCTTGTCTGTTCTCTTTGAGATGGGTTTGCAATTGGCAAAAGTTCTGTCAAAGAATCTAGGTAAGCCAGACCCCCTAAAGGTTGAGTGAAATATAGCATTTCGAGGCTCAGTCGGCATGCCAATTTTTTATTATCATTATTAGTGGTTGTGGTTTTTTCTTCCCATAACATTCCTTGGTAGAGTCGAAATTCTTCGTTTATGCATACGAAGAGGGGTATATTGGGGTCGGGGTAGTCAAACAAGTTTTGGTTCCCTTGATCGTGGAATTTCGATTTTGGGTGATTATTATTATGGTGATAAGAGGATATGTCTAATAATTTGTGACGAAACTGTTGAAGGGCTAAGGCCAAAGCACTTAGCAAGGTGAGCGTTTGACTAGGAGTGAGGGGTTGAGTGGATACAGGGTTAGATGGAAGAAATTTAGTGTTTTTTGAATTGGAAGATGACAAAATGGATTGGTTAATGTGTTTGAGTATTATGAATTTTTTGAAACCAAACCTTGAAGTAGAACATATTATTTAAATTTGAATATATATAAATATATATATATCATCGATATGGGTCATAGTAGTGCAATATTAGAATTTAAGCAAGTTTGTTTATAAAATTATAGAATATATAATACACGATGGTTAAAATATGCATAAATCCAAAAAATTATCATATTAAAAAAATATCAAGAACAGCAAGGCACAAATATATATCATGATATATGCAGCCATAATTTATCCTTTATCATATACTTGTTCCAAATATCCATATTATTATTATATACAAACCATCTTTATTTAACTATTTTTTTCAATATCTAGCTCTAGCCCATATTATCTAATATTTTGAGTTTTACTCTTACTTCTTTACATTTACAAATACTAAACTAACGCATCCAGGAAGTTGATTTCAGAAGAGTCTTTAATTTAGATGTGAACCCATCACAGTGGAATGATAAGTGTAATGTTAACAGAACTATTGCTGTTGGTGCTTTATATAGGAGATTCTGTTCTAAGTTAATAGCTAGCAGAATTTCTACACAAGTATCTAATATACTTCTTCCGTTGCAATTTGGGGTTGGTACGAGCTCAGGATGTGATGCAGCTGCACATATAACGCGCATTTATGCTCAAAATACCACAGCTGCCCAACATCTTGTAAAGATCGATTTTACAAATGCCTACAATAGTATTCATAGACAAGTAATAATCTCACAATTTATAAAACATTTCCCACTTTTACAAACTTATCCTCTTATCTTATAAGAAACCATCACATTTGGTATTTGGCCATCATATCCTAACCTCTTCCGAAGGTATTCAGCAAGGTGATCCCCTAGGCTCCATATTATTTTGCCTTAGTATCCATGATTTGATTACTAAAATAAACAATGACTGCACGCTACCCTTACACTTATGGTATATTGATGATGGGGTCATCTCTGGCGAATCTGCAGAGTGATAAAGGCAATCAATATTATTAAGACTTCTACTGACAGCCTCGGACTCGTAATTAATCAAATCAAAACTGAATACTGCGATATTAATACAATTCAGCAAAGCGTTTTTGGTTTTAAGCATGTCCCCTTGAAAAATCTATCACATTTGGGCTCAACCATTGGTGAGGAGTCAGTGAATTCTTTTTTTAGCGATATGGACGATATCTTTGAAAATTAAAACGCATTCTTACATGCCTTTTGGCCCACAAGGCCTTTTTTAATTCGAAATTTCTTCAACATCCCTAAAATCCTTTATGCCCTACGATCGAGCCCATTATTTTTAGAGAGGGAGCATTTAGTGAGATTCGAAACCAGAATAAAAGTCATCCTTAGCGACTGCTTAAATATCAAATTTACAGACATAGCTTGGCATCGAGCCACACTTCCTTCCAAACATGGTGGCCTTGGTATAAGATCCCCATTGTCGATCTCAATATGTGCCTTCATTGCCAGCCACCTTCAGGCACGTATACTAATTGACCAACATCTGTCGGTTCACGATCCTTTTTTGAATACAGCTAAGATAGAATGGGCAAAATCAGTCACAACCTCAACCCTATTTCCGATCTCTGTGATAAAGAAGGATTGGGATTTACCACTTGTGAAAAACTCCGTTGATTACCTTATTTCGAGTCTCTCACTATTGGCTAGAACCACATTTATTGAACTTATCAAAGATCGGGGATATGAATTTTTAGATGTTATTCCATCTACCAATTACAAACTCGAATTGGACAACCATGAGCTCAGTTATGCTTTATGTACCAGGCTTAACATTCCCTTTTCATTACCATATAAATGCAGCAAATGTCATACTGTTGATGACAATATGGCCTTCATCCTTTACATTGCAATCGTAATCCCGGCCGGCAAACTCGACATTTGAAATGCAATCAAATAATATCTCTTGCACTTAGGTCAGCTGGTTTTCCTAACTCAATGGAGCCTACTTGCTTATTTTCCGATAGTAGGCGTCCTGATGGGGTCACACGTATTCCCATGGTCTTAAGGAAAGTTTTTAATATGGGATTTCTCTTGTCTGGACACTAACTCCCCCTCTAATTTTAACAAGGACGCTCTGAACAGAGCTCAAAATTATAAGATCAGCAAATACAGCGCTGATTCCTCAAATTACATATTCATACCCATCATTTGCTCCACCTTAACTACATATGGTGATTTGGCTAAAAACTATTTTAAAGACGTTGGCCACCTAATCAGAAAAAATATTGGGGAGCCTCGCGAAGGTTTTTACTTAAGGCAGAGGATCGCAATAGCCATTCTTAAGGCTGTTTGTTTTATTAATTCGATCTCTCCTGATGATTATATGAAAGAGGTTTTGAATAATATCTGCTGCTTTATGCTTATGCCTCAATATTGTCATTTTGTTATTATGATTATTTTTTTCGTAATTGTTTACTAATTATACTAATTATATATTTTTCAATGATGATTCTTTTATCTTGAATTAATATGGTATTCTAATTATTTCAATTATTAACATTAATATAATATATTTTTATATACCTATTATAATAATACAATGATATTGCTAAAAAAAATTTAAATTTATATTTTATTATAAATAAAAATCTTAGAAATTTTTTTGGGTCCAGTGTAAACTGAAAAATAAAAATTTGAAAATTTCTGCCTGACCAATACAATCCAAAAAAATCTAATATCGTAATCTGATTCAAAATTTGATTTTAGAAATAGATTTTTTTACTTAATACTAAAAATATCTAATGAAATTGGAAAAATTATAAAAACTGAAGGATAATGAACAAATTTTATGAATCTCCTTGAAAATATATTTGTGAAAACACTAAGAAGACAAAATAATTTCAAAATTTGTTGAGGTCAATGTCTAGGTAAATTTTAAAAGCAAGAATAAATCTGACCAAGTTTGAGAAAATATCTATGTAACCAAAGTTGGTTGGTTCAAACTCTGATTGGTACATTCAGTGTTCTAGTATACATGTTAGCTTATCAGCCCTTATACAAACTTAATATTAAAAATGTATAATATGAGCAATATATTTTAAAAAGTATTTTTATATCCCAATTTTTAAAATAGGCCATAAATTCATCCTATTATATAAATATAAACAGATGCCTAGAGTCATGTCTGTATAATATACAACCTGGCCCATGGTAACATGATCGATAAAATATAGGTACAGCCTATTTCTACTGTTAATTTCTTACCTAATTGAACATAAGAATTAAATTCAATTAAAAAAAATATAAATTTTCAAATTTTGACATTCAGAGCACTAAGTAGAAATCACATTATATCAAAATTTCAATAGCCATTGCATGCCTTGTTTTAATTATAATTATAAAGTTATATAACATTAAATCAGAAAAATTGAGTGAGATTTTTTCCCTATTATTTTTAAAATTTGGGTAGCAAACTATGTATCAGGCTTAGATCCAAAATTTTTTACCACTAGGCAGCAAGTGACCTTGGATCAACAAGTTTAAATTTTGTAGGTCTCGTGCTTCCAAAATTAAGTGTTTTTTTATTTTAAAAAATTACCATCTGGAAATATGGTGAGTTTTTGATGCAAAAATATGGTTAGGGTTAGACAAATATATATTTGTCTCAACATCGGCTAAAATATTGAGATAAAATTACAATAATATGTTTGATCTATTTACTTTTGCATACTTTTTTATTTAAAATATAAAGTGTTAATAAAAATTTATCATCTGCATAATTTATTATTTGATCTTGTTTAATCCATTCCTTGTTTGGCTCCTAATAAAATAAATCATTAAAGAAACAAAATAAAGAATAGTTAAAACCTCTGAAAGGTGAAAATTAATTATTTCATCAATATTTTCAAGCCAATCTTTTAAATATTTGTTAATGATAGAAACAAACCTAAAATATAAATCAATCATCATATGATATTTAATTCTTTACTTTTCAAATTCAGAGGAGTCAGTAAAATCATTTATTTCAAATATCTCTGTGTTCATATTTTTCATTTATTCACATCATATATATTATGAATGAATGAATCTACAGCTGTGCCTTATAGCTTAATGTTAGATTATAACATATGTGATATCGAATGATCCAATTTTTAATACGATCGTGATAAAATTTGTTAATAATTTTTTTTTTAAATTTTAAAGAGGGTTATGATACAAATATTATAAATAAAAAATATTAAATCGTATCATAAGTTAATTTTGATAATAATATAATATTATCAGGCGCGTACGCAGCGGGGGAGGGTGGGGGAGGGGGGGAAGTAAAAAAATGCAGATGGTGGATTTTTTTTTCAAAAATATTATTGTTTATATTAATTTATATTTGTTAATATTTATTTGATAATAATATAATATTATCAGGCGCGTACGCAGCGGGGGAGGGTGGGGGGGGGGGGGGGAAGTAAAAAAATGCAGATGCCGGATATATTTTTCAAAAGTATTATTGTTTATATTAATTTATATTTGTTAATATTTATTCCTATCTCATATTAAATATATATTTAATTACATTTATTATCACATTCATAAGTTATTTTATCAATTAATTTCGATTTCAAGTTTTCCGGCGTAATATTTACTAATTATTTTCAAATTTTTAGTGGCATAATATTTATCTACCATTTTCAAATTTCTAATCAAATAATAATTATTTCTGAAACTTCTTGTCCAACAGGGAGAAAGAAATTGCAATCTTGTCCAAGGGATAAAGTCTAGCCATCAAGCATTTACAGCTTTTATGCAGTTAGAAGAGTCGATTATTTGCTATTACTGAAATATCACAATGACCTGAAAGAAATATTTCAACAAGAAAATTATTGGTTTCTGTAATATAAATTGAATTTAAATTGAATATAATATTAACTTTTCGTTTGTAAATTAAATAACCTGAAGGATTGAATTCATGATATATATATACGTGATATTTTGTATTAAATATACTTTTACTTACTTTACCTATTTTACTTATTTAATAAAACACTTCATTGGCGACGATATTTTTAAAGAAGATTTATTTGATTTATTAAATTTAAAGTAAAAGACTCAATGGAAGTAGCTCCTATTAAAGTTGTAGATTCAATGGAAGTAGTCCCTATTAAAGTTAAAGACTCAATGGAAGTAGTTCCTATTAAATTCCATATTCCAGAATTCGTCAAAGAAAAAGTAAATATTCAGGACTACTTATTCAACTTATAGTTAATTTATAAAGTAAGAAATATTATAGATTTAAATACAAAAAAAGACCTGCTTTTAGCCTATATCGGAACAGACAATCTTATCAAAATTAAGAACTTTCACTTTCCAATAAATTTAGAGATGATAAATTATGATACTTTAATAAAAAGCTTAAATTTGGTGTTCAAGGATAGTTCGAGCATTTTCGTAAATAGGAAAATTTTTTTTACGCTAAAAGGATGTAATGAGACGATTATTGACTTTTCAATTAGGGTTAAAACTGTCTGTTCTCTTTGTAATTTTAAACCGCCTTTTGATGAACTTTTAAGAGATATATTTATCCTAGGAGTAGGCTTACCTGAGTTGGACAAAGAACTTCGGTCAAAGTATATCGAAGGCAATATTACTTTTGAAGAGACCGTGCGTTTAGCGATCGCGCTGTCTTCGTTGGAAAATGAAACCCAGACTGAAGTTAATAAAATAATTAAAAATAAGCCAACACAGGGTTCGAAAAATAATTATTTTAGAAATAATAATTATACTAACGTCAATAGATTCAATAATAATAAACACTTTAGTAACAATTATATTCCTAATAATAATTATAGACCTAGTATCAAACCTAACTCTATTCAAAAGAAAGTGATATGCTTTCGTTGCGGTAAGGCAAACCACATAGCGAAAGATTGTAGAACCCATGCCATACAAATGATTCTGCCACGGACACCTCGCCTGTCATTTTCAAATAAAGCTACCATCGATGCGAAGATAAATGGGTTGCAGCTAGCTATGGAGTTTGATACCGGCGCCGCGTGTAGTGTGATTGATGAGGTTACCTGGAATCGTATTGGCAGACCACAACTATCACCGGCTTATAAATTAGTGGGATATAATCATATCCAAATCGAAGTACTAGGTAAATGTACCGTAGAAGTCAAAGAAAATATTTCGAAATTTTACTTATTTGGGTAGTTAAAGGGGAGAATTACCTTATTTTTGGGATGCCTTTCATTAGAGAATTTGATATAAAACTACCGGAAGAAGTTCGTATTAATAAAATAAATATGAATATGAATATTCCCTTTTTAAATACGATTGTTTCAAAATTCCCTCAAGTTTTTAAAAAAAATTAGGTGAAATCAAACTGCAAAAGGCAGTCATCCGAATAGAACCGAACACGTTACCGATTGCATTACCAGCAAGAAGAGTTCCTTTTCCGTTGCGTCGAACCATTGAAGCTGAGTTGGACAGACTTTTAGACGAAGGCGTTATCGAGAAGGTGGATCCAACAATAACTCCAATCACTTGGGCTACGCCAACGGTTAATATCTTAAAGAAATCCGGTGCCGTACGGATATGCGGAGATTTTCGTTTAACAATCAACAAATATCTAGCGATCGATAACGATTTACTACCAACTTTCGTCGACCTAACAAATAAAATCGCGGGTGGTAAAATATTTTCAACAATAGATTTAAGAGATGCATTTTTACAATTCGGAGTTAGTCCAGAATGTAGGGACCTTTTAGTAATTTCGACACATATCGGTTATTACCGATACCAAAGAATTCCATTTGGTTTGACTAGCGCTCCGATAATATTCCAACGCTTTATGAAAAACCTATTAAAGGGAATTCCTATGGTTAGTGTATTTTTAGACGACATAATTATTGCAGGTGAGAATAATTCCGATCATATAGTTAATTTGGAAGAAGTATTAAGAAGATTTGAGAAGGCTGGACTGACCACGACGACCGATAAAATTAAAATCGGAGAAAAGTCAGTCACTTATTTAGGTCATGTTATTGACAGTTTCGGAATTCACCCTACAGAAGATAAGATTAGCGCTATAAAAAATTTTAAAACACCTTCCAATGTTAAAGAACTACGTTCATTTCTTGGAATAGTGAATTATCATGAGGCATTTATTAAAAATTTGCATTCTATTTGTGCGCCTTTACACCGACTAACGAGTAAAAATGTTGGTTGGTTTTGGTCAGCTAAAGAAAATGAAATATTTACTAAAGTTAAAAATATATTGTCAAAAGAAGATACAATAATTCCTTATTCAGCCGATATCCCTGTCGTGATTTCTTGTGACGCTTCCGAAGAAGGTCTAGGAGCTGTTATTGCACACCGATTTCTTACTGGCCAGGAGAAACCGATTGCTTACGCATCGAGGACACTTTCAGCGGCTGAAAAGAATTATGCCACAATTGATCGGGAGGCTTCGGCGATCATGTTCGCTATCGAGAAGTTTCATCAATATATTTTTGGAAGACATTTTATCTTGGTTACTGATCATAAACCATTACAATATATTTTAGGATAAAAGAGATCTTAACAAAATAACAAATAACCGTTTAATACGGTGGGCGACGAAACTATTAAATTATGATTATGAGATAATATATAGACCAGGTAATCAAAATAAATGTGCCGATGCTCTGTCCCGTTTGGGGGTAGAGAAAGCAAAAACCAATGAAGTTACAAAAAAATTCGAAGAAGAAATCAGAGGATTAAAAATTAATTTAATAGAGGATTTATCTTTCACACGCAGTAAAGTCGTAAGTGAAACGAGCAATGATATAAACCTAAAAGAGATTATTAAATTAATAAAAAATCATTGGTATATTGATAATATAAATAATTATTCGGAGATTGTAAAAAAATATATTTCGATTAAAGATAATATTTCGTTCGAAGAAGGATTATTATTTTATAATGATAGAATTATTATTCCAGATAAAAAAGGAGGTTTTATATGTGATTCATCGAGGACATCCTGGGATAGTGGGGATGAAATCATTGTGTAGATATTACGTGTTTTGGACAAATCTCGATACGGATGTTGAAGACTTTGTTAAATGTTGTAAGAGTTGTCAAGAAGGAAGGCCGGGAGCTAAAGAAGTGCCATTATACAATTGGAACATTCCTACCCGACCTTGGGAACGATTACACATTGATTTGACAGGCCCCGTATCTGGAAAATATTGGTTAATTTGCGTAGACGCTTTTACCAAATGGGTTGAAGTTGCAATTTTAACACATATTAATTCGGCGAGTGTAATAAATAATCTGCGTAATTATTTCGCTAGATTTGGGTTACCTCGCTACATTGTCTCAGATAACGGTACTCAGTTTACTGGATCTGAATTCAAAACGTTTCTTTTTAAAAACAATATAAAACCTTTTAGATCGGCCCCTTATAGCCCCAAATCGAATGGTTTGGCTAAACAATATATACGGACGATAAAGACGCGTTTCTATGCTGGAAGGAGATGTGGGACTCCGGACCAGTTAAATTTAGCAAATGTTTTAATTACTCACCGTAATACTCCCAATGCAACTACTGGTAAATCTCCTGCCGAGATGATGTTTGGAAGGTCGCTTAGGACGACATTGGATCAGTGGAAATTATCAACGAGAGAAAGGACGGAAAACGCTCTATGGAAACAAAAGTACTACAAAGATAGAAGTGTTGAACCTCGGGAGTTTGTAGAGCAGCAAAAAGTTTGGATAGCAAACGAAAGGACAGCAGGGTGGCATGAAGGAAAAGTGTTACAACGAAAAAGCGCAATATTGTACGATGTGGAATCAGAGGGGATCGTTAAAAACAAGCATGCAGATCAATTGAGGGATGCACATACACAAGAGAAGGAAATACCCGTTACGTTGACCGAAGAAGTGGAAAAGGCAGAACATGAGAATACAACTCTTGAAAAAAGAGTTTCGAAACCCCCATTACGTTATCACGATGAATTCAATTTATAGTGGGGAGAACTGTAATATAAATTGAATTTAAATTGAATATAATATTAACTTTTCGTTTGTAAATTTAATAACCTGAAGGATTGAATTCATGATATATATATACGTGATATTTTGTATTAAATATACTTTTACTTACTTTACCTATTTTACTTATTTAATAAAACACTTCAGTTTCAATGCTTATTCCAAATTTTTTTTCTCATTAGAATGTATTATTTAATTGTACAACTATTTTATATATTACTTTTCAAAAACACGACTTGACTTGATTAAGAAGATTAGAATAGTGGAGAGCATTTTATTAGAACTCAAGAAAATTAGGGCTAATGTTGATGAAGAATTTCATATTTTATATGTTATTGTTGAGTCAAAAGTAGAGCTATACGTGTTAAATATTTGTATCCCTCGACTTGCAGCAAGGCAGGCTCTTCGTTAACACATTAATATAGGATCAATGGAAGAATATATCTTAGATACAGATATATTTATAACCCAAAAATGAATGGTTTTTAATTCATCATGCAGCACTTACCAATCTGCAAATATTACTTCTACAAAAGCCTTCTAAATCTTTTTCAGATGGTGATAGAAAAGAAAATATTTGTTAGATTTTTATCATGAAGATGTTAAAGTATCTTATGATGCCTTTATAGCTGAATACCTATGTTTATAAGATTAACTATGGTTGATATAGTCCCAAAAAATGTTATGGATGCTCTGCATTATTTCAAACACATTTTAGATTAATTCCCAATGTATTAAAAGGGTTTATACATATTAGCAACTCTTCCCATTAGTGAACTAATGAGAGAACATTTTCTTTTTTAAGAAGAATAACAGAGCCCTGCTAAGGTACTATTTGCGGGGCACGGCCCGGATTTTATTTAAAATTTTTTACGGCCCGGCTAGGTTTTTTTTAAAAAAAATTTCAGGCCTGGCCGAGCTTTTTTTAAAATAAAATTTCAGGCCCGGCCCAGATTTAAAAAAAATAAATTATATCTATTTTTGATTTTTTTAGCTAATAATAACGTTTTCAAATATATCTGTTTTAAAATAAACAGGCCGGTCTGGATATTTTTTTTAAAAAAATTTTAAGGCCCGGCCTGGATGTTTTTTTTTAAAATTCAAACCCGGCCAGGGTGTTATTTTAAAAAATATCGGGCCCGGCTGGCCCGGTATATTTAAAAAAAAATTAAAATACGTTCCGGCCCAGAGGGTGGGCCAGGTGGTCTCTGAAAAACATACCAAGAAGTACAACTTCTAAAAGTAGATTGAAAGGTTGGGATTTATAGGCATTTGATGACAAGCAAGGATGAGATAATTGAAAAATTAGCTCAATCCCAACGAAGATTTGATTTTACATTATACAAAATCAATTATTCCTATGATACTTTTTGTGTATTAATTTATATTTCCAACATTTAAATTTTATATATATATATAAATTTTAAAGATCAAAAAATTCAAATTTCTATTTTGTGTCATTTAAGTGATTTTTATAGTGGTTATATTCACTTTGTATTTTATAATTCACATTTATTTTTTAGTTACATATACCGCCAGTTATATCCGTTTAATATTATTTAATTCACATTATTTTATAGTTTTTTATATGCCGGTTTATACATATAATTTTTTTTATAACTCTAATTAATTTAAAATTTTGTATTAGAAATAGTTATTAGTCCTAATAAATTTATGCTTGATATTTTTAAAAAACAATAATATTCCTCAATAAATTTAATTCCCCCCCCCCCACCCCTCCCCCTTTAAACCAAATTCCTGCGTACGCGCCTGAATATTATTAACAATAAGTAAAAAATATAAATATATTTAAATAATTTTAATAAATATTAGTAATTAGTCTGGGCATATTTTACAGAACTCTGAAGTAAGTTAGCCGATCAGAATTAATCGGCGCACTTTTGGCCTTAGCCAAAAAAAATCGTCTAAGACTTAGCTTTATAGAAAAAATCGGATAGGATGTCGATTGCCTATATTTAATTAGTAATTGTTATTGGGTTTTAATTAGTGTTGTTAAATGACTAAATTTGAGCAGATTTTTAAAAACGCTGAACATTATTTTAGCCAGAAAATTGTCTAAATATCGTGATATCGCTAATAGATGGGCATTAATGCCATATATAACCAAAATCATCATGCTTGCGAAATATTTTTCTGGATAAAATCTTGAATCAGCCCGTTAACAACACTAGTTTCACTTATATTTTCCCCTATAACAAAATACAAAATGTTAGCAAGGGTTTAAATTTAATTTAAGAGCCACCCCAATTTTTCAGTAGTGTTACTAGGTGCCCCTAAAAAAATAAAATATTTTTAAACTTAAAATGTTGGACAAAAAAAGGAATTTTGAAAATTTTAGCTTAAAAACGGTAATTCTGAAAACGTTAACTAAAAAAAGATAATTTTGATAATAGTTTTTAAACATTATTTGAGCCCGTTGAAACAAAGGTTAATGATGCCTCAAATCTGAAATCAATTGTATTATAGACTGCCGTCAGTTTACTTTTTTCTTATAAATTTCGATTTATTATATGAAAACTAGATCATCTTTTAAAAATCGAAATAAAGAGAATGATCTTACTATTAATAATAATATAGTCAATTCTAAGGATTCGAAAACTAAAAAAGTTATAAAAAAAAGTATAATTAAGAACGTAAATGATTTGCCAAGAAGTTTAGATCAAAAACGATTTAGAGAAAACAATGAGCTATCAGTTTCATTAGCTAAAAACAAGGCTAAGCGCTTAAGAGAGGATGGTATAGTTTCCAACAATGGTATATCCATGATTAAGAATGAACTTTCCTTCGAAAATATTTCCATATTAGGCATAAATTCTATTAATTTAAATAAAGTTGCTGTTAAGACTTCAGAATCAGAAGATATTCCTAATACTAATATATCTCTTGATTTGGTGAAGTAAAATTGAAGACACTGATACAGAAATTGAAGATTGGGAAGAGGTTATGACCAGTTTTAAACCCAGAAAATATGCAAATGGTATATTATGAGATATAATTTAAACTTATATATTTTGAATTTAGATCTTTATTTTTCTCAAATTATTTATAATTATAATATAAATTTTATTATATAGAATTAGATAGTTTTGATGAAAATTTGATCAAAAAATTGTCACAAGAAAAAGGTCAAGTTGAGTCTTATATGGATTTTATTACAAAAGAAGATATTTTAATACCAAAAGTTGAAAATGATAATGTTATAAAAGACATCCCAAATATTGAAATCATTTTAAAAATAGTGGATGGCAAGCATAATAAAAATTGGTATGCCATTTTATATTTTTCTTATATTAAATATGTTTAAATGGTCTAATAAGTGTAGGAATAGAGGAGATTGGAAAATGTGTAGTTAGGAAAAAAATTAAAAGATTTTAAAAAAATTTTAAGGCAAAGTAATAATTTATAATTAAATAATAGGCAAGAAACTGAATCTCAGGAAGAGAAAAAATTACTTTTGCAAAAAATAAAGGAAAAACTAAGAATTCAAAAAAAGTTGGCTTTACTTGAAAAGATCCACAAGGTTTTACTTTTACCTATTTGCTGCTTTCCATCTTTATATTTAAAATAAAAAATTATCCACTAAAGAAGGAGAGATTTGTTATAGTGAAATAGATATACAAATATAGATATTTTTAAATCAGTTTGAAACTGAATCTCATGATTTGGGATAAATCTTTGAACAAGAATACATCCTGATGTGTCTAAGAAATGGGATTAGAACCAGAATTGGAACTAAAAACTGAGACAAATTTATGAATAAAAACTTTTTTTAAAAAAAATATATATAGGAACCATAACCCATTTTAAAATTTTTAAGCTAACAAAAGTGCAAACAATTTGTGTATATATTGTTTAAAAAAAATTATTTTTTTTGTATGTTTTTTTAAAAATTACTTTTAGGTTTATTCCCAAATTTTTTATGTTTGTTAAATTTTTATAATTTTCTAGAATCATATTTTGGACATGTTTTTATTTTAAAAAAAGAGATTTTTTTTTCTCAAAAGTATACAAATCAATTTTTTTTTTGATTTGGACACAGTCTTAACAGATTTTGGAAAACAATGTATCTAAAACCCAGAAACCAGAATTTACTTTTTGAAATTGTAGGAATTATAAACCGCTTATAAAAAAAATAAAATGGAAGCCAGAACTTTTTTTCTAAAATTCTAATAAAAATAAGTACAGCTACATATTAGATATTTTGGATTCCATTTAAGAGGTGTTTATTTATTGTGAATCCTTGAAATAGAAATCTTAGGACTGGGTCAAATCTAAGAACAGACTAGAAGTATAGATCATCATCTCAACAATAAAAAAAAATTATAGAAATGAGAAAATCTGATCTTTAAAAGTCCTAATAATTTTTTTGTTAAAAAAGACGAAATCCTATATTAATTACAAAACTATAATGAAATGCCAAAATTTACACATTATATTACAAACAATGATCCAATTTTTTTTAAAGGAAGAGTTATACATTTTTTTACAGAACTTTTTGAAAAATGTTATTTAATAATAAAAAGGGAAAATATTTGTCTGAAAATTATAGGAAACATATTTATTTTCGAACTGGAGAAAAAATATATAAATGTCACTTGGAAAACAAATTTCGAAAATATTGATTTTAAATTTTAGAAAGAAAGAAAAATAGGCAAAAAAAATTTAAGGGAAGGATTAATCATTTATTGGTAGTATTGTATGTGTTCTGGAACTACATTCGTTCTTATGCAAAAAAAACATAATGGCGATCATTTTTTTGGTGAACTAAAGAGAAGAGGTTTTATATTTTTTTAACGATATTATGTTTTATTACTTGTTAAATAGTTATGGAGTTTATTAGACGCAATTTGCCATTATGATAAGCGATTATATATGCAAAAAGCACACCAGCTAATGTCACTAAAAAAATGGCGGTCATTTATTTTGGCGAACTAAAAGCGCTTAGGATTTATATTTTTTTTAATGATCTCTCGATATTTTGTCTTATTACTTCGTTAAATATTTATGGAGTTTATTAAACTTCCATTGAGGCAGGTTATTCTTTACGCAAAAAAGGACACCAGCATAATTATTATTAAATAAAAATTAAATATCAGCTGGGTTCCTGTTCCCATAAATTTTATAAAGGAGGGTCTTTTTAGGGTTTATAGACTTGACTCTGTTTCCGGTCCTTTCCGAACTCTGATTTTTAAGAGTTGATTCTGACAAGGACCAATATTTAATTTATTTATATTTTGAATTGTTTCCAAGGCTGCATTTATAGTATACCCGATACGCTCAAGGGATGCGAAATTATTTCGCTACGCAATTTACCTGATCAAACGAAATGATGAAATCGCGTCAATTGCTTACCTATATTTTGAAAAAATATTATTGCCGTGGTTAATGATTAAAAATCGCTCCGTTTGAGCCGATTTTTAAAAACGGTGAACTCAATATTTAAACTAGAAAAATATTGCTCATGTCTCGAGATTTCTCTAATAGATATTCAAACCCCTTTGTGCCATATATGACCAAAATTTTCAGGCTTACGTATATTTTTCTAGCTAAAATAGTAGCCGTTTTTTAAAATCGGCTCAAATGGAACGACTTTGCATTGCATCACAAGCTGCGATTAATCTAAGCTGTTATTTCGCTAGCGATTAATTTCGCATCGCTTGAAACGCGTTTACCATAAATGCAGCTTAAGGATTAGGGATGAAAAAATAACCTTTTGCGGGATATAAGGGTGGGGGGGAGTGGCAACGTAAACGATAAACGCTGTTTAAAAAAAATTATCACTAACTTTGGTTGTTGTAGAAAATATCTATTTAAACGCTTTTATCAAAAAAACGGCTAAATAAAGATTTTAACCAAAAAATATGAAGCTTCAAGGTTTGGTCAAAGGAGGACCAATCTGTCATCTATATGACAAGTATCGCAGATTACCGTAAAAATGAAAATTTAAGCTTGTTTTTTAACCCATTTTATGTTTGTTTGAAAAAAAAACAGCAACATATTTTAAGCGCCAAATACGGCGATATCGTTCAAGCGGTGCATATTTAATCGCTAATCGATTGCATCGCTATCATGATATATTTTTAAAAGTATAGCATCTTCAAAACGTAGCCTTAAAATAAATGGGGTCTTCGCCTATACCCATTTTGCCGCCTAAAAGAGAAATTTGAATAGCAAATACTTAAATTTTATAATAAATAAGCAATTTTAATAGAAATTATAAATACATGAGCTAACTACTATTGTTAAACAGCCCTATTAAGATTTTAGTCAAAATATATTATGAAACCTGGAGATTTTGCTCATAGATGGAAGAAAGGTTTGGACTTATATTGCCTTATTTTGGCTAAAACTTAATCGGGTCACACACTACAATCAATAAGTTTTATCTAATAATATCAAATAATACCCAAATGATATAATAAATAAGCAATTTTAATAGTAAATTAAAAAATTTAATAGTAAATTGATCAAAAGTTCTAACAAATTACCAAAATGATTCTAATAATTAATATTTTTATTACTTTTGACATATACGACGTTCTGAAAGCCTTTTGAGATTTGTTCAGAACAACCAATTAACAATTACATACAACACAAATATTGAAGTCAAAATAATTGGCCTTCCATTATGCCCTCCCTCTAAAGTATTAGAGGTGTATCAACAACTTAAAAAGTGTGGGGAACAGTTAAACATATCCCTTTACATTCTTTTTCTTGTTTAATGCATATATTAAATCCACTGTTCTATCTAATACACGCTTTTGGAATGAATGTGACATAAAATCCCCCCACACTAATAATGATGACGAGCGGTTCCATAGCGGGTTTAAGCTTTTATTTTACTCATCTAGCCTTGTTTTATACAAGTTTAAATTTATTGATGGTATAAAACTTCTCCAACAAAAATGAAAACAAATTTAAACAATTATCTTATAACATGGATCCTGCTAAAGAAAATCTTAAAATATAAAAAAATATATATATAAACAAATTCTCATAAATAATTTTAAATATACTCCTAACGCTGGTATAATTGTATACTTTTAAATATAATTATTTTGAATTAATAAATTTATACATTTGGTACTTTTGCCTTATTTACTAAATTGTTTATTTATTATATAATTTGGGTATTTGCTTTTTTTGGTATTTTTAGGCAAAAGGACTTTTTGACAATTGCTAGTACTTTTGCTTTAATTTGGGTATTTCCTTTTCAATGTGCTCTTTTATCAATTTTGGGCAAAACGGCTTTAGGCGAAAAATCTTCTAACAAAACGATCTCTTTATTGGCGAAATGGCTCTAGGTAGTAGTGTTGTTAAACGGCTCGTTTTGAGCCGATTTTTAAAAATGGCTAACTCAATATTTCATCTAAAATAATATTACGCAAGCCTGAAGATTTTGTTTGTAGAAGGAACAAAGGTTTGGACATCTATCAGCGAAATATCGAGGTTTAGGCAATATTTTTCTGGCTAAAATAGTGAGCTAGCCGTTTTTAAAAATCGGCTCAAAACGAGCCGTTTAACAATACTACTAGGTAGGCAAAGCTCACCCCAACCAAATGAATATATTTTCTTATATATAAATTTTTTTTTTTAGTATTATTATTTATTATTATAATTCTTAAAGGCACATTTGTTAACTGTGTTAGCCCACGCGCATTACATTAATACGAGGATATGTAACGATACAGCCTTCAGAGGGGCTATGTTAGCCTTGCTCGCGGACACGAAAAATACTGAGAATTCCATTTATAAAGAGAAAATCGTACCTATCCCCGGTAAAAAAAAATATAAAGATTTTGTTAAATTTTTTTTGATATTCATTTAAAAAAAATAAATATATTTTTATACATTTTCGCGAATAAACTCTACCTTTGTTTGAAGGAAAAGGAAGATAGATAGATAATATATAGTAGAGACCTGCAGAGGCACCATTTTCACTGCCCGGCTCGGATTTTTTTTAAGATTATTTTTTATTCAAGGCCGGGCCTGCAGGTCTCTGATATATAGATAGAAAAATAGAAAGGATTATGTTAATTCATGTTTCTTTATCTCGATTTCGAGATATCTTCTTTTTTTTCAAGAGAATATACAATACAATTTTTAACTCTAAATGATTAGGAATAAAACTCGAACCCAAACCTAAAATAAGGATGACCACCCGAAAGTCCAAAGAAGTTGAAACGGCTAAAAACAATCACAAAAAAGCTATCGAGAAAGAAGAGACGAAACCAACAATTTACTCCTCATTTAAGGATAAGATAGATGTACCATCCTTAATAAAATGGATTCAGGTATTTATTTTATATATTATTACATTAATTATTCAATTATCAAATCAATATTGAATCATATAAATATTAATTATTATCATTGCTGTTTAACGCAACCTTTTTTTTATAGTTCACTACCACTAACTGCTATCTCGAAAAAATTACTATCGCTTGTTATATTAGAATAAAGTAGATTTGAAAAGGTAAAATCATGATCTAAAAAATAAATTTTATTTATAAATATATGTTATGTAAATATTATGTGTCGTGTTTTAATTTTATTAAATAAAAATTTTTTTCATTTTTAATAGAAATAATTAATGTTTAATAATTGTAATTGTATTATTGAAAATTTATTAAGATTATCATTGAGGATTTGGCTGTTGTTCTTCGATATGTTTTAGATGACGGGACATTGTATGAAAGATGTATTGAATTCTTTGACGTTACTATGCATCGAGATGCTGATTCTTTATCAAAATTTATCATTGAATTATGATAAATAAATTATGAAAAAATGAATAGGTCAAAGTTACGATGGCGCAGCAGCTATGTCAGGCGATTCACATGGACTTCAAGCGAAAATAAGAGACGTTAATCTTTCAGCTTTATATTCATTACTCATAAGTTAAATCTTATATTATCAAAATCCTGCTGCAAAATTAAAGAATGTAAGTTTTTTTCCCCGTAACTTTATCTATTTAGCCAGTTACATCATCTAGGAGAATAAATGAATTTGATAAATATATCAAAAAAATATTATAACGAGTAGCCCCAACGAGATGGGAATACAATGGTCAGCTGGTTCAAACAATTTTCAATCTGAAGGATCTAGCCGTTTGTGTTGAAACTATGATTGATGGAGAATCTGATACTGTTTGAGATAATGATCTTCTAATAACACCTCGTGGCTATTTAAATATATTTAATGATTTAAATTTCTAATTTTATGATATTTCTTTCAAGAATTTTTCCCAGAATCTGATTTATTATATGATATACTTCAAACTTAAATTAACGATATATCTTATTATTGTCCGAAAAGTATTAACGATTTTAGAAATTCAGTTAAATCAAACAAAGAAAACTTTGATGTTTTTTGGAGAAATTTAAATGTAAAAGAGAATATTGAAGACAATTTAGATAAAAATCATAATAGATCCGGATTGCCCAATATAAAAAAATTTAATTAAGATAACAGATAATATATTCAATGAAAATTGATTTTCGGTACATTAAAAAATATCAAATTCGTCAAATTGTTAGATAATATTATGTTCCAAATATTAGATCAAAATTTCCCAAAAATTTATTAGATAATTTAAATGACGCTTATCCTAATTTTTCGACTTACACAATCTGGAAACCGATATAAAGGTAGTGTTTCGGGACGATGAATTTAGAAAGAAAAAGAATGTCAGTTTTTATGTGTATCGATTTAATGAAAGCTTTTAGAGAGTTTTATAGATTATGCAAATTTATCCTAACTTTGGCTCCAACAACAGCAAGTGCAGAACGGGGTTTTTCATCTTTAAAAAAATTCGAATCTTATAGCAGAAAACGGATGAGTCAGAATCGATTATCAAATCTATTTTTGATTTCGATTGAAAAAATTTTTTTTTTTAAATTTAGCAATAACTTTTATAATTCAGGGCTTGATCATTTCACTCAAAAACAAAGACGAAATCTATTTATTTTATAATTAAAATTAAAAAAAAATATCTATTGCTTCCCTAGGAGTAAACTTGACGCTTCGTCACTGATATGTACAATAATAAACATTAGCCAATTATAATCTATTTTAGCGTTAAGATAAAATATGGCGAAACGCGTATTCACATCTAATAAAATTTAACGTTAAGATAAAATTATAACACGAAACATAATTTTTACTTAACATATCATCGGTCTAGAATTGGAATGCTCCAATCGACATTTTCAAAATTTTTGAGTTAGAAGTGTAACTTATTGATTCCCAATATATATATAAATAAAAACTAGATTAAAAAATATTAATTTTTGCCAAAGTTATAGCTCTGTCAAAATTGATCAATAAGCTTTCCCTATATTTGATTTTAAACTTTAATGTTGATTTTCTCATTTTAAACATTTGCGCAAGTGGAGTACTCCAATTCTAGGCCGACGATATATTCATAAAGAAATATTCAAATAATATTTATTTTTTTAGATTATTAATATACTTTTTCAAATCGACTTTATTCTATCCAAAATTTTTACGGCTACAGTTACTTTATACATATAGCATCAACATTTCATTAGTTTAAGAAATATGATCAGTTTCGCTACAAAAAAAAATAAGAGGAATTAAAAACAGTTTATGTTCATTAGAATCGCGGAATTGATTCATTCATTAACTGAGTTAGTTTTTTGTTGAACGGTCGGCAAATGACGATTGGTTGAATGAATGCCGTTGGTTGGAAGTGAAGGGAACAAAACAAGATCTAGAGGGCGACCAAAGACCAGCTGGATAAAACTCATAGATGATGACATGAAATTGATAGGGTTGACAAATGCCGATACATACTACCGCGGCAAATAGTAAAGGAGAAGATAGATTACCAGGGTAAACCCGGAAAAGAGCTGAAAACGCTAAACAATTTCCTTTTTTTTTCTTTATCCCATCCGGAATTCGTGATTACGCTTAAATTTTCTATTTAACCCTCATTTCAAAATATTTGAAATTTAAAATTTAAGAGAACGTTCACTAGACCGTCCTTCGATATCTTACAAAATACGAACGCAAAGTTTCCTTATAAGGACATCAGATCTCTCATGATGCTAAGCGTGTATCGTAAAATTGACCCGGACTTCCTCATATCGTTCAATCGCCAAAACGCCGAAAATATTTTCCGTAAATCTTCTACCGAATCGTCCAATTCTAGGCGGGAGTTTACCGCGGATCCCTGCGGTTACCTGAACATAATAGCGGTCATCTTATTGAGGACGTTGGGCATCCCAGCTCGATTGATCATTAACATCAAGCCCAGTTCTCTCAAACTGCCTCAATCCAATGTATCCCAAAAAGGTTTGCGTAGATCGTTTTATAATATTACTTTTTAAGTCATCTGATAACATTAACTCTGATACTTATTTAAAGCTCGGTTATGTAGTTAGTAGAAATTTTTTTAAGAAAATGAGGTATTTAGGGTGCTTTTGCTCCAAATCATATTTCCATCATTAAATTATTAAATTTATAATTCCCCCCCCCCCTTCCCCTAAAACAAAATTTTTCGCAAAATAGGATGTACTTAGTTATTTTTTTCATATATGCATTGGGGTTAGTTATTAGTAATAAAATCCTTTCATTTTATTTATTTTCAAATGGAACTATTATGAAAATCTATTTTTTTCAGAGTTTTCTTGCAATATTAGTTTTAAAACCTTATTCTTCCCAATCATCTACCCTGATCCGGCTTATAAATAGGCCCATACAGGTATAAATCATCACCATTTTTCTACCTTAGATTCATCCGTGGTCATTCACTAAGTCTTTCCACGAGGTTTTTTGTTTATATTTGACAGGCATATTTTCTTTGATTAATTCGATTTAATTTAATATCTATTCTAAGACTGACGTTGGTGGGGGATAGGGTGTTAATATCGTTATTTTAAGGTTTTAATTATGATTTACTGCCAATTTTTTCCCCCATTAACCTAGGAATCCGAGGATACGTTCCTTCTTAAAAGGACTTGTATTGGGGATTTGATTTGACTGAGCAAAGGTGGTGTGATTTGGATTATATTATGTTACATTATTTAACCTATTTTTGAATGCAAATTTGATATAATAAAATATTCCTTACCTCGACTGACGAACCAATTATTCTTACATAGGGAAATTTGGCTTATCTCACTACCATAGGTGATTTCTCTATTTTAAGTTGCTTAAGCGAGTTTTAAAAAAAGACGATTAAAGTCTAGTTTCTAGCCCCAAAACTATCACGTCAGTCTCTGGTTGTTTTTTTTCTTCTTGAAAATGCAGATCAACAGTTAAAGAAGATAAATCAACTTGCGCCTCAATGCTTTATAAGTAGTATCTTTATTTATCGCCTTTAAAACTCCAAATTATATTTAAAATTATTTCCACCATGGAAGGGTCTGTTATTTTAAAAAAATTATATATATAATCGGATTAACAACTGATAAAACTATTTTTTTAAAAAAATATTTAAAAAAACGTGTTTTAAGATGTTTTTTTTTAAAAAAATAGTATTAAAAATATGTTTTTTTATATTTATAGATAAATCGGAATCAAAAAAATCTCCACAAAATAAGCCAAACGCACAACAATCATCTCATCACAATATCCAATATTGGCTCGAAGTTGAAATAGAGGAATCTCGAAGTATTTTTGATTCGAAAGAATATTTTTTACAAAATTTGATCTTATTTCTCACGCGTGCAAATTTTTTTTTCTAAAAAGATTTTTACTCATTCATTCACTTTCTTCTATTTCATCGTGTAATAGCGGTTTTCTAGATTTGACCTGGTTAATCCAGTTTCCGCTTCTGGTCTCCCTTTTCCATCTTTTACGGTCCTGGACTTCTTCATTTGTAATGGTGCACATAAATTGAGCGTTTGCGATTCGCCGTAACTCATCCCTTGTTTAAATTTAGGTTTCCTTTATATTTAGAAATATCGTCGGTTCAATTGGTTTTTATTGATTATAATTATCGTCTGCCTTTTTATTTCGTTAATTTCTAAATATTCCATTTTGAAAGATAAGTATATAATATTAAATAGTTTACATATTTATATTATTTTAAACAATTATGGAAAGATTTTTAGTTGCCCTTTATTATTCTTATCTGGGTAAAAATATTTTATCGGCTTTCAACCAAAAAAACTCGAGTTCTTTAAGAGTTGTTCGTAAACTAACTTGCAAAATGAATGAAAAAAAGTATTAAATTCCAACGCCAATTAGTAAATTGACTGATGTTACATGACACCATTTCGAAATGCATTATTTGCAATTGTAACAGAGTTTTCTGCCGAACGCATAATTTGTGCCCATTATAAGATACATTATTCTCATGTAATTCGTTATCACGTTCATCCTCAATAGTATTTGACATTTTTTTAAGTCTTTAACAGATTTTACTTTTTAACGTTATGATTTCGATATAAAACGTATTTATTATTATGAAAAAAAAGGTTTTAGTATAGCATTAAAATCATTACCAAATTCGAAATTTTGCTTGAAAGTCAAACTAATCAATTGATGAAGGTTTGACCTTACCCAGAATATTGTATTTATATTTGTCTTTCTTAATACCTCATTTTTTTTGAGCATATTCGAGTATTAATTACTTATTAAATTTATTATATATTTCGGCCATTTTTTATAATAAATCCCCCAAAAAACAAGAAAAATCTGCAAATTCTTCCAAAAAAATTGCTAAGACCAATGCCAATCTGAACAAATCTCAAGGTGACGATATCATCGACGATACCAATAATTTTAGATGGCAAGTCATTAATTGCGTTCTGGACCTCAATAATTCTTCCCCTCAAAAAGATGTCAAAATGGGAGGCGGGAGATCGAAAATCGCGAATATCGCTTCGTTATCTACCCCACCATTTTTGGGGAAAAATCTTTCCGACCCGCACTACCGAGAAACCCAATCGAAATATTTTACCGATGCCGGTTTTAAAGGAGCCGGAAATGTTTTTGACACAAAAAATTTACCAGAAGGAAAACTCAACAGCTTGGGCATACCCAAACCCATATCCTACGTCATAGGTTTTTTAAAAAAATATATTATGCATTATTTGTTGTCACATTGTCAATACCTTAAAAAAATATAGTATGTAACTAAAAAAATATCCATGTTGAAGAAAGTAAGTAAAAAGTATTAAGAATCTTCCCCGTTTGAATTTTATTTTTTTCTCAAAAATCTTCAAACAAATTATTTTCAATCTTTATATCGAGAAAAAAAACTATTATTTTTTATATTTTTTTTCGCAAATATATATTTTTTTCAAGGAATTTTAGACGGTAGGCACATTGGCGTACGCAGCGAGGGAAGGGGATAGGGGGACAAATCCCCCCCCCCCCCCCCAAAGCCAAAAAATGCAGATGCCGGATATATTTTCAAAAATATTATTGTTTATATTAATTTATATTTTTAATATTTATTCCTATCTCATATTAAATATATATTTAATTACATTTATTTATCACATTCATCTATTAAGTTATTCTATCAATTAATTTCGATTTCAGGTTTTCATTGGCGTAATATTTACCTATTATTTTCAAATTTCTAGTGGCATAATATTTATCTACCATTTTCATATTTCTAGTCAAATAATAATTTTTCTGAAACTCCTTGTCCAACAGGGAGAAAGAAAGTGCAAGCTTGTCCAACGAGATGGAATCTCCGCCATCAAGCAGTAACAGCTTTTATGGAGTTAGAAGAACCGATTATTAATGCTATTACTCAAATATCACAATGGCCTGAAAGAAATATTTCCTCAGAAGCAAGAAAATTATTTGATTCAATACTTATTTCAATTTTTTTTCTCATTAGAATGTATTATTTAATTATACAACTATTTTATGTAATACTTTTCAAAAACATGGCATTGACTTGATTAAGAAGATGAGAATAGTGGAGAGCATTTTATTAGAACTCAAGGAAATTAGGGCTAATGTTGATGAAGAATTTTAATTTTATATGTTATTGTTGAGTCAAAAGGAGAGCTATACTGTTTAATATTTGTCTCACTCGATTTGCAGCAAGGCAAGCTCATCGTCAAAACATTAGTATAAGATCAGTAGAAAAGTATTATAAAACTATAATCCAAATAAATGAATGATTTTTAATTCATCATGCAGCACTTACCAATCTGCAGATATTACTTCCACAAAAGCCTTCCTTTCAGATGGTGATAGAAAAAAAATAATATTTGTTTGATGCCTTATTAGCTGAATAAATATGTTCAAAAGATTAACTAAGATATAGTCCCAAAAAATGCTATGGATGCTTTGTATAATTTCAAACATATTTTAGATTTTATTCCCAATGTATTAAAATGATTATATATATATATTAGCAATTCTTCCCATTAGTAAACTAATGAGTGAATATTATCTTTTTTAAGAATAACAGAGCTCTGCAGATATACAATTTGCAAGGCACGGCCTGGATTTTTTTCAAAAATTTTTTCGGCCGGCCCGGGTTTTTTTTAAAGAAATTTTCAGGCTTGGCCCGGCTTTTTTTAAATTAAATTTTTCAGGCCCGGCCCGGATATTTTTATAAATTATATTTATTTTTGATTTTTGTAGCTAATTTCAAATATTTAGTTTTAAAATATATAGCCGGGCCCGGATAATTTTTTTTAAAAAAATAATTCGGACCCTGCCCAGGTGTATTTAAAAAATTAAAATTGTCCGAGAACCGGGCCTACAGTTCTCTGAAAACACTAAGAAGTACAACTTCTGAAAATGGATTGAATGGTTTGGATCTTTTAAATATTTATAGGCATTTGACGCCAAGCAAGGATGAGTAATTGAAAAATTAGTTCAATCCCAACGAAGATTGGATTTTACATTGTAAATATATAACATACAAAATACAATTATTCCTAAGAAACATTTTGTGTAAAGGCTCAAAAAATTCAAATTTCTATTTTGGGTCATTTAAGTGATTCTTATGCTGGTCATATTCACATTATATTTTTTTAATTTGATATTTATTTTATAGTTTTTATGTGCTGGTTTATATATATAATTTTTTTATAATTCATATAATTTAAAATTGTGTATTAGAAATAGTTATTAGTCCTAATAAATTTATGCTTGATATTTTTAAATAACAATAATATTTCTTAAAAAATTTATTATCCCCCCCCCCCCCCCAGACCAAATTCTTGCGTACGTGCCTGGGTAGGCACTATCAAACTTAAAGCTAAAATCGAAATTTGAAATATAAAAACACACAAACATGGTCTGAAGGAGATCAGTTTAATAAATAAAATCGAAATATGCATGCGCCTAATAATGTTGAGCTTATGAAGCCTCAGCACTTATACCGTTTCGTTATTACCCATATCAGCCAATCCTTTTTGAACTTGTCGGGTTTGTGAGTTAAGCCCAACAGGGCGTTGATTTTTAAGATCCGTACTGTTTTATGGTTTGCCTCTCTGATGATGGAATATAAAATCTTCTGATGCTTGTTTTATCAATAAACAAACAAGAGTAAAAAGAAAATGTGAAAAATCCATTTTGAAATTCCAAAAATAATTTTTAGGTAAAGATCAATATGATAAATCAAAATTATTACAGTATCTAATATATACATACACTGCGACCCAATTGAAATGATAATTTTTTATTTGAGCAATAAATCTGTCAATTCTAAAAATAAATTCAATAAAAATTTATAGATAATGTTTTCTGCAAATTTAATTTAATTCTATCAACAGGGTCCAAAGTATACACTTTCTAAATTGCACAAACAAAATTCTAATTTTGCAAACTGCATACATTATTTACTAAAAAAAATATGGCGTCATAATAACGACATTTCTACTTAAGCAGACACTAATAAGACAAATATATTTCAGTAAAGATGATTTAAGTTTTTGATTAAAATTTTAAGACAAGAAAAACATTACAGAGCTTTGAATGAATTTCCCAACATAAACTCGTCTATCGCAGCCTTGAATCGATTGATTGCAAAAATTGCTGCTATCGCATTGGCAGAGAAACGGTATGGTGCAGGGCTGAATCCCCTTAAAAATTTTATTGTTGTTTCTTTTTTTTCTTCCTTTGATTCTTAAAAGGTAATGATCACAATTAATATTATCCTCATAATCACTTAAATAAATTATAACCATTATAGATATATAGAGTAACGAATAACGTTAAAAATAAAAGCGGTACTCTAACCCGTTACTTTTTCATGGTAGTAGCGTCGTTACCTGATTTTTTGGAAATAGAGTAATAACGGCCTACCTTTTATGGTGTTACTATACATATTTAATATCATGCCGGCGCGTTGTTAATTAAACCATGAATTCTAAATCTATTTTATTTTTATTCGCATTTAGGTTTAAACGAGGAAAACATTATTCTGGACCTAACCCTCAAATACAGTCACGATTGGCACTTCAACGGCCGCAAGTTCAGGATAAGCTCCAAGAGTCCACACAAACATTGGTGGGATAAAACGTTGTCGAAATTGAATCACCTCAGTTTTCAGAGATTAACACTTTCCAAAAATAAGGATACATTTGCCGAAAAATTAGTCTCACTCGCGAAGGTTTGCGAAAAGCCCCGTAAACGATTTGCTAAAAATGAGGGCAAAGGAGGAAAAGAAAATATCCAATCGGTGTCCGATAAAATGCCGATTGTCATCTCAAAGAAACGGAAATCTTTGGCCGTTATTAACAAGGAAGTCGGCCAGGAAATATTGAGTAATAAACATTATTATGCGTTTAATCAATTAACGACTATAGTTTTTAATATTTATATATATTTCTTTCCTTTTTGATGGAGGGGGGAGGGGTAAATATGAGGCCACTTATTCTGTTTCGCTGTCCAACATTACTTATTACATTTTAAACAGTATGATGCAAGTTGGTTTGGGTACTATAATATTATATTTGTATTAGTTGAATTATGTAGTCACACATATAAACGAATGATGACAACTTAGTAAACATTGTTAGAATATTAATATTTATCTATTGATAATACTTCTGTATGTAATTGTGACATTAGACAGAATGAATCCGGATTAAAAGGAGTTTTTATTCCCTTTGTTCTGAATATCTTTTAAATGGTTTTGGTTTCTATATGAATTTTGAAAATGGAATCTATGATTGTTTCTAAAAATTTGGCTCGGTTCTGAGAGTTCAAATAAACGAAGAAATGGTGTGATGTAGTGATCTGCATCGGACCTAATTTTTCAAGCCCGGCCCGGCCCGAAATTTTTTTAAAAAAGTTTTCCCGGCCCGAACCCGAAATTTTTTTAAGTTTTGCCGGACCGGTACGAACCCGAAATTTATTTTAAAAATATTTACCGGCCCGGCCAAGCCCGAATTTATTTAAATATAGAAATTAATTTTTACAATTGCTTAAAATAAAAGACATATGTTATATAGCGTTTAGTTTCAATAAATTATATCAAAAATTTTTATTTTACATAAAAAATTCAATATAAAATTGATAAATTTAGATATATTTAATTAAATTTCCAAGATCCGGCCCGACCCGGCCCGAATTTTTTTTAAAAAATTAGGCCCGAAGCCCGTTCGGGTCGGACCTAACTTTGCAGATCTCTAATGTGATGTACTTTTATAAGTTCAATCTTTCGACAAACAAAAAATGACCAGATATTTTCGTAATTTAAAAAGGGGGTGAATGGTCTCTTCCTGTCATAGGTATATCGCTTTAAAGGCGCGCTATAATTGAGTTTAGACTTAAATGGCTGGACGGGGACGTTTGACCTTTCTCTGATGTTTTCCCGATTTTGGGTTTTCGATTTCTGGTTCCAGAAATGTTGTAATTTTCGATTTTAATCTATTTTTGTCTCCTGATGATAATGTTTTGAAAATCTATCTCCCACCCCTCCCTTTCACCCGGTATTAGGTGAATTTTTTAGTGTAATTTACTCTCTTTCCGGCAATTTACGATCTCTCATCCTTTAAAAATCTATATTATCGTTAAGGCATATGAATGGGAAATTTATTAATAGAATCTTTGATGAAACCATTTATATATTTCTTTTATCCATATTTTTTTTAAACAAAAAAATAGGCATCGCGAAGGATAGACCACTGCCCACATCTATAAACGCTTTCAAGGATCATCCACTCTATGTTTTAAAGAGGCATTTGCTGAGGCACCAAGCTATATATCCTCCGGACGCTCCGCCTATAGCATTTATCAGAAGTTTTTGTTTTTAACTTAAATAATTGGAAACATTTACTTGATAATAATTGATTATGGATTTTAAAGAGAAAATGAGAATGAAAGTAATGGGGGAAAAAATGAATAATCCATTTTATTTCCTACCCATTTTAGATGAAGCAGTGTACTCGCGCGAATTGCACCTGAAAACGTTGAAAGCTCGCATAAATTGGCTGAAAGATGACGCAAGACTTATCAAGAAAGGCGAAGTCGGCTACAAGTTGGTCCTGAAAAGACCCAGTTTTAAAGAAATCATGATGAAGAGGAGGCTGCGGTTAAAAGGGTTAGCCCTCATCAAGGAAGGCTCCGAACAGAACGAAGGTTTATTAATTGGGAATGATTAAGAAAAATGAAGACTAGAAATCAGGATGTCGAACCGGTAGGTATGACGGTTCAGTTCCATTCCGGTTCTTGGTTTGAAATTTTAAATCGGTTTGGTTCTATTAGCAAATCAATATCGTTTCTTTTCGGTTTTTAAAAGTTTTGCATTTTAAAAATTAATCATTTGTATTTAATTACCTTATAATCTTAAAGAAATTATTTTTGAAAAAATTAATAAAATGAAAATAGGTTGAATTTCATTATTTTATTTATAAAACATGCATAAGAAATAACAAGTTAAAGTAACCATGAATAACATGATCACATATAAATTTCTACAATATTTGTTTAAAAATATTTTAAATTATTTAAATATTGAATTTTAAATTATTTAAATATTGAAATGATATTTATTAAAAGTTTCATTTTTTAAAAAATATATTATTACTAAATTAGTTAATCATTTTTATTATAAACTAGTTGAAATAATGCAAGAAAATCGATGATATTGCGTGTTATTAAATTATTAAGAATCATAATTTTTTTATTATTGCTTAAAAAGAAATAATAGGGGAGACCGGGGGCTATTCAGCAGAGTTCTTGTCAAAATGATCATACTTCCGAAAATAATTGTGTTTTTATCTACAAAATACCATGAGATATCTTAAATACTTACCTAAAGTTCTACATTGATAAATATATATTTTTTTCTCAAGATTTATTCTAGCATAAAAATGAATTTTTGCCCCAACAGTGGTTGTAGACTCAACTGGTTTATTGGGTCTCCTATAGGATAATTAATATTATTATTCCATATTTTTATAGTTATTGAAATAATATAATATTCACATATAAATAATCCATATGATAAATGACAAAATATGACATTATTTAAATTTTAAAAAATGTGTAATTTTAATTATATATTTTTTTAATTTTTTTATAATTCCTATTGCATTATTATATAGGATTGATTTAAATCTATAATATTAGCCAATGAATACTTATTTTTTTTTACTTAATCAAAATAAATAAATTGCACGAATAATAAGGATTATATTTTGCTCTTTGCACCCCTAATAATAAGAATTATATTAAGCTTAATGGATATAAATAAATTTCTCGCTTGTAATACATATAACTAGTATATTATAAGTTATAAGAATAAGAATATTTTTTACTTATTTTATATTTATTATTGAAATATATTATAATATTTTATATTTTTAAGCATAATTTAATTGATCCTACTAACCCCAATTACTGATTTGATTAATACCTTCGAAATATATATTTAAACATGATAGCGATTATGAAAGTTTCTGACTAAAAGAGGGTTTTAAACTTCATATAATGCCAATTTTATTATTTTTAAACTTCTTTATATTTTAATTCCACCTATTTAATGTGGTTTCAAGACATTTTATTACCTAAAATATACATTTTATTATAAAAATGAATAGCTGAGTATTGTAGAATGCTCTGACATAATTAAATTTGTGAATATTTAAATACTTCTGGTTTAAAAATAAAATCCGCGTAACTGAATAGTTGTGCCGACTAGCCCCGATCTTCCCTTCAAGAAAATCGATTATTTCGCGCATTATTATCAATCTGTGTTTATTAATAAACAGGAATGAGATTTATTATTGATGACTCAAATTTAGTAACTTGAATTTTATTGATTACGAAGCATCAAGAGGGATTAACAAAGGAAATAGAGAATCTTTAAAGTGGGCGCTGCATATATTTTTACCATAAATCCTTAGGCCCATATATTTTACCTTAGATCCTCTCGTAAACCGTATATAATTTAACACTAAGTCCTATTTTTATTACAAATATATGTTTTTTTAAAGCCTAATAAACCGGTTCGAAAGTATCTATGACGGGTTTTTTTCAAAATTTTTTACATAACACTGCTTGACAAATGATAACTGTTTAGTTTAGATTAGCGGTTCGGTTTTGCTTATTCGGACACTTTAAAGGATTGATGAGGGAAAGATAAGAAAGGAAGCAGAAAGTTTTCGTTTATGTATTTTTAACATTTTTCAATCGTTAGCACCAATCCAGGATAAAAAATAATCATTATGGCCGGGGTGCCAAATATTTTACTGACTGGGACCAGATAACCAATATTAAGATCTTAACATAAAGATTAAGAAATGGGAAATAATATATTATTGTTGTATAATTATCAATTTCCTTTTTTATTCTAGATGATGGTGATTCGAAATCGAATTCAATGTTGATAGAAGTCAAAAATAAGGAAGAGTTGTTTGGCATTTGGCAAACCGAGGAATACATTCCCCTTCCCCTCGTGGATGTAAGCAGAAATTTCTCTAATTTTTTTTTATTCTAACCTTATATTATTATATATATATAATTAAATTAAGATATTTATAACTTTTTTTAATAGAGGGTTATTTAATAAGATTTGCCCAAACATTGTTATGCTTAATAAATTATATATTTTCATTTTCCTCGGGCATAAATAGTTATATATTGTTTCTGTTTTACCCCCATAATAATTTGAAATTTTTATCATATTTATAGTTAAACAGCTGATATAACTCACCATTCTAGATTTATGCCTTATTTTTTTTTGCATGATATTTAAAAAAATAAAACCTAAAACAAATGTAAACACATTATGGCTAGAATTCTGAAAATTTCAAAAGATTTTTTAAGTAGATTCATCTTAGATACTAGAACTAGAACTGAAACCCCTCAAAATCGCATCAAATTTAGGAACCGAGAAAACCAGTCTACTTTTCAATATGTTAGGAACCTAACCGGAAAGCATTTTTCGTCGAAATTCTATATTGTTTTATAACCTTTTTTTTGCAAATTTCTAATTATTTTATAATATATTCTTAAATATCCACGATAAAAAAAACGTCAGAATAAATATAATTGAAGTCTTAGATATCCACAATAAAAATATTAGAATAAAAATAATCTTTCGTGATTTCAAAATTTAAAAAAATACAAGAGATCCTTTTTTTTAAAAAAATTACTCTCCTAAACAATTTTTTTTTAAAATGGATAATAACCAAGCCGACGATAAGCTGGAAGAGGAAAGGTAGTAAAAATAAAAGGTATTTTAAGCCATTAAATTAAATATTATTAATAAAAACAAAATATAAAAATATCTCAATTAAAATTAAATTATAAATTTGAATATTCGTTAATCATACCGCTAGTTCGATTTCATGTTCTTTCGTCAGTTTGATTTTTTGGTATGATGAAATAAATTACTTTAAGTAGTAAAATTTGTGGTATTAGGAGGGCTAATTAATACCATTGTTTGTTTTGTAATTTTATAAAATGATCTAATATAGGAGCCATTGTTTGTTTTAATTTAGTTTTATTTATTTATTATTCTAAATTAGGAGGGCTAATTAATACCATTGTTTGTTTTGTAATTTTATAAAATGATCTAATAGGAGCCATTGTTTTTTAACTTAGTTTTATTTATTATTCTAACTTAGTCAGTCCGATTCAAATATATAAAAATATATTTTTTTAAAAAGGGCCAAATTCCCAAAAATAGTTATGGCAACGTGGAGCTCTTTCAAATGTCCATGTTACCCCTGGGGTGCGTATACCTATCAGGCTTTCCCGGTCTGAATAAAGTGGCCCAGACCCTCAAATTGCAATGCGTACCTGCTATGAGGGGTTGGGAATTCAGCGGAGGTCACGCCTTTCCCATCATAGATGGATGGGTACTTATAGACGGTGATCAGCAAAGGTTTTTATTTTAAATACCCATATTCTTTTTTGGTATTTTTAGTTAAAGTAGATAATTAATTACAAACTATGTCAAATTCGTTCGAATAATTATCAGATTATTTAATACTATGTTAAATTTGTAAATTTTTGTTTTTTTATTATTGTTTCCATAATTCAATGCATCATATACTAAAAAATTTTGCTAAGGTGATTAGAGGAGAACGTTTTTGGTCAGTTTAATGAGGCGATTACTATGCACCCTAGATCTTCGAATCCATTGTATTTTTAACCTGTATATTTTTCTTCCCTTTTATGCTTAAGATTAATGGATGAATGGGATCGATATCAGGTGAAAAAAGAATCGGAACAAATACAAGTAAATTATACTTTGTTAAATATTACCTTTAAAAAAACATTAACATTTATATTGACAAAATGTATCTTTTAAGTATTTGATTTTTATTTATTCAAATCATCTATCATTTTAGAAAAAAGAAAAAACGGCTTTGAATAATTGGAAAAAATTTATCAAAGCTCTGATAATAAGGCGCAATGTTGAAAACAGGTATGGAAATATTAGTGAACCAGTTGATAGTGATGAAATTCAATCATATCCTTTATCTTCCAGTCAATTACTACCTAGCACAATATTAGATCTTAATAGTTATAATAAGAAATTCTTTTAAAATACGTTTATCATGATTGTATTCAAAATTAGTCAATTATATATACATATACATATAGTACAATTATTACATTCTCGATAAAATGATGAGATATGACATAACGTTTATACTAATAAAATTAATAAGTTTCACACATTTATTAAGTTGCGTGTTAATTACATGTATTAATTAATCTTAATAATCATAACTTTGTATATAACAATAATAAGGGTGTAACCACAAAAAAATGGAATATTTAGATATTATTCAAATAATAAGAGACGATAGTATTTACACAAAAAACCAACTCCTTTTTTTATATAATTCGAATTTGAATCGTAGATATTCTAAAATATAAAGGCACCTCAATTTGAATAAAGGGTGGGTGCTTTACATTTTTTAAAATTAAAGGTACGTTAAAACGCAAATGCTCAATTTGAGCCCACTATTAAGGAAATGGCCAGAAATTAATTAATATTAAATGAGGCTTTTTCCCACTTAGATTTCATTGCATAATAATTCAGATTTCTACTTTTCTAAATCTTTTATATTAAATAATAGGAATAAAATATAATTTATTCGTGCATCAAAATAATTAAACCTATTGCTTCTAAAATATATTTTTAAAGAATTATAAAAAATTAAACCTTTTAAAAATTAAGATTGAGCCATCTTTCGGATTTATATTTATAGATTAACGTAATTATCTTTTTTAAATTCAAATTATTTTTATATTAAATAATATATTAGTAAACCAGAATTTAAAATTAATATGGTTTTAATCAGGGACCCGAACCGTTATTTATAACGGTTCAGTTTGGTTACGGTTCAGTATGTAAAAAATTATAATGGTTACGTTTTGGTTACGGTTCTTAAGAAGAAATTTATAAAGGTTCGGTTCAGCTAATTATAAAAGTTTATAAAGGTTCATTACGGTTAGAAATTTATTTTAATGAATCAACACCATCTTCTAAATTATTTTTATTATAAACATCATTAAAAAAATATATGATTCAAAATAACTCATTTTAAAATATATTATTTGAACGTATAAGTAATTTATTTTCTAATATAAATGGATTCCTTTTTGTTTGTTGTGACGATAACACAAATTTTAGCCCCGAAAAAGCCCTTTCTACAGAAACTTGAGTTTCGGGAACCGCAGGTTTATAAAAATCTGGATTTTCAAATTATTTCCATTTCTAAAATATGAAAACTGAACCGGTTTAACCGTTTTTTATAAAGGTTCTTTTTACTCCAAAAAATAATTATATCGGTTCGTTTACGGTTATGGTTCAGTTATTTATAATGGTTTAACGGTTCACTCCGGGTGCCTGGTATTAATCCATAATCTAAATAAACTTACCTTTTTGTAAATTTTTTGAAATAGACTTGTGGCCCATTCTAAAGAGTGCATTACTACAAAGTCAAAAACAAGAAAATAAAATTAAATAATATAAGGAAAACATAGATCACCGGCGCTTAAAAATTAAATCATAAAATTTTTTTTAAAAAATAAAAAATTTAGTTATATTTAAAAACAACGATGATTAACTAGACATTATTCATATGAATTTATATTCAAATAATTACTCGATTTATGTATTTATTAATATATTAGATAATTCCAAGTATTTTTTTAACAATATTTTAATATTTAATTTACAGCTGTTGAATAGCCCAATCAGAAAAGTGGACGACTTTACGATCATAGTTAGGCAAATCAATTTTTTTTTCGCAGGAAAGCCGACAATATTTTGTATATAACAATAATAAGGATGAGAGCAGTGTTGTTAAACGGCTCGATTTTTTAAAACGACTAGCCCTTCACCAAATTATTATGCAAGCATGGGGCATTTTGCTCATATATGATAGAAAGTTTTGGGCGTCTAGAAATCTCGAGGCTTGCGTAATAATATTTTGGATAAAATCGTAATTTCAAATTGACAAAATGGAGACATTTAACTGTTGTATTAGAATGATAAAGATTCATTATATTTTAAATGATTATAATTAATTTATATATTGTTGTATTAGAATGGTAAAAAATTCATTGTATTTTAAATGATTATAATATATGTATATTACGAACCTGTTGTTAGCCATGTATTTTGTTTATTTTTGTGGAAAAAGAAAAATACAGTGGCAACAAAAGAAAAGGAGATACATTATTTTATTTTTGTTTAAAAAGAAGAAAATTTTATGGATTTATAAATTATTGAAGAGACAAAGAAAATATAGAATTAATAAAGATTCATAAATTAGTGAAGAAACAAAGAATATATATAATTAATAAAAATTCATAAATTAGTGAAGAAACAAAGAAAATATATAATTAATAAAGGTAAAGATACTTTCAATTTAATTTACTTTCAATTTAATTTACTTTCATTTTAATTTATGTTCAATTTAATTTACTTTCAATTTAATTTACTTTCATTTTAATTTACGTTCATTTTAATTTACTTTCATTTTAATTTACTTTCATTTTATTAACAACATTAGATGATAGCACCAAAAAATGGAAGATTTAGATATTATTGAAATAAAAAGAGCTGATAGTATTTACAAAAAAACCAACTTTTTTTTATAATTTAATTTTGAATCGTCGATATTTCTAAAATATATAGGCACCTCAATTTAAACAAAAGGATGCTTTACATTTCTAAAAATTAAAAGAACGGTAAAACGCATATACTCATTTTGAGCGCACTAATAAGGATATGGCCAGAAATTAATTAATATTAAATGAAGTCTTTTCCCATTTTGATTATATTACATAATAATTTAGATTTCTACTTTTCTAAATCTTTAGTATTGGTTGTCAAAATAAACCTTCAACATTTTTTTGGCATCTAAAATATATTTTTAAAAAAAATTAAAGAAATTAGCAAATTTTTTTTTAAAAAATAAGATTGCGCCATCTTGTGGATTTATATTTATAGATTAACGTAAAAGAAATTATATTAATAGTATTTATTTTTAATTCAAATTATTTTAATATATTAAGTAATTTATCATATTTATTTAAGACGAATATAAAAATTAATAAATACCTAATATCAGTGATGAAGCGCGCTAATATGGTTAGAAATTAAAAAGATATCGATACAAAATTACTTTATTTTAAATATATTTATCATAAAATATTTAATCATCATTTGTAGATTACGTGTTTTTCATTTTAAAATACCTAAAATCATATTTTGAAATAAAGAGGTTGCTCGTAGCATAAACTCCTTACAAAATTTTTTTTTATTTATTTGATTTTTTCAATGTAATTGTAAAATTTAACTCATTTTATTTATAAAGATTTAAATAAATAAAATAAAAATAATTTCAAAGCGGTGGAAAAATAAAATAAATAAAACAATGAAGATGCAAAAAATCCCCTACTCCTTAATTAGGTGCCAGATAGGTGATTTGGTTTTTTATATTATTATAAAATTAATTTCTTTTTTTTTATTTAAGATTATTTGAAATATTAAATAATTTTTAATAAAAAAATCTATAATATTGCCTACAAATTTTTAAAGGAGATGGATGGAAATGGAACTTAAATTTAGGGGGGGGGGGCTAAATATTTAGATGAAAAGTAGTTTTATTTCATCAAATCGAAAAATAAATAACATTAAAAAAAATAACATCAAAAAATAAGAAAAAAGAATAATGAAATGAGCCTCCCAAAAGTACTAACCAGATATTTAGTATAAAATTATTTTATTTTTATAAAAAAAAAATTTATGGACGAGGCAGATATGGAACAAGAGCAAGACAATTCTTTTACCTCTATAAAAGATTACTTTATAGACACTAATAATTCTAAGCGCAAATGTTTGTATTGTGATAAAATTTACAGTCTCCATACGGCTACAAGTATAATATATTTCTAAAATATATTTTTGATAAAATATGGCAAAATAATAGGAAAATAAGCAATAGGTGATGATATGTAGGTTCTATTTTCAATTTCATAAAACTTATAATTAACTGTAATAAATTTGAAAATGTTTATATACATTGTTTAATAGGTTAATATAAAATAAATTACCAAATATATAAATCCTATATTAAAAATTTTTAATATTTTTTAGCCAACCTTAAAAATCATATAAAAATATCGCACCCTAAATTCATTATCCAAACTAAAGAAATAATGCCCAAGCATTTATCGGGCATAAGAAAACTTCAACCAGAAGAAAACAAAAGATTAAATAAACTAATACTCAGATGTATTATTAAAAATTATTTAGCATTTAACATATTCGACTCAATTGAATTCCGGGATATATTTGCTTTTATATTTAAAAATGAAAAAATTTGGACACGACAAACAGCGAAAGTATATTTACATTCGATGTATGAAACATCCAAATTAAAACTAATAGCTAAATTAAAAAATGTACAAAGTAAAATTTCGCTTTCAACCTATATTTATACAGGAATCAATAGTATGTCTTACTGTTCTAGTACTGTACACTACATTACAAATAATTGAAAAATTAAAAACTATCTTTTAGATTTAATCAAACTTCCTCATCCGCATAGTGGGCAAGATATAGCGAATTATTTATTAAAATCTCTCGAAACATTTGAAATTCCAAAAAATGTTATAGCATTAACTCACGACAATACTAGGAATATTATTAATGCAGCTGCTATAATGAGTAATCATTATAAGGAAAAATATAATATGTCCTTCTATAGTAATAGATGCCTGGCGCATGTTAAAAATTTAATTGTTAAAGAAGGGCTTAGTATTTTTGATCCCAAATTAGAAAAAATACACAAATTGGTGAAATCACTTCACCTTTCGCCCAAGCTAATGCAAAAATATCTCGAAATTTCTGGAGGCACAAGATTACCACTCGACGTGGTAACTAGGTGGAGTTCTAAGTATCTCATGATTTCTACAATAAATAAAGTAATTTAACCATAATCTTAAATGTTATTTATATAATATAATATATTTTATTTTAAAGAATTTAGAGGCTATTAAACAATTAGGGGAAGAATGTCTT